GAGAGGAGAGAGAATTTTTTTAATATTTATTTTTTAATTCTCGGCAGACACAACATCTTTGTTGGTATGTGGTGCTGAGGATGGAACCCGGGTCGCACGCATGCAAGGCGAGCGCGCTACCGCTTGAGCCATATCCCCAGCCCTAGAGAAAGGTATTTTGCAGAGGTTTTAGTTTCAGTTTTCTTCTTCATTGTTTTGTTTAAAGAGTCTTGTAAGGGCTGGAGATGTGGCTCAGCGGTAGCGCGCTCGCCTGGCATGCGTGCAGCCCTGGTTCGATCCTCAGCACCACATACCAACAAGGATGTTGTGTCCGCCGAGAACTAAAAAATAAATATTAAAAAAAAAAAAATTCTCTCTCTCTCTCTCTCTCTCTCTCTCTCTCTCTCTCTCCCTCTCTCCCTCTCTCCCTCTCTCCCTCTCTCTCCCTCCTCTCTCTCTCTCTTTAAAAAAAAAAATAAAAAAGAGTCTTGTAAGCCCCTTACGATCAACTTTTGTGAGGGATGTTATGTTGTTTTGCTTTGTTAAAATGTTTAATGTATTTTTCTAAGTCTACACCTGTTCTTAAGAAAACAGACAAAAGACTGCTATTTGAAATGAATAAGGATCATTAATACTGTTATTTTAAACAAATTTCCCTTGCATTCCGCTGTAGTGTATTCAAAAAAAAGACAAATTTCCCATAACTAGTTCTGTCATTTGAATGTAGACATACAACCTTGAAATTTCAATCTTAGCACTTAAATTTGTTATTAATTTAATAGATGACTGAACATATTATTTAAATGTAAATTACTCAGCATTTTAGTAAATCAACTTCAATTTTTTAAAAAAATTCTATTTATAAAAGTAATCTGTACTAATTTAATTCATATGTCTTCTTTATGAAAGGCTTTTAAATATAATTTCTTTCTCATATTCAGAGTTGGGCAGAGGGGCGCTGGTCTTTCAGCCACCATTGCTAGGAGTGAACATGAGATTTCTGAAATTATTGATGGTCTCTCTGAGCAGGAGGTAAGAAAACTGGTTGATTTAATTCAAGTTAATCCTTTAATTATTAAAGTATTTCAGCCCTATAGCCCAGAAGCTAGGGGTAAATGAATTTATTATATACAAATAAGTATATAAGAGAGGGAACCTTAGATGCTAGGACTATTCCAAAGTCTATGGTGAATCATTGAAAGGTTTTAAACAAGGGTTAAACTCGTAGTATTATTTTACAAAGATGCCTTTGACAGCAGTAAGATCTAGAGAGAGACAGAGCAGTGGTAGGTCTATATATGAGGGGACTAATAGGTGAGAGTCATAGAAGGTAGAATGAACAAGATGGATGTATTGAATGTGGGGTAAAGAAGACTACAAAGGGACTCCTAGTTTCCAGATTAGACTTTTCAGCTGGTGGTGTTATTTCCTAGAGTAACAAAAAACATGTGTTTTGCAGATGATAGTATGTCCTCCAAAGGGTGCTTTCCAGGCAGATGGGCCTGGGAGAGAGTTAAATTGGAGAGAGCTAGATATCAGAGTCATCTATGTGCAGGTGAAATAGCCCCAGGCAAGGAAGGGAACATAAAATGAAAGGGCAGACAAGTGAGCTTATGGGGATTTATTTAAGAACAAGAATGTCGTTTTACTAATTTTTCAATGAGAAGGCATACTTTTGTTTCTCGGGCATTTTTTTTTTACTTGAGTCAAGAACAGAATTAATAAAATGATGAAAAAATTATTAGAGACATGGGTATACATTTGAAGTGTATATCATTAGGCCAAACAGAATATTTCCACCCTTATTAAGCTTCCTCACTTCCCCAAAACAGAACTAACTAATATTTAGTTAATCTCACTTAATTTTTATTATGTATATATCTTTTTGTTTAATATTTATGATCATCTTGAGCATCGTTTTCATGAATGTAGTTTTTATACCTTTGAGGCCATCTTTGAATTCCCAGTGTTTCACATTTAGTAGAATATTAATTAGTAAATGCAGATTAAGAATAATTTTCAGAACTGGTTGTGGTGGCCACGCCTGTAATTCCAGTAGCTCAGAAGGCTAAGGCAAGAGGATCGAGAATTCAAAGTCAACCTCAGCAAAAGCAAGGCACTAAGCAACTCGGTGAGACTCTAACTCACTGTTAGGGATGTGGCTCAGTGGTTGAGTGCCCTTGAGTTCAATCCCCGGTACCAAAAAATAAATAAATAAATAAATTTCAGCTCTGAACATTGAGTAGCTAGGTTCAAATCTCTGTTAAGATTGGTCCAGGGGCTGGGGCTGGGGCTCAGTGGTAGAACGCTCGCCTAGCATGCGTGAGGTGCTGGGTTTGATCCTCAGTACCACATAAAAAAACAAAATAATAAAATAAAGCTATTGTGCCCACCTATAACTAAAAAATAAAATGTTAAAAAAAAAGATTGGTCCAGAAGCCATCACTATTGAATTTTGCTGGCTTTGATTTTATAATATAGCTTTTCTTCAATCATCAATTACTGGATCTCCTGAAGTTAAATTAATTACTAGTGAGGTAGAAAGATTTTATTCAGATTTTATCTTTGCATAGATAGCACAGTGCTCATTTTTATCATTCTGTTTTATAGACACAGTTTCTGTGAAATTTCTTTCAGGATGAGAAAATAGCTATTGTACAGTTTGTATTGATATTTGTGAAAGGAGTCCATCAGTATTTTCATATGGTACCCTGTTACACATTCATGATCAAATAAAAGTATATCATATGTTCTTACAAATTGTTATTTTTTCAAGGAATTCTTGTCACACTGGCTCTGAAGGAGGTAGAAGACTTTGTATCTAAGAGTTCTGTGAGCCAATTTAGATTTCTTATTGTTGTACTGAAAGAGGCTTTGCAGGTGTTTTTTCCCTCTTTTCTCGMTTCTGATATTTTGCTTTCCCAAGGAACAGATCAAAAATAGTTTTTGGTTATTTATAACCTTTTAGGAATGGTTATAATATTCAGTTGTAAAGACATGATCCCACACTTCGTGGGATTTTGTTCAAGCATTTCTGTGCATTGTTATGTAATGTTGAGGTCCTAGCCGTTCCTATAGGCTTTTTTTGAGTCACCTAACACAGTGTTCTAGAGCTCATTAACCTACTTTACCTCTATGTAGGCTCAGTGAGGTATACTTCTTTTGAAATACATTCATGTTTCTAGTCCTTGGACAATTTTACCTCAAACCATAAATACGTATTGTATGTAATATTGCATAATATTGGGGCAAGTAGATTTTTTATTTTTCTTGCAGCAGCATACTCAGGAGCTTTAAAACTAGCCACTTATTGCTTTAAATTCACCTCTGAAGCGCATGATTGAAATGACTTCCATCCCTTGGAATTTGTAGCCATAATTTCTGCAATGATAACTAAATCTTATTAAGTTTCTTTGCTTGTTTTTTTTAATTTAAGGATTCTATTAGGGGAACATCTAGAATCGTTACAAACTAGTTTATTAGTTTAGGGGACTTCAAGCTAATGTATCTGTCTGACATGCTGGTGTTTGAACTGATTGAAAGTACCCCATGATTTTAGAGAGTTTATGTTGGTTTAGGTGATTTAAGATCAATGACTTTTAAGATTTTGATGCTGGTTTCTTATTTTCCCATTGTGCTCTAAGATGTAATACAGTCTAATAATGCATAAAGTCATGACTTAAATGAACTTAACATTATTTTGCATCTTCTACAACTAAAATTTCATTCTCTTCCAAGTATCAGTTTTATTTAAGTAAAGAATTCTTACCAAAGTAGTTGGTTATGAAAAAAAATGTGGGGTTGAGGATGTACCTCTGTGATAGAGTACTTGCCTAGCATGCCTGAACTCTGGGCTTGATCCCCAACATTAATTTAAAAATCCCAAAAATGATCCAGGAGAAAAAAAAACCAAAAACATACTCTTTGCTTTTATAATTAGTTCAATGAATGTTTACTAGATTTATAACTAATTATCGTATTAGATGCTGTGATATATACTGCTGTTGTCATTAAACTACGTGAGATTTTTTTTTTTTTTTTGTCCAGACCATTAGGAGAGTTGGTTTGTGGCCCTTTAAAATTTTCTAGTTTAAGTTTTATTCTAAGTAAGCTGCATTTCTTTTTTGCAGAATAATGAGAAACAAATGCGGCAGCTCTCTGTGATCCCACCTATGATGTTTGATGCAGAACAAAGACGGGTCAAGTTCATTAACATGAATGGGCTTATGGAGGACCCTATGAAGGTTTATAAAGATAGGCAATTTATGAATGTTTGGACTGACCACGAGAAGGAGATCTTTAAGGACAAGTAATTTAAATTTTAAATTATTCTCTAGTAGAAACTTATATGTAATAGTATTTAGCATTTACTTGTAAATTGAACTTTTTCCACAAAATCTTGACCCCATTTTGGCATTGGAATGGATTCTATTGAGAAGTAGAAATATTGATCTTCCCATAGGTTCATAGATAGGAAAATAGGTAACAGATAAGAATTAGGGATGGGGAGTCATTTTATGAGAGATTCCCAAACTTGGGTGTTATTTAAATCACTTTGGATATGGTTTTTTAAAAGTACAGATTTCTTTGCCCTACCATAGACCAATCTAATCATTTCCTGATGGATGGTTCCCAGAACTTTGCCCTTTAAATCTCCAATGATTCTGCAATTGTTACTCAAATTTGCAGTGAGGAATCACCAGGAGTTAGTCTGCACATAATATTTCTTTTTCCAAGTTTTTTTTCTTTTTAAGTTGTTAAAATGTTTGTGTGTGCGTGTGTTTTTGTTTTTGTTTTTTTTATTTTATTTTTTACTCAGGTTTATCCAGCATCCAAAAAACTTTGGACTAATTGCATCCTACTTGGAAAGGAAGGTAAGAGATGGTTTGCATGAATGTTAATAGGTTTGTGGATGTTGTTATTTTGGAATATTTGTGCTCTAACAAGCAGTAGTAATTAACTAGAATTGATTTTTGTTAAGGGCTTTATACAGAAAAGATTCTCATGTCATAATTATAACAAATATATATAAAGTAATAATTTAAATTACATTAGATGTCCTAAGCACAGATCTAATTTTTATGGATAATGAAAGTTAACCTTATATTTCCCTAAAAACACATAATTACACTGCTTGAGTTCTGATTTCCTCTGCATTTTTTAGTGTTTTTGAACAAACTATTGAAAGGGACATTTACTTACTAGTTAATAAGAAAATATTTGAATGTTTCTGATAGCTTTTCATATTTTTAACATAATTTGGATTAAGTCAACAGTTAACTATCAAAATAATAAATATATTTTTAGAGCACTAATATATGCCTTAAAATATTAGCCATGTATATTTTCTCTTAATATAAATTAAAGAATAGTAGTATTTTCCTTGAAAATATTTTTTTTAATTTAAGACATTTTATTCAATTCTCAAAAATGAACTACTTTCATTACAGAGTGTTCCTGATTGTGTTTTATATTACTATTTAACCAAGAAAAATGAGAATTACAAAGCCCTAGTGAGAAGGAATTATGGAAAACGCAGAGGCAGAAATCAGGTGTGTCTCATTACTATGCGAAGCTATTTCAGTACTGATGGAAATATGGAGACAAAAAAATCATTTATACGCTAAAAAAAAAAGAGAGATAACGGGAGCCTTGCACTGCATATATACTTTAGAGATTCATGTTTTTATTAATCAGAATGTTAGAATTATTTTGAACTATTTTGAATGTATTTTAAATATCTATTATGATAATTGGAAAAGTTTTATGTCTATCTCATCTGAATCATGCATTTCAATATCAATGATATCCATGTAATTAAATATGAGACCTTTAGTACCTTACCTAATATACTGTCTTTAGCTAGTCCTTTTGTATGAAAAGGGAACAGGAAGTATAAGGGAGAGACGGATAGCATGATAACCAGAGTAGAGGATTGTTTACTGTAATGCATGGGAACTGATCTTGTTTCAGATTAACTTTATTTGTGAAGTTTAGATAGTTTAACCCTTAAAAGCTCTTTATCAGGCATTTTTTTCACAAATATAAATTTTCACAAGTTGCAATTCAGTCATTTGGAAACTGCTTTCCCAAAAATAACCAGTTAGCAGCTGTCACAGCTATTGTATGCATTGCCAGTGGAGCTGTTATACTAATGCCCATTGCTGTCCTCATTCAGATGGATGTCACAGTGCATACTTGCATGTAGAACCCTAACAGCTGCTCACTGTTAGCATTCCAAGTCTCTTCTGGTTTCCTTACACAGTCACTCTTTCAGTGTGGCAGGGTCTTAGCCCCTCCCTTCCCTTGGGAGCTCTGGTCACCAGATTCGAGTATTTTGATTCAATTCTCTTAATTTTTCAGAGCTATAATCCTTTTTTTATGTTTTATTTCCCATAGGACACTGCCACTTTCCAAGATGTGATTGCATGTTCTTCAGAAGCAGTATTTTTTTGATTAAAAAAATATATAGGGATGGGCTGGGGTTGTAGCCCAGTGATAGTGCACTTGCCTAGCATGTGTGAGGCACTGGGTTTGATCCTCAGCACCACATAAAAATAAATAAAATAAAGGTTCATCATAAAAAAAATCATATATATATATGAAAGAGAGAGAGAAAGGCTGAGGATACAGCTCAGTGGCAGAGCTTTTGCCCAGTATGTTCAAAGCCCTGAGTTTTCTCCCCAACACTGGGGTGGGGAGTAGAAATTATGGCTTGTGAGACATATTTTTAGTGGAGTGGGAAAGCATTACACTGAGTTAAAGAAGATTCATAGGAAGTCGAGGAAATGGTAACAGCACAGGTGTACTTTTTTTTAAAATTTGTTTTAAGTTTTTGGTAGATATTTTATTTATTTTTATGTGGTGCTGAGGATAGAACTCAGTGCCTCATACATGCTAGGCAAGCTCTCTAACTGCTGAGCCACGACCCTAGACCACAGGTATACTCTTACATGTAGATGTTGTAGAGAAGTAGTTAAATTGCTTGGGATGGCTAGTAAGCATCAGAAGAGAGAAAAAAGGACATGCTTTTAGTTTGGTTGTAATAATACTGTAGAGGTAGAGATATCGATGATTATAGAGCTCCATAAAGATGTACTAAATGAAGAGGAGCAAAATAACTATTGGCAGTGAGATAAAAAACACAGTTTCACCAGAGATGGAAGTATTGCCAGGATTTTGTTCCTGCTTCTCCCAGAGAAAGTGGAGTCAATATATTCTTTAGCTAGACATCCTAGGGACCATATATATTTTAGACAAGGTTCAGCTATACAGTTTTAACGGTAGCTTTATTCTTAATGACAAAACAGTTTGTTTTATTTTTTAGTTTTGTTGTTTGTTTTTGTTTAGTTTCAGAACTTATGTTACTGTTGAAATTTTTTCAGTCCTACATACTGGACTAAGATGATACTTATTATACCCTATTTATGCCAGTGATGTAGTAGCCTGTTGCCTCTGATGAGGAGGAGAAAGCTCCATTAGAAAGTTGGTGGAGGGAGTCTCTGTTATTCTGAAATATTCATTTTTCAACCTAAAATTGTCTGGACACTATTTTGACTTGTATCTGTGGTACACTAGTCTTTGTTAATTTCCAGACATATTATTATTTCCCTCTCACATTTCTTGTCCTATATTGTATTGTGCTAGTGCCTCTGCACTGCCTCAGAATGTATTTGCAGGGCTGTGATTTGCCACATTCACACTCACTTTAGCTGAGCCTTATGATGGTTGCTCCCAGATAGGCTCAGGTTTGGTGTGGTCATCCCTTTCGACAATCTAGTCCTGCCTATTAGGTTTTTGGGTTTTTTTTTTAAATACCAGGGATTGAACCCAAAGACACTTACCCACTGAACCCCATCCCCAGCGCTTTTTATTTTTTATTTTGAGAGAGGGCCTTGCTAAGTTGCTTAGGGCCTTCCTTTGAACTTGTGATCTCCTGCCTCTGGGACTACAGGCGTGCACCACAGTGCCTGACCCCTATTTACTTTTAAATTATTACTTGGAAGAATTTTTGTTTTTTTCTTTCTTTCGTTCTTTTTTTTTGGGGGGGGGTAACCAGGGATTAAACCCTGAGCACTAACCACTGAGCCACATCCCCAGCTCTTGTTATAATTTAATTCACTGAGTTGATTAGGGCCTTGCTAAATTGCTGAGACTCACTTTGAACTTTCAATCCTCCTGCCTCAGCCTCCAGAGCCACTGGGATTACAGGGCTTGAAGGATTTTTTTTTTTTTTTTTTTTTTTTTTTAGTTTTATGTTTCTCTGGCTGTTTCACTGGGAATTTGGGAGAGGAGGGAGTTAATGATGGGCTTGGGCCATTGTCTCAGACCAAAAGATTCTTATTTCCATTTTAAGAATCGCCTAAGCATTTAAGAATGCTTGTGTGCTTCATTCCATTTATTTGTGTCAAAATGATGAGAAGTTTTGCAGAAATTCGAAGGTTTAGTTTAAGGACTTGGGCTTTTTTGCAGAAGATAATTTCAGCTTTCTGTTGTGATGTGGTCACACTGGCTGCTTTGTTGAAATTAGATTGTAAGGAGGCAAGAGAAGAATGAGACCGGTTAGGAGGTTATTATAATAATTCCTGTGGCTTAGTCAAGATTCTATTGGGGAGGTGGGAAAACTAGTACTTACTTTGCAGGATCAATGATCAGTTACTTGGTATTTTTTAAGGTAAAACCAAGAGGTTTAATTAGTTTCTGGATATGTCTAAATGAGTGAGTGAGTGTGTATGTGTGTGTGTGTGTGTGTGTGTGTGTGTGTTTATGTGTTTATGCTTTTGAGGATGGAAACCAGGGCCTTTTGCATGGTAGGCAAATACTGTACCACTGAGCTATATGCCTCCTAGCCCCTGGATATGTATTTTTGAAGGTAAAGCCAATAGGTTTTGCTGGATTGACTGTAAGGATGAGAGGACTGTAATCAAGGAAAACATCGAGTTTTGAATTGTGGAATTGCCTTTTGCTATGATAGGTATGACTGAAGAAGGAACAAGTTTTGGATATGACTGAGTTTGAAAGACCTGTCATATGTCCAGGTAGCAATCCAAGTTAATGTTTAAGTATTGTGACTAGTTAAATAATGTAAATTTAGAGCATGGGAAAAAGATCTGGATTGGATTTATAGAGTTCGCTATATAGAGAAAAATTCAGAACTACCTCTTTATTAAGAATCTAGTTATGAGTTTAAATTTTTTTAAATGAGCATATCACCCTTTTGATTACCATGGTGATATATACAGATAACTGATTTGAGAGTCATTTTACTGACTTATTGTTCAGTCAAGCTTGAATCAGGAGGATTATCTCAGGTAATCCCAGAGTGACTGTGGCAAATTTACTTCAAGAATCATTAGAATTGTGCTGAAGTTTGTGCTTGATCTTTTCAATTTTTTATTTCTTCCTTGTGCCCTCTTCCCAACTTCTTACCCATAAGAGTAATTTTTATTTAGCAGATGAATGTATAGTATGCTGTTGACTGAATTATTCCAAGTTTATCAGGTTTGATTTTTTTTTTTTAACCAGCTATTGCTGTGGGGAACCTTTCATATTATTTACTCTGAAAATGAATTTTAAATCTTAGAATCATAGGGAAATTAGATTCATATTTTGTTAAAATTGTCTTCAGATAATTATTGGCAGAAATTTTAACTCTTCTCATAATTCTATTTTATTTGCTCAAAACTATTTTAATAGTTCAACTTGGTAGCATCCTGTGAAGAGGGCAGTTCTTTATATATTTAATAGAAGTAATAAATACGTAATTGGAGATTGAAAGCCAAAACCACTTATAAGTGTTAGTAGTTGGAATCTATAATTATAAACAACATGTCAGGTAGTAATTTATTTTTTATGTATGAGGAATATTTTCTTTTCATTACAAGTAAAATTTTCTTCCATTAGGAAATGCTGTGCTTTCCAGCTAAATACTGTGCAGATGGAATTTCTGTGGTACCTAATATTAACCAGCAGTGTAAAGCCAGTTACTGTTAAAAACCACATTCTTCATTTCCAAATACTTAGTTTCTTTTTATAGGAATTTGTGTTTTTCTTTTATGCTACCACCATTTCCCCCTTTATGTCAGCATTTTTTTAATTCTTCAAATATTCAGAAACATACACCTACATAAATGTAGCAATTTTGAAGTCATTGGTAAATAGGCACTGATTTGAAATAATATTTTAGACGTGTTTAAAAATTTGGTATAGCTTTTGACCCCAAAATGCTTAATCACTCTGTACCCAGGAACTTAGTTTTCATATCTGTGAGAATGGGAGAACTAATATGTACTTTGCAGATTCAATGAGAACTGTGTGTGTGTGTGTGTGAGTGTGTGTGTGTGTGTGTGTGTGTGTAAAGTGTTGGGAGTGTAGTGTAAAGCACATAGAGAGTATCTAATAGTTGGTAGTTAAGATTTCTTTATTGCCATCATCATGGTGTGGGTTTTTTTTTCAGTTGACAGCTTTCATTCTTCAGAAGTTAGTCTGAAAATTCATTTGGTCTTCAAGGCATTTGTTATTAATGTATTTTGATATTTTTTTGCTTGAAGTATATTTTGAAAGGAAATATTGCCCAGTAGTAAAACAACACTGCATCTGTACACTTTCAGTTACATATTCTTGCTTGTTCTTAAATTTAGTCATTTTGTTTCTTTGTAACTTAGTGTGTGCTAAGTGGGAATTCATCTATTTTTCTGTTTTATAGATTTGGGCATTTTAACATACAAATAGAGTGTGTGTGTCTGTGTGTTAAGAATTTAGTTACATAGAGTAGTGATAAAGTCTCAGTATTAACTGTTATTTGATGTTGCTATAAGGATCTAACTGGATCCTGTTTGTCCCTGATCATGTTGCAGTGTACATACCTTTCTTTTTTTATTTGAATTTTCATTTTATAATGTGCACTTACATTTGTAGTGAATAACTTGTTGATGGAAGTGTTTCGTGTTGTGAGAACCTTCCTAACAGAATGACAGTTGTTTTATTAACTCCATAAATATTGGGCTTAAAAGGAAGGGAAACCAGGACAAGGAACCACTGGGAAGCCTTTGTCTTTCTAGAGAACTTTTAGAAAGATTGGGCCTCTTCTGCTGTAGCCAGCCTATAGAAATGGTTGAGGGTTTTAACATGCAAACTCCATCCTATACCACCCAGATTGGTACTTCTCTACAGATTTGCTTGAAACAAAAGTAATCCTAACCACCTCTTTAAATGAGAGATGTTCCTTATTTTCTTTAATGTCAGTGGCATGTGTTGTGATAAATGTTTGTGCAGGTTGTCCATAGGTAAGATTCAATTCTCTGCTGGCTGTGCTTACTCAATGTTGCCTGCTCAGCATACAGTGATGAGAGGTTCCACTGGAGAGGTGCCTTGTATTTGACCACACTCTAATCTAGCAACTCTGTCAGTTTCTTTGGATCATTTCCACACTTTAATTAGAGCTGGGAGCTACAGCCTTCTTTCCATGACTGGTTTAAGCAGGTGCTACATTTGCGTCTCAGTCCCTAGGACCAGGGAAGAGTAGTCATTTATTGGTTGGATTTCAGAAGGGAATGTGTGGGATTGCTTACTTTCTTCAAAGCCCTGGTTGCCTTTAGAAGCAGTAAAATATAAGGGGAATAAGATTGTATGTATCAAGATGGACTCAAACTAAAAAGCATCTTCACAGCAAAGGAAACAGTAAGAGAAGAGAGAGCTTACAGAACAGGATAAAATCTTTACCACACACACTTCAGATAGAGCACTAATCTAAAGGATATATGAAGAACTCAAAAAACTTAATACCCCAAAAACAAATAACCCAATGAACTAATGGACTAAGAAACTGAACAGACACTTCACAGAAGAAATACAGTCGATCACCAAATATATGAAAAAGCATTCAACATCTCTAACAGAGAAATGCAAATCAAAACTACAGGGATACCATCTCACTCCAGTCAGAATGGCAATTATCAAGAATACAAGCTACAAGCAACAATAAATGTTGGCAAGGTTATGGAGAAAAAGGTACACTCACACATTGCTGGTGGTACTGCAAATTGGTGCAACCACTCTGGAAAGCAGTATGGAGATTCCTCAGAAAACTTGGAATGGAACCACCATTTGACCTAGCTATCTTTCTCCACGGTTTATACCCAAAGGACTTAAAATTAGCCACATCAATGTTTATAGAAGCTCAGTTCACAATAACTAAACTATGGACCCAACCTAGGTGCCCTTCAATAGATAAAGAAATTGTGGTATATATACACAATGGACTATTACTCAGTATTAAAGAAGAATGAAATTACAGGATTTGCCGGTAAATGGATGGAACTAGAGTGAAATAAGCCAATCCCAAAGAAAGGCTGAATGTTTTCTCTGACATGCAAATGCTAATTCACAATAAGGGCTGGGAGGCAGGTGGATAGAGGTACTTTGGATTAGCAGGGGAGTGAAGGAAGGGGAGGGGATATGAGGGTAGGAATGATAGGGTAATAATGTCCGATTCATTCTACTATGTGCAGATAATGAGTACAAGACTGGTGTAGCTCTACATCATGTATAACCAGAAGAATGAGAAGTTATACTCCATTTATATATGATTTGTCAAAATGTATTCTACTGTCATGTATAACAAATTAGAACAAATTTTAAAAAAAAGAAAAAAATTATATGTATCACCCAGGACTAAAGGAAATTTTAATCTCTTTCCTTACCATCTGCTCTGTTGACATCTCCCTTCATATCTTCATACTCTACACCAATTTCTAGGTTACACAGCTGTGTTAGTCAGCTTTTCATCACTGTAACCAAAATACTTCACAAGGACAGCTTAGAGGACAAAAAGTTTAGTTTGAGCTAACAGCTTCAGATGTCTCAGTTCCATTGCTCTGAGTCTGAGGTGAGGCAGAACATCATGGTGGAAGGGCATGGTAGAGGAAAATTGCTCAGATCAGAGCAGCCAGGAAGCTGAGAAAGGGAGCAAGGAGCCTGGGGACAAGATATATTCTCCAAGGGTATGGCCCCGTGATCTACTTCCTCTAGCCATGCCCCACTCATCTATAGTTATCAACTTGTACAATAATCCTTTCAATTTATTAATCCATCAAATTGATTAAACTACTGAACAAGCTGTTGTTCTCATAATTAACCATTTCATCTTTGAATACTGCTACATTGGATAACATGTTTCTAGTACATGAGCTTTGGGGGGATATTTCATATTCATACCATAACAGCAGCTCACTGACTAGAAAAAACGTTGGTATCTTACTGGTTTAATGACAAATTAATGGTTCACTTATGTCTGACTTAAGTTATTAGCATTTGAAACCAGTCGTTTGCGCACTATGGTATGCTAGGAAGTCAGAGCTGAATTAAACATTCCCAATTGCAAGGCAAACTTACTTAAAGTTGCAAAACATACATTTGAAATCCCCCCTTTTTTTTTAATTAGGAAATGAAACTGGCAATTAGCCAGGTTGAAAAATTGGGAAGATCAGATAAAACAAATGAGGGAATTATGATCTTGAAATTATTTAGCAAGTTGATTAGCAAATGCAGTTTTTGATGGACTGTGAAAATTCCGTAGAATAAAGAATCAAAGGACCAAGCAGAATCAGCAACAGTGAAGGTGTGGAATGGGTGGGGTATGAATAGTTGCATCTGGAGAGAAGAGCTGCTGATTTTAATTCTGGCAGGTCAACCAGGTTATTGTGATTTTACCTCCCAGGAAATGTAGCATTTCAAATTTAGTCTCAGAGCATATGTAGGATTTTTCCAGGCAAGAAAGGGCAGAAAGGGTATTCTAGACAAAGGTAAGAAAGCGCTGGGCTTGTGTAGATGAGTCCAGAGCAGTAAGGAGAATGTAGGAAGGATGGGCGTTGGAGGGAAACATGCACAGGCCAACAGGCTTTGCAGTAAAGATGCCCTGGAGTTCTGTCCTCATTACATTATGCAGTCTTGATTTCTGAATTAAATAAAAATAATATAGCATTCTTAGTGTTTTCTTTTAGACTTGCAGTTTTAATAAATGTGACATCAGAAATGAAAGGGTCTGATTGCCCAATATCTTTCTTCGGTGTTTTCTTTTAGGAGTAAGTAGGAACACATTTACATGGCTGTAGTTTCAGCTTAGGAATATTTGAATGTTTTACTTCTCTTCAATGTACTATATCTTTAGAATTTTTCCAAATTACTTCAGTCAACTATTCTATTAAATGTCAACTACTCATTAAATGGATGTTCCTCCCAAAAATGCATAAAGATGTTTCTTATAGTTTCATTTATAATAACGGAAAAAATAGGAATACATTAAGTATTTAATGATAGGGATGGTTTGAAAAAATTGTATATGTGTGTTTTGAAATATATTTTGAAATGGAATTCTTGAGTGACAGATTAGATAGGGCTTGCAAAGAGAGCACCAATCTCAGATTTCCAAGTGGAATTTTAACACTTTCACCTCTCCGATAGATCTAAGTGCTCTGAGCATTTGTGTATGTATGTATAATACCTTTTAAATAATACATATAAGATATATCATAAAAGTATTTCTTGATTTTTAATTCATGGCCACCAATTATATTGTAAATGATTAATAATTATTTAAAATGTTTAGATGGCTATTATAATTTGTCATCACAATGTGAGAATCTATTGCTGGTACCTTTGTGTTTCACAAATGATGATTTATTCTAGCAGCAAATTGCCCGACCCTCACAAGAAGAAAAAGTAGAAGAAAAAGAAGAGGATAAAGCAGAAAAAACAGAAAAGAAAGAAGAAGAAAAGAAAGATGAAGAGGAAAAGGATGAGAAGGAGGACTCTAAGTGAGTTAAATAATTATTAATAAGTGTTGTAGTTACTTTTAAATAATGAAACTGAGTCTTTTGAAGGTGTGAAATATTGGATAAAAGAATCAGTGGGATATGGGTTTTGTTATTTGACATGACTAAGTAATGAAGTATAATTTCTTGGCTTATTGGATTTATTTGCCAGCCATGACTTACTCCTTTTCAGACAGGATGAGCTACAATAATGCGTATTTCTCACAAAGATGTGTTGAATTTAATTTAATCTTGGATTTGGAAGATTCCTCGGGCTCTTTTATGAGCCTCAAATAGTGTACCTTAGGTAGTGTAAAAATGCTGAGAAAGGAACTTTTCACTAATATAGTATATTCTAGGTTCATTGACCATATTATATAAAATACATTTCCCAATTTATTTGCTGTTGCCATTTTCCTGGTAATAAAAAATAGAAAATCAGGAAGAGAAAGCAAAGTATAATGAAAGTTAGTCTGTCATTTTGCCAGTCAGAGACAGCCACTGAGGCTTTTGTATACATTTAGGCACAGAGCGTCTCAGGCACTGGATTGGTTGTTTACCCCGAACTATTATGTTTACAAATAATGTAGACTAAAATTCATCAATTTTAGATTGATGTGTTTAGACAAGTGTATGTACTTGTGTAGAGCATTTCCAATCATCCTATTCCTGTAGGCTTCTTTGAAGTGATATCAAATTTGTAATAGGTTTCTCTGCCCCCATTCCTAGCCTGTGGCAACCGCTTCTGCCTATTCTAGAATTATATGGAAATGGTGTCATACAGTATGCATTAGTCAGGTTTCTATCACTATAGCAAATACCTGAGATAACCAACTTATATCTTTGGCTCATATATTTGGAGGTTTCAATCCATAATTGGGCCTGTGGCAACACAGCATATCATCAAGGGAGCACATGAAGTACCAAAACCATTAAACTCCTGGCCAGGAAGGAAAGAAGATAGAGAGGAAGAGGCCAGGGTCCCAGAATTCCCTTCAAGGGCAAGCCCCCAATGACCTAAAAACCTCCCACTAGGCTCTGCCTTCTAAAGGCTCCATTGTCTCTCTTTAGTACTGTCCTAGGGACCAAACTTTTAAACACATGGACCTTTTGAGAATATTTAAGATCCAGCCTATAGCAAGTATGTAATGTGTTATGTGACTTATTAACATAAATTTCTTCGAGATTTATCCAGGGTGTTTGATGTGTAAATGGTTTGTTCCTTTTTAATATCTATTTTGTTTCTGTAATCCTCTTGGAAGTACTTAAGTTTTACCTAGTTCTGGGGTGACTAAAGCTGCCTAAGTCACTTGACATGGTTTGAAAAGTGTTAGATATTCATGCTTTTCTAATTTTATATCTTAGGAAGATGCGTATAAAGGAAAAGTTTAGGTTATTTTAGTTTAGGTTAAACTTTTATCCTACCACATAGTCAGTGGTTCTGCTCAAGTGGAACTACCTTACCTGGTTTTACTTTTATCTTTTTTTTTCTTTCTTAGAACTGCTATACCTTAATTTTACTTTTTTCTTAAAATATCTATTGTTGTTATTGTTTTGTATGTATGTGTATATATTTGTATGTATGTGTGCATGTGTCTATGCATTTACTTATTTTTGGCAGTACTGGGGTTGAATCCAAGGCACTGTACCACTGAACTATACCCTCAGCCCTTTATATTTTTTATTTTGAGATAGGGTCTTGCCAAGTTGCTGAGGCTGGCGTCAAATTTGCAATCCTTCTGCCTCCCAGGTAGCTGGGATTACTTAGGTGTGCACGACCACACCTAGCTTCTAAGTTATTTTAACAATTCATTATCTATTTGGGCTAAATCTTAAGGAGAATACAAAAAATACTTAAGATGTATACTATTTCCAGGTAGTTTATAATCTGCTAGGGGAGAGCAAGGCAAGATACAAGAACTGTTTACAAGGAGAAAAAAATCTTGGAAATAAGAATAAAGCATATTGGGAAATTGAGATATGGTCAAGTTTGCTTCTGTGTTGGCAGTTGGAATACCACACTTCTCAGGGTCATGTCTTAGTGTTCTCAAAAGTTTCATGCCATATCTACATGTTTGAACACCTTTAATTTGGAAAAAGTGACCCCTTACTCAGTGCCTTCCATCTTAGATTGCCACCCCTCTTCTCTTGTATCATTCTTTAATCTTTGCAACAGCTCTATGAAATATATTACCATTATCCTTATTTTACAGATGAAGAAACTGAGGCTCATGGGAATGAGGCAATTTTTCCAAAGTTATTGCTAGGCTAGTAAATCCAAGGCATCTTTGCCCTGGGATGTAATCATTATTGGTAGTGGTTCAGAACACTGAGTCTAGTTTAATGAAACAGTATTGTGGATTACTACTATAGAGTAAGCATCAATCATAAAGGTACTTACTATCTGTTTCAGCTTCTTCATTTCACTAATAAGACAACTTAGAGGAAGTGTAAAACACCCTGGACTCCTGCCGTTTGGTATAGACCATGCCTTTGAATTGCAGGTCTAGGGGATCTTGTGCTGCCATTTGTTAATTTCCTTGTGGAATATTCTGGTTTTGAATCAGTTAATTTGAAATATGTTTAAAATGTAAGTCCATTAATATGTTTTATTAAAAAAAGTATGGAATATTTTCATTTTAACCAGCCAAAACTCTTCAAAATTAGGGCATAAAAGAATTTTACCTGGGGCTGGGGATGTGGCTCAAGTGGTAGCACGCTCGCCTGGCATGTGTGCCGCCAGGGTTCGATCCTCAGCACCACATACAAACAAAGATGTTGTGTCCGCCGAAAAACTAAAATAAATATTAAAAAAATTCTCTCTCTCTCTTAAAAAAAAAAAAGAATTTTACCTAAATTTTTTAAAAATAAATAAGAGATTGGTTAGATTTATTCAATTTTTAAGTAAAGGATGTCCCAAACTGCAGCCTTATTTGATACACACAAATTTTCATTGCTTTTGTTTCCAGAGAAAATACCAAGGAAAAGGATAAGATGGAAACTACAACAGAAGAAACTGAGGAGAGAGAACAGGCCACGCCTAGGGGGCGAAAGACTGCCAACAGTCAAGGCCGCCGGAAGGGGCGAATCACCAGGTCCATGACAAATGAAGCTGCAGCTGCCAGTGCCGCAGCTGCAGCTGCCACTGAAGAGCCTCCACCACCTCTGCCACCACCACCAGAACCCAGTGAGTGGGAGGAATTGGCATGAATAGGCCATAATTTGTATGGAATTCTCTCTCAGTATTAGGGTTCTCTAATGTTGATAATCTACAAATAATCCTGAAGTCTGATCTTTAAATTTTTTGAACTTTATTAATGTCAATTTTTTTGAAAATGAACATGAGCCACAATCTTGCTACTCAAATACAGCTGTTTTTCTTTTTTAATTAGTTATAATCCTAGTGGGCGTGTCACTTTTTGTTTTAATGTTTTTACTTGTTATATATCAGATATTTTCTAATTTCTTAGTAATCTCCATTTTTACTTTGTAAATGGCCATAAGTGTTGGCATTTTTTTCCTGAGACATGACTTATTTAATCAGGCAGTCCCATTCCTCATCTTAAACCAATATAGACAACACTATAATGGGAAAAAAAAATCTGTGCACATAGCATTGTTTTTCTGTTAAATTATTTTTCATAGGAATAAATTCTTAGGCAAATTTATATTGGGCCTAGAATCCAAGCATATTTCTCTCTCTCTTTTAAAAAGTATTGTCTCATTAGTTTATAAAAGGATTGTTTGAATGATAAGTACCACCATTAGTGATTCGTGGTACCAATTTTCCCATAATATGAAGTATGAAAGATAGTGCAAGTTCTAGGAATGAGTGTAGCTCAGTGGTAATGCTCCTACCCTTGAGTTAAATCCCGAGTAGCAAAACAACAACAACAAAAAACAAACATAGGCAGAGGGACAGATCATGATGGGCTTTGTTTGAACTATATCTGTTTTGCTTACAAAGGAGAGAGCTTGCAAAGGTTTTTACATAGAAGAGTGCTCTGATTAGATTTGTACTTTAGCAAGATAGGTCTGGAAGTGGTAGGTGAAGGTCAGATTAGAAGGGCTCAAGAATGGAAGCAGATGTTGTATATGTGAAGGAGACGATAGTTGATACATGTCATTGGGTGTGAGTAGTAAGTGACAAGGAGGATTCAAAAATCAGTCTGAGGAACCTATTCATAATTCAGATGATTATGTTACTATTAATTGAGTAAGAATGTAGCAAGAGTTCATTTCAGGCTTGATATTTTCAGTTTTCTTTCTGAAGTAAGAGAGCAAACATTCTGTGCATTATCCCTTTGTGCCTGCTGGATACCAGAAACAGAAATGAACAAAAAGAGTTAGGTCAAGATGAGGGTTCAGAGAAAGGGAGAGGGCACTGTTCCCAGACAAAAAGAAACAGGGTTATTTTGTCCTTTGACAATGTAAGAAAAGAGGAGTGATCTTTTAAGCTGGAAAGCATTGGGTGAGGTGGGACTTTCTTAAAACTAAGCTAAAGTTGTTGAAACATGTAGACATGGATAGAACTTCTGAGAACATTGAGAAAGATTGTTTTGCTGAGAAAAGTAAAACTTTTCCATCTAGTTGATAGAAAAGAGACTGATAGCATCTAATTTTCATAGTTGTTGTTTTTATTTCCCACCAAATGCTTTAAACAGACTTTATAGCAGGTGAAGAGTTTACAGATTACATTGTTTGTCTGAATGAAGGATTTTTCTTTTCTTTTTTTGGTACTAGGGAGTGAATCCAGGGGCGCTCAACCACTAAGCCACATCCCCAGCCCTTTTTTGTGTTTTATTTAGAGACACTGTCTCACTGAGTTGCTGAGGCTGTCTTTGAACTCACAGTCCTCCTGCCTCAGCCTCCCAAGCTGTTGGGATTACTGGTGTGTGCAACCCTACCCTTCGAAGGATTTTTCTTTCTCTTTTTTTCTTCTCTGCTTAACTGGGTTTTCTCCTTTTGTTTTAGTTTCCACAGAGCCTGTGGAGACCTCTCGATGGACAGAAGAAGAAATGGAAGTGGCTAAAAAAGGTAAATTATAATAGTTAGATCTTCTCAAAGTTTTTTTAGTTTGTTTTTGTTTTAAAGGGTGATTAGTCATGAGCATAATAGAAATACTTTTGTAATTTAGGAAATGAAAAGGTTCTTCCAAGAGGGTAGGGTTTCTAAGCAAATTTAAGAGTTCTTTTTGATAGTATAGTACCCTTAAGGTACTATGATGTTATTTTGAATATCTTCATAAAACAAGTAGCTTTTCCAGAATAGTTGCTATTGAAATTATTTTGGAACAAACTTTGATATAAATTCCATATTTATGTTGTTTTAGAGTTACATTCAATAGAATGGCACCTACTTTTTCAGTTTGCATTTGGGTTAAGTCTTTTGATTATAAACCATTAAGTGTCAGGATTAGTGGCCCATATTTGTAATTCCAGATACTTGGGAGATTGAAAGTTAAAGGCCACCCTGGGCAACTCAGGGAGACACTGACTCAAAATAAAACTAAAAATAAAACAGAATGAAGTGTAGCTCAGTGGTTGAATGCCCCTGGATTAAATCCCCAATTCCACAGAAATAGAATAAATAAACCATTAAAGAAATTACACTGTGGAGGAGAGAACATGAAGTTTATAGCCAAGCAGACTAAAGTTTTGAGTTCTTCTCTGTTACTTTACTGTGTCATCTTACTATGGAACTTTATGTACCTTGTAGTTTTYTCTTGTTGCTTATTAATGTAGTATGATTTAAAATTGAACTAAATTACATTAGGGTAAATATTGGTAGTTAATTTTAAGAAAGATTAATTCTTTTGTTGTTTAAATATTTACCTTGTAGTTCCAAAGGGAAATTGTTATATGTAATTTGGCCTTTTGGTGACATATTTCAGATTTATTTACTATTTATCAGATAATAAATAATGTGTCTTAGACTCAAGTATAAGCAAACTTAACCAAAAATCAAACAGTTTACAGAGTTCTATTTTTAAAGTATTTTTATTTGAACCTTATTTGCCATGATTGGCAAATGCTARATCTGCATTGTTTTTGAGAAGATTCACGTTTATTCTCATGTCATCATCAAAATATCATATTTAAATAAGCAGGTGTAAGCTCTATCATGAAAAGATCTTTTTCAGACAGATATATCTATGTTTAACTATCTAATCTATACTATTTAAGAAACTATCAGGCAATATTTGGTAATGGTCTTTCTCCCTTATTATTAAGGGAGCTATTTGTATTAACCTTGAAAAACTGATGTTTACCTATAAATTATTAAATTTGTACTGGGAATTTCTGTTTATGTATACCTATATCTAAAGTATCTTTATATTGTTGTCTACGTATGTATATATACAATTATATACTCATATTTTTCCACGTATATGTGTGTATAGTTGTTTGATTAGAGAATTATTCAATTGCATAATTTTCTGTGATGTGTTATATTAAAACAGGATTTTAAAAAACTGGTTAATTTTTTGAGGGCATTGCTTGATTGTGAATTGACTGGCATAAATCCTGATTATCAGTGAGGTTTCCTACAAATGAGACTGTGATAGTCATTTATATTTGATTATCTTATTATTGATACACTGTCTCTAGGATCTAGAAGTACCTAATTGCTTAGTTTGCAAGCATTTGAACTATAACTGTGGGTCCAATGTTGCCCTGCCCCTGTAAATATACATAGCACAGGTAAGATTTAGCCCTCTATTAATGAGCATATTTTAAATTTGGGGGGAAAATACAGGACAAAAATGAGTTTTCAGTCAGTAAATATTGAAGTACATTTATAAGTAATTGAAAGCGTGTCTGTAGTGTTAATGATTGTAAATACAGTGATTACATTGATTTATTATTTCTCTTGCTTGCAGTCACTATTCAATTAATGCTTCATCTGCTTTTAAAATACAGGCCTAGTAGAACATGGCCGTAACTGGGCGGCAATTGCCAAAATGGTGGGAACTAAAAGTGAAGCTCAGTGTAAAAACTTCTATTTTAACTATAAAAGACGACACAATCTCGACAACCTCTTGCAACAGCATAAACAGAAAGTGAGTATATCAGAGGTAGAGAAGCTTTGATTTATCTTTTTTTTTTTTTTTTAACTTCAAGTGTTTTCAAACTTCAGAGATTGATTTTGGAGAAACTTTTTTGTATCTTGTATTTGTATTTATGCATTTACCTGTAAGAAGTATTCTAATTTCTTGATACAGGTCAACTGGTTTCCTTTTTACTAATCAAAAAGATTCCTATTTGTAGTAATGGGAATTCAGTGCTTTTGAATTACTGTAGATGGGAAGTTTAATTGAAAACTTTAGGTGACGTTTTATCATATTGAATGAGTCAATTTGGTACATTAAAAAAATGTTTTTTTCAAAGACAAAGATTATGTGGAATAAAAAACCAGGGGTTATACTCAAATTATTATTATTTTCAAATTATTGAAAATTTACTTGAAATAAATTACTATTATTGGAATTTTTCTTAAAAGAAAGTTTTAGTATAGTAGTTCTTATAATTTTGGAGAGTCCTTTGAGGTAAAAATGGAAAATGCTTATACTTTCATGAAACTATGAAGATGTTATTTGCTTTTTTCTACTATATTAATATTTGGATTGATGGATAAAACTGCTGGTGGCAGTATACTCAGTGTGCTGGTACTCATTGTGTTCTTTATCTCCAAGTAACTTTTAAAAAACAGTACCAGATTCAGAAGTGGAGGTTTAACTCAGTGGTAGAGCATTTGGCCTAGCATTTGCAAGGCCCTGTTTTGATCCCCAGCACCATAGATAATAAGATAAAATAAAATGAAAAGGCTAGTTTTACCGAAGAATGTCCTTGATGAAGAATAAAAATTAATTTGATTGAATGATTACATTAAAGTACTCGTATTTTACTACTCTGTGTAATGAAATGGGAAGTACACACATGGCTCTTTTACAAAAATATGATTATTCTATCATGGAAAAGTGCTTTTGCAGGTGTTTGAATTCCAGGCTGAAATATGTTCCCTTTTTCATAGAATATTGTTTTTACTTGAAAGCATAACAATGTGATTTTTCAAATTTTTGTATTTGGCAGACAGGTTTTTTGTTGTTTTGTTTTGTGTTTTTTTCTGACAATAAGTGAGCCTGTCTTTCAGAATAAATAACAAATAGTATTTGTTTTCACTTTTAAAATTTCATGCTTGCAAATGAAAAGGAGAATTTTGGAAAATGCTTATACTTTACTGTGTGTGGGTTTTCCCTAAGTGTAGGAAAATACCTAAGATGATCAAAATGAGAAGAGGTGTATTTTGGCTCACAGTTTTTGAGATTTCAGTTTATGGTTGCTTTGGAGCCTGTGGTAAGGTAGCAAGCACATCATGGCAGGAGCAGTGGTAGAAGAAGCCTGTTCACCTGATGGCCTATATGAGGAAATACACAGGAAGGAAGGGCACCCAGTCCTGATGTCTCCTTCGTGGACACACACTCAGCAACCTGAGCTCTTCTGCTAGGGCACACCCCTTAACGGTTCTACCATTTCCATGAGCTAAGGCCAAGCCTTTAACACATGGAGGTTTGGGGGTATTCCAGATCCATAGTATGGTAGCATGAACTTAATATGTTCTGGTTACACTTTTTTGTTGTTGTTGTACCAGAGATTGAACCCAAGAATGCTCAACCACTGACACACCTTTTTATTTTCTTTTTAAATTTTATTTTGAGACAGGGTCTCTCACTAAGTTGCTTTGGGTCTCACTAAGTTGCCGAGGCTGGCTTTGAACTTGTGATCTTCCTGCCTCAGCCTCCTGAGCTGCTGGAATTACAGGCATGTACCATGCCCAACTAGTTATACTGTTTTGATGAGATCAGTGGTTATAGATAATTTGGTGATTTGCTATATAATGAAGTATATCAAATTTGAAAAATCTACATAACTAAGTACTTTTTGCTTTTCTTTTTTGGTGCTGCAGTGGAACTCAGGGTGTTATGCATGCTAGGCTAGTGTTCTACTACTGAGCTGTATCTCCAGCCCTTCAGTATTTTTCAAATGACCAGTTGGTGATATTACAGTGGATATTATTTATTGCTAAAGGATTCCCATATGGAAGTATAAGACAAATTAATAAACTTTAACATAATAGAGTACAAAATGTTTTATTAATGAGGTTTCAGATTTCATCAAACTTTTAAGCAACTACTTACCAAAGTTTGGTACAATATCAGAAAACAGACTCTATGGGGTCCTTAATACTTTTTTTAAAAAAATATTTATTTTTTAGTTGTAGTTGGACACAACACCTTTGTTTAATTTACTTATTTTTATATGATGCTGAGGATCAAACCCAGGGCCTTGCACACGCTAGGCTAGCTCTCTACCACTGAACCACAACCCTAGCCCCTTATTACTTTTTAATACTTTAGGGTTCTTAGACCAAAATGTTTTAGTATCATTAAGGAGAGAAGAATGAGTAATGAAAACACAAAATACTTAAGTTTACTAAGATGTGAACTTACAAAGAAGAGTATATACTCTTTTTTTTTCCACATTTAAGATTTAATGATGCTCAGCAAAGGACACAATTCAGTGGGAGAGAGGACAGTCTTTTCAGTAAAATGTGCAGGGAAAATCAGATATCCATAATAGATAAATTAAATTGAAAGATCATATATTCTTGATATATAATATTTTTTAAAAATATTTTTTTTAGTTTTGATAGACCTTTATTTATATGTGGTGGTGGGAATCGAACCCAGTGCCTCACACATGTCAGGGAAGTATGCTACCAATGAGCCACAGCCCTAGCCCTTCAAATACAATATTGATTCAAAAGAGTATATACAATGGAACTTTGAGGTTGCAATAGTTTAAAGTGTCCTATAAGAACCAAAACATAAAGAACAGAAAATAACAACAAAAAATATATATTGACAAGATGAAGTCTTGAGTTCAGGAGATACCATCTAAAATGTTTTGGGAGAAAGTCAAGTAAACAGTGAATCAAATGTTTGTTGTGTTTGTTTTGTATTGTTTTTTTTTAGTACTAGACATTGAATCCAGGTTTCCTCTATCACTAAACTACTCCCCCCAGCACATTTTTATTTTTTATTTGAGACAGGGTCTCACTAAATTGATGAGGCTGGAATTAAATTTGTGATCCTCCTGCCTTGACCTCCTGAGTGACAGAAATTATAGGCATGGTACCATGTCAAGCCAGCTGTTATTTTTTTTAAAGATAAATATTTTAGCCAGATGCCTGTAATTTTAGCACCTCAGGAAGCTGAGGCACAAATGTCGCAAGTTTGAGGCTATAGCTGGACAACTTAGACCCTGTCTCAAAATAGGACTGGGGATGATCCCTCAGTGGTAGAACACCCCTGGGCTTAATCCCCATATTTAAGAAAACAAAAACAAAAAGAAACATACTAGTTGTGGTTCTCCAAGGATAAAAAATCAGCAGTATGTGAACATATATGTATAGAGAGAGATGTAAGGAAAGAAAAAAATGAAAGATGAGGACGGGAGGAATTGACCCATGTGATCGTGAGGGTTTAACTTCCATGGAGTAGGCTGACTGAAAAGACTTAGAAAAGAATTGGAGTCCATTCTGCTTCAGAATCCTCCTTACTCCAGGGAAGTCAGTGTTTGTTCTGCTTAGGCCTTCAGTGGATTGGATGAGCCCTCCTCCCCTCCTCTCTCCATGGAGGGTAATATGTTTTATTTATAGCCTACTCATTTAAATGTTAATCTTATTACACCTGTACAGAAACATCCAGAGTAATGTTTGGTCAACTCTCTGGGCAAAGTGTCCTAGCCAAGCTGACACACAAAATCACAAACATCTCTAAAACATCTAGTTCTAATCATTATGATTAATCACAATTAAAATGATAGAGACAGCAGACTTCTCTTGCTATCTAGAGTGTTTTATCTTTTTAAAAAAGATTTCAAGGGCTGGGGATCTAGCTTAGTGATAGAGCATTTTCCTAGGGTATGTGAAGCCCTGAGTTCAATCCCCAGCATCACTTAAAATGACTAATACTTGTCAATCCTCAGTAGTACATATGTAGGTGTTAAATAAAATGCCTGTGCATCTTGCCAAATTTACTCATCAAATTGGTGAATGCATAGATGTCATAGGTTTTGGAATGTCAAATCTCAGTGAAGAAAATGCTTTAAGATGTTGCAGGTTATTGCATGTGAAGAGCAGAATTTTACCCAGTGGTAGTGAAAAGCTGTTTCTTCTATAATCATTAGTTAAAGGACTAAACAGAATGGGTTAATATTTGCAAAGGAGGGGCAAAAATCCATATACTATTTGTTATCTAATACTTGAAAATATTATGGTAGCATTCATGGAATCTTTTTTTTTAAAGATGGACATAATAACTTTATTTTATTTATTTTTATGTGGTGCTGAGGATCGAACCCAGTGTCTCAAATGTATTAGGCAAGCTCTCTACCTCTGAGCGACAACCCCAGCCCCTTCTGATAGGATTTTAAGAAACATGGAGCGCCTTTCTGGGATTGTTTCCTTTCATTCCTCCTAGGGATACTCTGATTAATATTGGAAAATAATTGTTTCTCTTCAGTTAATTAATGCTGTGGGTTGGATCCTAAATAGCATTATCATATATTAACTAAGAATAATGACTAGGCATCTTGGTAATTTTTAGCAGGTTGGGGCAGTAAGAATATTTTTTCCTCTCTATGAAGAGTCTTGGTGGTAGAGGCTGACAGGTGAAATACATGATGGGCATAGAACAGAACTTCCAGTGCCAATACCTGCAAACACAGGAGACCTTAAATTTTGTATCTAGCAACATAAGGCTATAAATATAGTGTAAGTAGCAAGCATCTTCCATTTAAATATGTACACACATAACAAATTATGTGGCTTCATTAGAAGAATGAGCGATTTTACATAAACACATAATTTGCAGAATGGAACACACTATTTAAAGAACAACAAGGGCTGGGGCTGGGGCTCAGTGGTGGAGCGCTTGCCTAGCATGTGAATACGTGAATAAAATAAAGGTTCAATTCTCAGCACCACATATGAATACGTGAATAGTGAATAAAATAAAGGTCCATCAATGTCTAAACAAATTTGAAGAAAAACATAGAAGGAATTTGTCTTCATTAATAGTAAAAGAAATGATTTGTTATTGCCCATAAAGTTGCCTAATTCTTAAAGCTAGCATTATTAATAATACCCCAAATTGAAAATTACTCAAATGCCTTAAAATAGGAGAATTTAACTATACACTGATAACTGTATTTTTATGGAATATTTTATAAGAACCATTTTGAAGGGGCTGGGGATGTGGCTCAAGCGGTAGCGCGCTCGCCTGGCATGCGTGCGGCCCGGGTTCGATCCTCAGCACCACATACCAACAAAGATGTTGTGTCCGCCGAGAACTAAAAAATAAATATTAAAAAAATTCTCTCTCTCTCTCTCCTCTCTCACTCTCTCTTAAAAAAAAAAAAAACCATTTTGAAGAGTTTGTAGCATAGAGATATGTTCTCTTCAAAGCTATTTTAGGTTAAAAAAATTAGACTTGGGATATATGACTACATGGGTCTGTCCAAGCTGTGGACAGACTTCTATATGTGTACATGCATCTAAAGGACTTAAAAGGAACTGTACTAGTATACTTGGAATCTCTAGCTTTTGAAATTATGAGAATTTTTTAAAATTCAATTTTCTGTATCTTCCATGTTTTAATCTGTAAGTTATGTTTATTTGAAAATAAATATTATTTTACTTACAAAAATACATTTCCTGGAGTAGGAAAGGATCATGAAAACTTGTGGTCCCAAAAATGGTTCAGATGTAAACTTTTCATCAGCTTTGTGAAATTGACCCATCTGCACAAAAGGCCTGACAGTGGTTGCCTGCACATTAACGAGAGAATTGTCACAGACATAACCATCTTTTTCTGTTTCTTTTTTTAGAATATTTTTAGTTGTAGATGGATACAATGCCTTTATTTGGTTTTTTGTTTTTTTATTTATGTGGTGCTGAGGATTGAACCTAGTGCCTCACACATGCTAGGCAAGTGCTCCACCACTGAGCCCCAGCCCCCACATAACCATCTTGTATGTGTGTGTCAGTGTTCTATATTTTTTCAGAAGGGAAAAGGTTTGATTTTTTTTTTCTTCTTAGCTATTTAAATCACAAATAATATCATGTATTCCTTTAGGCTTCACGTAAACCTCGTGAAGAACGTGATGTGTCTCAGTGTGAAAGTGTTGCTTCCACCGTTTCTGCTCAGGAAGATGAAGATATTGAAGCTTCCAATGAAGAAGAAAATCCTGAAGATAGTGAAGGTATCTTAAAAATCTTAAATTTAGTGTGATTTTTACCTCAAATACATTATTTTTAGCTTAACTTTGTAGGAATTGCTTTATTGAAGAAATGGTATATCTTTGTCATGGCATAGTCTTTAAGCTTGAATATAATATATTTATTCAATTGATCAACAAATTTTTATTTACGTAGCACTTAAGATGGTCTGGGTCCTACAGCCAGAAGATCACAACAAGTCCTGCGTCAAACTCCAAGTTTCAGCATCCATAAAATGTCTGTACATTTGTATCATTTCCAAATTTACTTGTTCAACTGGTATTATTAGTTACATTTTTCTCCTTATTTTATTGCTTCGAGGTTGATTTATTTCATATTTGGACAAATATTTACATATGTCATATGTATGCTTTCATGTAACAAGAATTAATGACCTTGGAAGCCCCAGTAAAATACTTAATAAAATCCCTTTTTGTCATTCAAAAAAACGACAACTTCCTACAAAAGTAAGTATTTTCTGAGTTTTTGCTAGTTAAAGAAAAGATATCTAATTAATTCATCTAATTTATTTCTTTTGTAAATTGATTGCTTTGTGGGGATTTTCATAATGCTTCTATTCTTTATAAATTATCTATTGAACATGTTTGTTTTATATACACCTATCTAAAATGTTTTTTTTTAATGTTTGAATTACTAGAGTTTAAACTTTGTTTAATTAGAGCTGTTTATCTTTTCCTTTGTAGGCCTTTATATTTTATAAAGTTTAGGAAGCTTTACATCCCCCAATTCTAGAAATATTGGATTTTATTTATTTTCTACAGGTTATTGTTGTTGCCTTTTAAACATAAAACTTGTCTTGAAATGGGTTTTGGCTTTGAATAATAATGAAACTTTTCTGTGAGGTTTTTGTGGAAAATGAGGTGATTGATACAAGTGTAAAGAGAATACTGAAACAGGCTTACCTTGGCTAGAATAAGAGTTCTGCTAACAATGGAAGACAGGTGTATTCCTCGTGCTTCCACAGGTCATCAGGGTTTGTTCCTTTTAGTAAGTTTGTATCCGGTAGCTTATATACCCTGGGTTTATGAATGTAAATGAAGCCTATACAGAAGTCCCCCTTATCCAAGGTTTGGTTATCCACAGGCAACTGAATCTGATAATACTAAATGGAAAAATACAATATTTTGAGAGAGAAGGAAACCGAGATCACATTCATGTAACTTTTATTACAATATATTATTGTCATTATTCTATTTTGTTATCAGTTATTGTTATTAATCTCTTACTGTGCCTCATTTACAGATTATCACAGGTATAAATGTATAGAGAAGACATTGCAAATGTAGATTTTGGTACTATTTTCAGTTCTATGGATAAGAGGGGACAACTGAATTAATCTCCTTGGGCACCCATAATAGAATGGTATAGTCTGAGTCACTTAAAATGCAAAAATTTGTTTTCAAATTTAGATCAAGGCGATGACAGAATTGCTATCTGATAAGGATTCTCTTCCTAGCTTACAGATAGTTGCTTCCTCACTTTGTCTTCACATGACCTTTTCTGTGTGTTTGCACACTCCTGGTATCTCTTTTCTCTTCTAAAAGAGCCATGCTGGGTTAGATCCCACTGTTAGGTTCTCATTTAGCCTCAGTTACCTCAATTAGAGGCCCTTTCTACAAATCCAGTCACATTGGGTTTGGGCTTCAATATAGTAATTGGGGAAACAGAACACAGTTCAGTCTATAATAAAGCCCAAGCCTATTATCATAAATGTGTTAATTTCTGAATAGAAAAGTCTATTCATGTATAGGTTAGCAGAGTCTCAAAAACTTGATACCAGAAAGTGACTTTTTCCCATCTGTTTTCTTTGTTATTTTGTCTTACTATGAAGCTTTTTTGTTTGTTTTTCAAATTGCCAATACTATTATGATAGTATATCCGTCTGATCCAGTGTAGGATGGCATGGTCACATCCTTTGTTAATCAAACATGTGGGTATCCTGTGACATCTAGAATTGTGTTCTATCTGTAGAAAATGAACTTGCCAGTAGAAGTGTTGCCAGTAGAAATGATCTCTTCTGCATTTCTTTTTGTCTTAGCTTCATTTGGAAAGTATCATAGAAAAAAGAATATAAAATGCAGTTTATGTGATCTAAGATTGCTAATCTACACTCTCTAAGAGTGTAGATTCACTGTTTTGTATGGCAGCTCTCTTGCCAGTGGAAGAAGGAAAGCACCTGCTGAAGGGAGAATTGCTGTGTCCATTTTCCTCAAATACATCTGATTATCTCCACAATTATAGTTCTGGATTTAAACTTTACCAAAATTTGAAGTTGCTCTTTTATTCTTCAAGGTTGTAAAAAACAACTTTTTTTAACTTTTTTTTTTTTAAAGAGAGAGAGAGAGAGAATTTTAATATTTATTTTTTTAGTTTTTGGCGGACACAACATCTTTGTATGAGGTGCTGAGGATCAAACCCGGGCCGCATGCATGCCAGGCCAGCGCGCTACCACTTGAGCCACATCCCCAGCCCAATTTTTTACTTTTTATTTTTAGGAAAGAAAGGTATTTTTGGTTGGTGCTTGATGAAGCATTATGCACTAGAAATACTCCTACTCTTGTGGCTTGAAAGAAAAAGTGCTTATTTCAAGTGACATCTATTGCACAATCACTGACACATATCTTCTATTATTTTGAGGAAAAGCAACTTGTCATTTTGCCCCTGGATTGGGGGCTTCCCATCACTATATAAACAAAGGTTCATTCAGGCTTAAGTGTTTATTTTTTACTTTAATTATTTACTTAGTTATTTTTCATAGTCCTGGGGAATAAATCCAGAGACACTTTACAACTGAGTTATATATCCCAGCCCTTTTTTATTTTTTATTATGAGATGGTCTCTTGTTAAGTTGCTGAAATTTGCAGCTTGGAATTCTCCTGCCTCAACCTCCTGAATCACTGGGATTAAAGGTATGTGCCATTGCACCTAAGTTTCCACCTTTAACAGAAACAAGTGCAGGTTGCCACAGAAATACATTGAAGAAGCTATTCAGTCTTTCATCATTTTGATAGCAACTTTCACTAATGATAATTGCTACCTTTTATTAAGACCTTACTTCGTGTGAGGTACTTCTGAGTTTTTATTTGTTCTTTTTTTGTTGTTTTTATTTTGGGGACTTGAAGTCTTGAACTTTAGGCTCATTCATCTAATTAACCTACTCAGTATTTATACTTGAATGCCTACAAGCCACCTCAAAGTTAACATCCATAGCAAAATCTTGTTTCTCCCTCACCACAAGCTACTCTTCCCTTCAGTCTTCCTTTATGTCAGTAAATGTTTCTTTGGTTACTCACTCTTTCATATTCCACATGTGGTCCATCAGCAAATCATGACGAGTTTTTCTTAAACATATATTCAGAATTAGATCCCTTCTTATAGCCATTGCTTCTGCTTTTGTTCTGTGGTCCTGTCCTCTCCATTGCAGTCACTTTTTGTTTAGTCTTCTTGCTTCTTTTGGTTCCATTCTTTTTTTTTTTTTTTAACCTTTCACACAGCAAGCAGCCACCTTACTCCTTATACAATGTAAATCAGACTACTCCGGTAATACTTTCCCATCTTCTTATGAATAGAAATCCAGGGCTAGGGTTGTAACTCGATGATAGAGTGCTTGCCTAGCACTGGTGTTGATCCCCAGCACCACATAAAAAAAAAATAAATAGATAATGGCTGGGGATATAGTAGAGTGCTTGCCTTGCATGCACAAAGTCCTGGGTTTAATCCCTAGCCCCACATTCACACACACACACACACACACACACACAAAAAAAAAAAAAAGAGGTATTGTGCCCACCTACAACTAAAAATACATATATTAAAAAAGAATAGAAACCCAGGCCCATTGTGACCATTGAGGCCTTATATGAACTGACCTTTGTACATCTATGAACTTTCTGCCAACCATTTTTCTGCTTGCTCCCTCTGCTCCAACCACACTGTCGTCTTTGCTGTAACCAAGCAGAACAGTCCCACCTGAGGCCTTGGCACTTTCTGATCCCTCTATCTGGAATATTGTTCCCCAAAGCATGCTCAGGGTTTACTCTGTTCAGGTACCAATTTATCTTCTGTAATCCTTCCTCACCCACTGTATCTTTGGGTTTGTTATTTAGTTGCTGCATTTTTTTGCCATGTGATATACCAAATATTTATTGTTCATCGTCTATTTTACATAAGAATTTGGGCTGCATGGGAGTGTATAATTTGAAATTTTCAGTGCTACATCCTTAGTACCTCAACTCCCTACACATAGTTGGTGTTTTATACATATTTAAATGAATGAGAAATTGAATTTGTAATTTTCAGGGTGTTTTTTGTTGTTGTTGTTTGTTTGTTTTTGTTTTGTACCAGGGATTGAACCCAGGGATGCTTAACACTGAGTCACATCCCCAGCCTGTTTTGAGACAGGGTCTCACTAAGTTGCTTAGGGATTTACTAAATTGCTGAAGTTGGCTTTGAACTTGTGATCCTCCTGCCTCAACTTTCTGGGCTGCTGGGATAGGTGTGCACCATCATGCCTGTTGTAGTTTTTAAAATATTTCATCATATGTTAAAAATGTTTTTTAAAAGCTTATATTTTTTCCATACAATGGATATACCTTTAGAGTTTTCTGTTTTGCTGAAGATATTTCTACATATTTTTAAAAATTGCATATATCTTGTCCCATGTTAATTTCTAAACATTTAAAATATCTTTCTTTTATCTGGAATTATTTTTCTATACAAAAGATGATAGGGCCCACTTTTTCTTCCAGATAAAGAGTCAATTCTTACAGAACTATTTTATTAAGCAAATCATTGTTTAGTCAGTGATTTAAAATATCACCTTTAATATAGTTTAACTTCCCATATGCATAAATGGACACTTTTATTCCATTGATGTACTTTGCCATTGTGGCAGTTCTAAACATGCTTAATATGCTGGCTTTATGGTCACTTTGAATATCTAGAGAGGCAAATTTTCCCTTTTTACCTTTAATAACTTATGGAATTATTCTTCCATATAAACTATTGGTTCATGTAGTGTAAGAAATTTTTCTTACCTTTTGGATTCTCATTGGAATTATATTTAAAAAAAAATATATATATATATATATATATATACGTAAATTTTAGGGAGAGTTAAAAACTTAAATTGTCTATATTGAGGGAAATAAAAAGTTAATACTTCAGTGAACATCTCTATAATGTTAATAATAGCAGCATATTGGAAGTAGTAATCCAGTAATAGAGGAAAGAAAGATTCGGTAAAAATTAAGGTCTCAGCTATTTATTTGGTTTATATTTCACTGATAATGTTTGAATCTGATGTGACCGAGCTTGTCTCTAGGGTTTAAATGCTAATCAGAATATGTGGTCTTTGACCTTACAGCATTTATAGCCTAGTACAAGAAACAGCCAGGAGTCACAAAATTGTGAATATACATTATAATAGTTCTAATATCATAATTTAACTTTCTTAAAGGATTCATGGAATGCTTTGTAATCAGTGATGCTTGAGCTGGTATCCAAAGAAAAAAATAGGTGAAAGAGCCTTTCAGTATGATTGAATGGAAGGTATAAAGCCTCTGTGTTAGAAGATGCTTGGGACATTCAGAAAACTTAACAGACCAGTGAGGCTGGAATACAGAGAGCTGGATGCAAGATGAAGGTTGAGAGGCTGGCAGAGGCCCACCAGGCAAGGCTTTGTAGGCCATGCTGACAGTTTTGGAACTGTATCCTAAGAGTGATGGAGTTTCTATTGAAAAGTTGAAACAGAGGAGAGAGTGAGTGTGAGTAATGGTGAGATTTGGCTTAAAAAAAAAAATTACTCTGGCTTTAGCATAGATTAGTAGTCTGAAGTGGAAGGCAAAACAGAAGAGTCAGTTTTGAACTAAAGTGGCAATTGGAAAGTTGAACAGAATTGGATAGATTCAAGGGATATTTTTAGAAAATCAGACTTGTCAAAGTAGGATATGGAGATTAATGAGTGAAAGGTTTAAAAGATACTCCTAGGTTTTGATATGCTTAATTATATAGTAAACACTAGTAAAAAGAGTCTAATTTTAGAATGTTAAGTACAATTCCAGTTTAGGACATACTACATTGGTGATTCCTTTGGTATATTTTATCTAGGTGAAGATGTCAGTGTATTAGAAGTATATTTGTAAAATGACACAAACAGTATAGGGAAATACCTGTATTACCACATGAAATTAAAAATATGAAATATTATTCTAGAACTTTGACTCATGTACACTGTTGAATACTTGATATGTAAGTAGTCTGAATTAGGATATCCTGAAAACGCAAATTTAAGACTTTGAAGACTTACTGTCAAAAGAGGTAATAGTTATTTTCTATACTGGTTACATGTTACAATAACTTTAGATATATTAGGTTAAAGAAATAAATTGTTACAATTAATTTTATCCATCTCATTTTATTTATTTATTTATTTTTTAAGTATAGCTACCAGAAAAGGTTTCGGTAAAAATTAAGCTCTCTCACAACCATTCATTTGCTTAAATTGTACAGATGCAATTTGCACTATATTCCTATTGAATAGCACTGTTCTGGAGTGTCGGCTCTATTGGATAAAAGGAAACTCACAGAGAGAGGCTTGAAGAAATACATCAGAATGTCAGTGTTTATGGAAATGGTTTTTGTTTCATTTTTCCATCTTTCTTTGTTTTTCATATTTCAAAATAAATTATTTTTTGATGTAAAAAAGCTCTTTTACTTTTAATTTTAGAAGGTCAAGACATTTCAATTTCTCACTTTCACAGAAAACTCTAGCTTTCCCAATGGCTGTAAATACTTCAGTGAGGTCATCAAAGGAATGTAATTCATTCTTAACAACCGCTTTCAAGCGTGGTTTCTGTCACCACCTGAAATATGTTCATTATCAGATTTTTATGCTATATCATTATCTTTAAGGTGCTGAAAATAGTTCTGATACAGAAAGTGCTCCTTCTCCTTCACCAGTTGAAGCTGTCAAGCCCAGCGAAGACAGCAGTGAAAATGCTGCTTCTCGAGGAAATCCCGAACCCATGGCTGATGCGGACTCCACTACAGAAACGGCACCGGGTGCATCTCCTTCCTCAGCARTTCCAAGTACAAAACCAGCTGAAAATGAAAGTGTGGAGACCAAGGTGAATGACAGCATCAGTGTTGAGACAGCAGAGCCAATGGATGTAGAACATCAGGAGCACAGTGCTGAAGCAGGTTCTGTTCTTGATCCCCCAACCACTACCAAAGCAGACACGGTGGATGTTGAAATGAGGGTGCCTGAAAACAGTGCATCTAAAGGTGATGGAGATACCAAAGAAAGAGACTTGGAGAGAGCCAGTGAGAAGACAGAGCCTAGAGATGAGGATTTGGTGGTGGCTCAGCAGATAAATGTCCAAAGACCAGAGCCCCAGTCAGATAATGATTCCAGTGCAACATGCAGTGCTGATGAAGATGTGGATGGAGACCCTGAGAGACAGAGGTGAGACTTCTTTCTGAGCTAGTTGTCTACTGAGTCCCAGAATGGTGCTGGCTTACAGAGATGACTCCTATACAGTTATTGACAAGTTATAGGTAGTCTGTATGATTTTAATATTGGGCTATGATGATACTGTTCGTCTGTTTAAGGAAAAAAAAAAAACAAGAACAGTTATATGAATATTATTTTTAAATGAAAAAGATTATAAATTTCTTCTAGATCTTTCTTTTCACATGTGTTCTATGATAGCAGGAAAAAAAGTGATCTCAGCTAACATAGTTGTGAGTAAAACTATAGGTCACTATGGTGCCTGAAGTTGGCAGCTATGGAATGTGATGAAAAAAGTGAAGTGAGGGGTATTGGTTCCAGCTGTACTTTGCTATATATGCTGGCTTGGCCTCAGAGCAAGGCCTACTTGACCCAGCATTGTAGATGTAAGAAAATGCAGAAGGAGAAACATACCAAGTGTTCTGAAAATAATTTAAATACAAGTTAATGATAATTATAATGACCACTTTTTTGTATCTGTTAAATTTAAAATAGGTATAATACAGATTAATTAACAAGTATTTTTAGTCATTAAAGGTAAATTAATGTAAAAATTCATTATATAATTAGCATTTCTGTAAGTTATAGTAAAAACATATTTTATAGGAGTTTATACCACTTTACCTAGTATTTTTAATATCCTGGTGTTTTCTATTTCTTGAAAGAAGTGGAATCACCTATAAATGTATTAGAATGTTGGATTGGGGGCAAATTAGAGTGTTGGATTGGGGTGAATTCTGGAAGTGAATTAGAGTAAACATCATTTAATCAAAAACTCAATCAAATTCTGCCCCCCTTTTGGCCTTTTTTCCTTTTTAATAAGAAAGATGAATAAGCCACTCAATAGAAACCAGATTCTATTCAAAGTTAAGTTTCATAGTATGTCCTGTGTCGCTCTATTTTTAGTCCTTATCCCCAAGATATTTTATGTCCTCACACTCTAGCATGAGATTGGATACTATTGTAATATTCAGCATTACAGTGATGATTTCTCAAAGGAGATTTATATATAGTAGATGCCAGCATTTTCATCAGTAAGAATTTAAATAAGATCGGCATTCTGCCCAACCATGGTTTACCAGAAAATTCAGCCATCTAGATCAGTCTTTTCCCTTTATTTCACAATATTCCACATTTTATTTTTTAATTAATTATTTTAATTAGGTATATATGACAGCAGAATGCATTTTGATTTATTGTACACAATTACAGTGCAAGTTTACATTTCTATGGCTGTACACAGTGTAGCGTCACACCATATGTGCAGTCATACACGTACCTAGGGTAATGATGTCTGTCTGGTTCCACCATCTTTCCTGCCCCCATGTACCCTCCCTACCCTCTCTCTAGTGCTTAACTAGAGAAAATATAAATGGGTTTAAGCCATGTCATCTTTTTCAAAGCATTTTTTAATGAAATATTCCATCTGAAATAAGAATTGTCTTGTGTTTTGCACTGCTGGTTTTAATAAATATATTTACATCAGAAGGAAAAATCAGGATGGCCACAATCTTAGAGTGAGCATCCTAAGAGATAAATATAACAGTAGTCTTGGAAGTCAGGTTCCTTGTAGGGCTGGGAATGTAATTCAGTAATAGAGCTCTTGCCTAGCATGTTTAAGACCATGAGTTTGATCCTTAGCACTGCAAAAAAGAAAAAAGAAAAAAAGCCAACTTGAAATCAGTGGTTTCTGAATGACATCCTAAAGTCTACATTGCTTCCAAACAATCAAAATAACTATCTTACATTTTTAATGTCACTTTTGTCCTTTAATACAGTATGCAAATTGTTTTCTTTTACACATTCTAATTTTCTTTATATATATATATATATATATATATATATTTAAACTGTCACCTTTCCTCAATAATTGTGACAACATTGAGAAATGACTAAGTCTACAATATATGATGACCCCAGTATATAATTTTCCTAGCTTTAGAGGTGGGTCAGCCTAAACTCAAGTATTCTGAGTGAAGCATGTGGAGTATGAGATGGCTCTGAGGGACTGTGAGCACAGTAACGTGAGCCCATGTGAAGCCTGCTGTGTGGGAATGCAGATTCTCATTGTTTCTACTTTCCATTTTTCATAAGAAGTCAGAAGTCTGGAATTTGGGGTGTAAGTTTGTTTTAAAATAGCTTGGTTTATACCCTGTGATCCCAGCAAAATATCCTTTAATGCTGTATATTTAATCTGTTTAGTATGTTAGTGGTAAGTTAGAATTAAACTTGTTTTCTTTTGTGGTTCTAGCAATTGAACTAAGGGGCACTCTACTCCTGAGCTACATCTCCCAGACTCTTTCATTATTTATTTTGAGACAGAGTCTTGCTAAGTTGCCCAGGCTGGCTTGTGTGATTGTTTGACTCAGCCTCAAAAGCCATTTTTTAATTTTTTTTGGTTCAGACTATAACTTGGGTTAGATATAAATGATTAAATTCAGATAAAATTCAATTTGTTAATCAGTATTAGATTTCTTGATGATTTCTCTGGAAATTAGCATTATTGGTGTTTGTGTGTTGTTTTTTTTAACTTTCCAAATTTCTTACTTTTAAAATTTATTATTATATATATTTTCTTCTGGCGCTATGGATTAAACCCAGGGCCTTGTACATAGTAGGCAAGCATTCTACACCCCCGAGCCCTGTTTATATCTTATAAGAGTTAATGTGATAGATATATGCACATATATGGACATATTAACTTTGAAGAAATTATGGTGATTATACATTTGAAGTCTCCAGTAAAAATATATTAATTTTTCTTCTTTTTGTTTTAATTTATTGCCAATTGTAGAATGTTTCCTATGGACACAAAGCCTTCATTATTAAACCCCACTGGATCTATACTAGTCTCATCCCCAATAAAACCAAATCCATTGGATCTGCCACAGCTTCAGCATCGAGCTGCTGTTATACCACCAATGGTAAGTTTTCAGTGTAAGAAAAGTGAAGGTGAATACATAGATCTTTATAGGTATATCTCTTCTCTCCTTTAATTGGATTACATCGAATTCCCTCCTTCACCCAACACACACACTGGAGCTTGAACCCAAAGAGGCTTTACAACTGAGCCCCTTGTATTTTCTATTTTGAGACAGTATCTTGCTAAATTGCTGAGGCTGGCCTCAAACTGTAGGGATACTCCTGCCTCACCCTCGCCAGTTGCTGGGATTGTAGGTGTATAGCACCATATCGGACTGTTTCTTGATTTCCTAAAAAAAAATCTGTGGTAAAAATATGTAATCTTAAATTAATCACCATAACCAACTTATTTATTTAGGGATTGAACCCTGGGGCACTTTGCCACTGAATTACACTCCCAGCCCTTTGATTTTTTTTTTTTTTTTTTAAACTTTGAGACAAGGTCTTACTAAATTGCCCAGGCTGGCTATGAATTTGCTCTCCTCTCGCTTCAGCCTCCGAAGTCACTGGGATTGCAGGTGTGTGCCACTGTGCCCAGCCATCTAAACCAATATTTCTAAGTGTATATTTCAGTAGTATTAAGTATTTTCACTTTGTTGGGAAACAGATTTCCAGGACTTTCTTCCAAATCTGAAACACTCTACCAATTAAACAATTTCTCTTTGCCTAGCCAACTCAAATCTGGCCTTGCCTGTCCTAACCACCAGCCCACTTACTGTTTTTATGAATCCAACTATGTTAGATATAACTGTTTTCACACTTCCGAGACGAAATGTGTAGGGTTTTTTGTCATACTAAGTTTCCAACTCTGTACACCAACTGAGTATCTCTACTATTCAATTCAATTCAGTTCTGACATTATCCTGAATTAGTGTTGGACACCATGGATATTAGGATTATACCAGTATTGGGTCCCCAGGTTACCCATACTTTTTCCAACAAGGCTACATTTTGGAGATTCTTGCAACCCTGTCTGTATGTTCAATATTTGCTAGACTGTCTCTCAGAATTTTTGAAAGCACTTTGTTTACCATTACTGATTAACTATGAAAAATACAACTCAAACAGCCAAATGGAAAAGCTGTACAGGGTAAGGCATGTAGGACGAGATTTCCAACTTCCGTGCTCTGGATAAGCCATCTTCCCATCTCCTCGAAGTGTTCACTAACCTAGAAACTCCAAATCCTATCTTTTAGAGGTTTTTATGGGGGTTTCATTATGTAGGCATGATGATTAGCCATTGGTGATGATTGTATAAATCTCTATCCCATCACCCCTTCCCAGAGGCTTGCCTTAATAACAAGCTAACATTCATTTCATTAGCATATAAAAGACACTTTTAATCACTAAGAATTCAAAGATATTAGGGGCTGTGTGCCAGGAACCAGGGACAAAGATCAAACATTTAACTTTTATTATAACATATACTACCTCACATAAATGGAATCCTATAGTATTTGTCCTTTCATGACTGGTTTATGTCATTTAGCATAATGTCCTCAAAGATTATGGGTGTTATCAATGAATCAGATTAGTAGCTTTCTAATTATAAACTTAAAGAAAACAATATAGGAAATCATATTTTGATAATACTAAAATAGTTCTTTTGGCTTTGTGGCAGAAGGAGGAAAAGCCATGTTTACATGTAAGACAAAGCACAAAGGCATGAAAGTAATGTGTGTTTTGGGATCACACTTAGGGTAGGGTAAAAGCTATGGAAGTCTGTAGATAACAGATGCTAAAAAAAAAAATAGATCTCTTAGGCTTCCTGTGGCTTATTATTCATGAATTTTTTTTAACACAGATTGTGTTGGAGCTGTTTAGTATTAGAACAGCTTGTGTTCTTTCCTTAATGAAATGGGAGAAAGAAAAATAAATAAGAAAAACATAATTGCAAATTGTGGTTAAGTGCTAGGTATTCCATATAAGAAGGCCATGTAAGAAGCAAAATGAGGAGGATTCACCATTTTACTGGATGTCTCTCTGAAGAAAGAACAGTCCATTTTTTTCCTGAAAAGAATTGACACATTAACAAATTGGTTGTGAGATGGAAGGAAATTGATTAGTCAAGGGTAACTTCTGGGTTTCTGACTGAGGCTCCATTTCTGAGATGGAGAATGATAAAGAAGAAGCATTCGGCTTCTGTCACCAGAAAGAACTTTTCTGAAGGGAAACAAAGCTAAACCCAAATGTATCCTTTGCTTTTTTAAGTTACCAGCATTTCAATCTGTTATGTCTCTCCCTGACAAATATGATTCCTTAAATTGACCACAGTTAAACTATTAAATGTCACTAACAGATGTCAGTAATACTTTTAATATAAGAGTTCTAGGAAATGGAAAGTTCATTTTGAATATAAGTTCTGAGCTACTTTGAGATATTCAAGTGGACTCAAAGGCTGGGAGTAAGCTCAGAGTTGGGAAGTTCTATATATGAATGTGAAACTTGGAAGAAGTGTCTTAGAAATAGAAAAATTCATTCTTTGTTTTCTTTTTCTTTCTTTCTTTTTTTTTTTTTAATTCATACTGGGAATTGACCTAAAGGGCACTTTACCACTGAGCTACATCCCCAGTCCTTTTTATTTTTTAGTTTAAGACACGATCTTGCTTTGCTGAGGGTCTTGTTAAGCTGCTGAGGCTGACCTCAAACTTGTGATCCTCCTGCCTTAGCCTCTCGGGTCACTGGGATTACAGGTGTGGCCACTATACTCACTCTAAAATGAATACTAATATAGAAAATTTCTGAGTCATTACCATATGGATGACATTTAAATCCACAGGTATGAATGTGTTGCTTGGTGAGAGATATAAAGACAAGGGATGGGCCCCAGAGCAAGGCCACAGGTCATCACAAGTTAGAATCAGAGTGATGTGCTTTGATTTATGATGCTGATTTATCACAGCTTTTATGATTTATATTGTGTTCAGTTCCAAAAGTAAGTATCATTTTAAACATTCTTGATGATTACTTCAATTGGTTATATGACAGAAATAAGCATTACTTGTAACAGGTGGTCATTGCTACTACATTGGTCACTGGCATATTTAAGCTTTTTTTTTTTTTCTTGTAGGTTTCTTGCACCCCTTGTAATATACCACTTGGAACCCCTGTGAGTGGCTATGCTCTCTACCAGCGACACATCAAGGCAATGCATGAATCAGCACTCCTGGAGGAACAGCGGCAGAGGCAAGAACAAATAGATTTGGAATGTAGAAGTTCTACAAGTCCATGTGGCACTTCCAAGAGTCCAAATAGAGAATGGGAAGGTAGGTAGATAGAGCTATCACCAGAAAGAACTTTTATGAAGGGAAACAAAGCTAAACCCAAATGTATTTTTTGCTTTTTAAGTTACCAGCATTTCAGTCTGTTATGTCTGTCCCTGACAAATATGATTCTTTAAATTGACCACAATTAAACTATTAAGTGTTACTAACAGATGGCAGTAATACTTTTAACAGATTTCTAGTTAATGTGAATTTTCAGATTTCATTGTGCTGAAGGACTTTATAAATGCCATATTATATGTTCTGTTCATCTGAATTTTCAGAGTAAACTAAAACTCTTCTCCTATCCTAGAAGCAAATTATCTACCACAGTATAATATTCTAATTCTCTTGACATGATGGAGACAATTTTGTGTAGAGGATAGTGCCAGTCAGACCCTGCTGGCTCCAGTCCTCACTGTGCATTAGCCCACTGGGTGTTCTTGGACAAGTCACTTAAATCTTTCTTAGCTTTATCTTTCTCATTTTTAGAGTGAAAATAATAAAGTATATCTATCTTACTGGGGCTTTAAAGTTAGGAAAGAATGAGCATTTAGTATTGTTATATGATATATGGCTCTGCATTATTTTATGTGTGATATAGTATATACTAACTGGCATATTCGTACATATACAGTATAATAGCTACTGTGGAGGTACCTGTGATTATTGTTATGTCACTGTTAGTTCTAGTGATAGATTTGAATTGGTGCTTGTTGTTTTATTTGAGGAATAATATATTTTTAATAAAGGAGTAGTAGTTTCTAAATTTTAGTAAATTATTCTAATGTGATTAGAATTGCCATATGTATTCTGGTTGATAGTGAATTTATGGACATTTATATGTTACAGTATGCTTGAATATATGAATACTAAAATCATCTGTGAATGATTCAGAAGATTCTTATACATATATATAAGAACAGACAGATTTGGGATGCCCACATGCTTTTCAAGAGCAACTTAACATAAAATAGAAACTATGTAACTTGAACTATTCTGTTGACTCCCTGCTCCTTACCTAGATCCTACATGAGTGATTAGTTATATAGCCTGTTGGGTAGAATTTTAAATGTAAACTTGTTAGTGTTTTAAGTGTAAATCTTGTCTTTGTAAAAAAAAATGTGAATATTTCTTGAATGGATATAGAAACATTGATAACTTTTAGGTGTTTATACATTGCATTTAGAGAATCCTTAACTCCTATTCTGTAACTGACACTACAGGTAGTAATTACATGTTGAAAGAATAAATTAAATGAATGACATAATGGAGATATCTTTGTCATGTTACACTATAGGGCATTTAGCAGAGGTGTTTTTGTCTTTTGAGCATCCCAATTATGAGGAAATCTGTAGAGAATGATAAATTATGGAGTAATTTAAAAGTCTTTTGATCTGTTACTTATAAATTTTTCAGAGTAGATTTTTGTGAGGAAAATGTAAAAGAAAAATGGCACTCAAATATTATCACTTGTTGATCTCGTGCCAAAGTAATCAGTAATATCTGGGTAATTCTATTTATGGATACCATGTAATTATTTTATAACCTAAACATCTTTTCTTGGTCTGCTTTATAGAATGAATTGTATTGAGAAGCTGGAATGATTGAACCAGGCTAGAGCCCAAATTTTGAGATTCCAGACTATGAATTGCATTTCTTTGTGGTCAAGACATGTTAATCATCTATATTGTTTAGATCTCAGTGCTTTCCTAATTGTGATAATAAATCCTTATTTGAAATCAGGTACAGAGCTTAACACTTAATAGCAAAATTCGAGAGACCTTTCCAGTGAGTGGGAACTATCAGGATAACCACTATTAACTTACATAATGTAGTGATCTTAAAAAAACAAAATATAATTATACTTTAGATTTATATGACATTAAGAATTTTTCTTCATGGTTCAAGATGACTCTACAAAGTGGGACAGTTGATTACCTTATATCCAAAGGTTGAATTTTGTTTGGGCAGATCCACCTAGTAATAACATTTGATGTCTCTCCTTGAAGTTAAAACAATCCTGTGGGTCAGTGTATGGGATAACCTTCCAAATAACATTTACATGTTTGTAGTTTAGTTGCTTGTGTGTAGGATGCTTGACACAAATAATTTATATGCAATGACATAGAGTAGTTTACAGAATGTTAAAAATAGCAAGAATGTGTATCTATGTATAAAATGTCATTAAATACTGATATAATTCACCTGAATTAAGCACTGTCTTAATTCAGTGCTTTATACTTTTATGGTCTCATTTAGAAACAATCAGACAGCATTTGTCCACCTGTTTTATTGTATTAATGGTTTCTTAATGTGAATAATACAAGCAATGATTATAGATACACCCTTTTTAAATTGCATAAAGCTTTCCTCATCTTTGGAAAAGCTTTAAAAAATATGTTTGCAGTAACATTTGTAGAAGTTTACCCCCTGCCTTACCAATAAATTGGAAGCTTTTCTTTTACAATGAAGAAACTCAAAACTCCTGCATGTACAGGTAGAGTTAGAATAGAAATTCTAATGCAAGTTTTAACAAAATTCTATCCAATCAAGATAGAATTCATGTTCCTTTGTAGCCAGATATAATGTATTTTGCATTTATTTTGTTGCTTTGTTTTTCTAGCTCTGGGTATATGCTGATTTAAATAGCTGTGATTAGAATCACCTAAATCTCTACCACTAAATAATAATAGTATGGGGGGCTGTTCTACATAAGTATAGACTTACACGGGTAAAGGTAAAACAATTAGGAGTTGAATTTTTTAATATGCTTCCTGTTAAATTCTCTAGGAAAGAAGTGATTTTTCTTTTGAAATTGATTTCATAAATCCACTTAGTATTAGAGCATTCAGTAATTTGTTACATTAATATATCAATGATTTCGAAAGAGTACCATCATCTTGATGGATGTCCCTTAGGTACCTGAAATCCAGTCCTTCCATGAAACTCACTGCATTATGGTTTAGAACTTAGAGTCTGGGGGCTGGGGATGTGGTTCAAGTGGTAGCGCACTTGCCTGGCATTCGTGAGCCACTGGGTTTGATCCCCAGCACCACATAAAAGTAAAATAAAGATATTGTGTCCACCTAAAACTAAAAAATGAATAATAAAAAAAAAGAACTTAGAGTCTAGAATTATATTCCTTTTAAAAAATCTCTGATAGTGCAACCTTGATTGGGCAATTAGATATGATTCTTCTGAGTTTTGGTTTTCTCATCTGCAAAATTGTGTCARTAATCTCATTGGTCTGGAGGGCTCAACGAGATAATTTATGGAAAGTAGTGTGTCCGGGACTTGTTATTAGTTTATATTATTATAATTGTTTCTGATTTTAAAAAAAAATTTAGTAAACAAAGGAACATTCTATGCCTTTTGTGGTCAAGACATGTTAATCATCTATATTATTGTGATAATAAATCCTTATTTGAAATCAAGTACAGAGCTTAACAGTTAATAGCAAAATTCGAGAGACCTTTCCAGTGGGTGGGAACTACTAGGATACCCACTATTAACTTAACATAGGATAGTAAGGAAAGCACAAGGTGGGTATTTGGCCGGAGAAGACAAATTGTTATTTACACATAAGATGTTCTAACTCAAAAGTATAAAAGAATCTATTGAAAAGTTATTAGAACTAAAAGGAAAGTTTATTTTGAAAAGTTGTCATACAGGAATAATAATAAAAATACTTTACCCCATCACCAAAAAGTAAGAATAATAAAGTAGCTATACAAACTATAATGCACCAATAAAAAAAATGTGGGAGAAAAAAAGAAAAAAGTTGTTATACAAAAACCCACCTTTCCTATCTGCATTATTTAATTATATGTATTTACATACCCATATGTATGAAAAGAGATGATTTTCCTAGCAACAGAATATGAAATACCCAGGAATAATTTTTTTTTTTTAAAGAGAGAGTGAGAGAGGAGAGAGAGAGAGAGAGAGAGAGAGAGAGAGAGAGAATTTTTTAATATTTATTTTTTAGTTCTCGGCGGACACAACATCTTTGTTGGTATGTGGTGCTGAGGATCGAACCCGGGCCGCACGCATGCCAGGCGAGCGCGCTACCGCTGAGCCACATCTCCAGCCCCAGGAATAATTTTTAACAAATGAACAAACCTATATGATAAAAGCTGGATTCCTCAATTAGAAAATTCATTATTATAAATACCCATATTTATTTATAAATTTAATACAAGTGGAATGAAATTTCCAAAGACATTTCATTTGAGAAGGAAGTACTTGAATTGATTTTAAATCGAAAGTTATCTGGAAGGAAAAATAGATAAGACTAAGAAATTAAAAGAGTAATAAAATGAATGGGAATTTGTTCTGGCAAACATTGACATGCCACAAATCTAAGTGATTAGGGTTACAAATGATTTTTACTTTGTGTTTTCCTGATTTTCAAAAATTATTGTAGTATATCAATTTCATTTTTAAAAAGGAAATATATATATAACATATACATTTTAAAGTCTTAATATGACTGCACTTTTGGCTTTCCCTTTAATGTTTAAAGTTTTTAATACTTTTGGTGAAGATAACTTACTTGTTATTTTCATTAGTAATATTGTAGTTATGATCAAAGTTTTATAAGCTTGTAAAGGACTTTTGGATTAGCTTTATTATATCTTTAAAAGACTTTTTCCATTTCTTAAATGTGCATCTCTGAATATTATCCCATCAGCATCAGCAAGCTAATTATGAGTTGAAATCCTCAGAGAGCTGACCTCTCAATCAGGCCAGTTTTGAAATCACAGAATCACTTGATAATGTGATATTTGCCTATTGTGATTTTATTGCATGTACAAACACTGAATTCTTCTTAAGAGGAAAGAGAAATTCTTTATCCTTGAAAAGGAAAAGTTGTAATTGTATTTTTGAGGATTTTGTTAGGTCATAGTTATGTTGAATACATATCAGATTTAGATTTATAGTAGTTCTTAACCATTTCTGTGGGTGGATCTTCCCCTCAGGAGCTTTAGACCTTGTTATTAGCATATGGATGGATCTGCCCCTGGATGGTGTGGGCTTGGTCCTTTTACACTCAGTATTTTAATTTGGGGTTCTTCCCTTATTTTGATAACTTTAACTTTCATAGGAAAATCAGTCGCCTATATGCCTTATGCTGAGGTCAAACGTGCTCTAGAACAGGAAGCACAGATGCACAGTACCGCAGCAAGGTCAGCCTCACCGTGTAGGCTCTCTCCAAGAGAAGTCAGTAAAGCCGCTCCACGGCCCGATATGAGTACAGCCCGCTATAGTGTCCCGCCAGGTAAATATTGCCCCTCTGTACAGTGGCTGCTGGCCATCTACCCACAAATGTTCCTGTGGGTGGTTTAATCTCATGAATTAACTGATTTTCCAGAACATGTCCTTACTGTCTCAAAATGACTTTGTTTCTATGCATTCCCTTATCAGTTGTATTCAGTTCAGATTCACTGGGCCACTGGGAAATTTGTGTTTACACATTTATACTGTGACATTGAATAGCTTTTCTTTTAAGAGTACATGTACTTGTAAAAATCTTGAGATTTTTTTAACCCCAGAAATTCAATTTTGCTGTGAGAGCCAGAATCAGTAAACATTTCTCAGATTATGCCAGATACACAGAAGATATGAAACAGGTTGTCAGCCAGTCAGCACACTCTACAAAGCAGGGCAGGGACAGCACCTGTTCTCAGAAGCTCCCTTTTTCTCACCTCCATTGTGAGGACCAGAAAGTGATAGATAAAAAGTTATTGAAGATTTAGGTTTGCCTCTGCTGAATAGAAGTAGTTGCATTGAACATCAGCGTGAAAGCTCTGGTTTGAAAGGGAGTTGAATATTTCATCCTCACAAATACCACTGGAGATTTGAATATGTATACGAGGTTAAATGACAGAAATTTTTAAAATGTAAATGTTCATCCTTGGCCTCATTTCATATTTATAATTTAATTTGTGACTTAAAAATTTAGAAATGACTTAAGATAGCTAGCTTATGGCAAACTAAGAAATTTGATTATTTTAAATCATTTTTTTTTCTTTTTAAAAGTTCTTCAACCTGCTCCACATCAAGTGATAACTAATCTCCCTGAAGGGGGTAGACTTCCAACAACTCGACCAACCAGGCCACCACCACCTCTTATCCCATCATCCAAAACCACAATGGCTTCAGAAAAACCATCTTTTATAATGGGAGGCTCTATCTCACAGGTAAAATGCTTTTTCTTTATGGCAAATTTCCTCTTGAATATTGCTTTGGTAAAACTTTTTCTTCCTCCTTACACTAATTTATGAGCATACTTTTAAGTGATAAGCTGTCTGAAAGTGAAACTTGCAGAGACAGGAACTAGAAAATGCAAAATTTAATATACTCCATGCTACATGTAGGAACTTTGAATGAGCTATGTACCCAGATTGAGTGGCCATGGCCTACCAGCTGGTTTAATTTACCAAAGGCACAAAATTATTTATTGTAATGTAAGCCAAAATGGAATTCACTTACCAAAGGCACATAATTATTTATTGTAATGCAAATTAAAATGGAATTCATTTCATAAAGTAGAATATTTACTGACTAGTCATTTTGAAGAAAGAGAGTGTCTGTATGTTAAGCTCTCAGTGGCCTACTTTCTGTTTTTCAGCCACACCCTTCTTGCCTATTTATCTATCAAGCAAAGCCACTGATTAGGTCACAACTCTCATTTCACCTCTGAACATTCCTACATTATCTCACATATGAGCTTTGAGGATACATCTTGTACCCAAACACTAACAATCTCTCTCTCGCTCTCTCTTTTTTTTTTTTTTTTTTTACTGGTACATTGCCTTTTTTTTTTTATTGAAATATGATTTAATTGAACTTGATGGGTAGATCAAATATGACTTCTGTGAACAACCAGTAGCTATATCCCTGTCAGATAATTGAACATTTCCATCACTAAATTTCTCATGTTCCTTCCTAGGCATCCCTTCTCCGACCTGAGGCAACTTTCTGTTCTTTCTGTTGTTGCCTTTTGAAAGATTTCATATGAATGGGGTGATATGATACATATCATGATGATATGATACACTTTTTTGTGTCTGTTTTTCTAACTCAGCATAATGGTTTTAGGGTTAGGTTTTTGTGTTATCAATAGTCTTCTTATTGCTAAATAATACAATGAACAAAGAATAGAAATAATTTGTGTTAAAACAGTGCAGTTGTCAAGGATACTTTATAATATTGCCTTGTAGTGGGGTCTGACAGGACTTGCCAGCACAAGGCATGTTTCTGTTAACAGAAACTTGCATGATTTCTAATTTGGGACTCCTATGAATAAAGCTGCCATGAACATTTCTTGTACTAGATTCTTTGTGGACTTGTTTTCGTTTAATCTGAAAGTGAAATTGCTGGGTGTATATATGTTTAGGTTTGTAATTTTTCAGAGTGGTCCTACAAGTTTTATACTCCCCCTATCAATGTGTAAGACCAAGACTTCCATTATTCCATTTCTTCTTGTTAGTCTTTTTTATTTTTATTTTAGATCTACTTAACTGGTGTATGTAATATTGTGGTTGTATTTTGCATTTCCCTGACAACAAATATTGAACACTTTTTTGTATGTTCATTGAACATTTGTACTACTGGCTGTGACTTTTTAGTTGGGTATTCCTAATCCTAATCAAGTGCTCCAAAATCTGAAACTCTTTGAGCACCAACTTAATGCCACAAGTGGAAAATTTTACACCCAATGGCATGTGATAGATAACAGTCAAAATGCAGTTGTACTAAAACTKCTATTTAAAACTGTCTTTAGGCTGTTATTATAAGGTGTATATGAAATAAATTAATTTCATGCTTACAATAAGGTATCATCTCCAATGTGTTTTATTGGATATATACAAATATTCCAAAATCTGTTTAAAAAAAAAAATCCCAAATCTGAAACACTTCTGGTCCCAAAGATTTTGGAAAAGGGATACTCAATCCATATTTAAGTCTGATTATCCATTTTTTTAAAGAATTTTTTTTCACAATACCTTTATTTTATTTATTTATTTTTATCTGGTGCTGAGGATCAAACCCAGTCTCACACATGCTAGGCAAACACTCTACAACTGAGCTACAGCCCCAGCCCAATTGTCCATTTTTATTGGATCTTTTTGGTGTTGGATTTTAGAAGTTCTTTATATGTTTCAAGTTCTTTGTTAGATATGCCTATTACAAATATTTTTCTATTTGTGATTTGCTGATTTTGTTATTGGATTGTTTTGATAAGCAGAAATTTTAGTTTTGGTTTTTATTTGTTTGGGGTTTTTTATTGTTGTTGTTGTTTGGAACTAGGGATTCGACCCACAGGCACTTTAGCACTGAGATACATCCCTAGCCCTTTTTATTTTTTATTTTGAGAACTGGCATTCAGTGAGTTGCTTGTGATCCTCCTGCCTCAGCCTCTTGAGTTGCTGGAATTAAGTTGCTGGAATTACATAGTGTACCACTATGCCCAGCCATGTTTTAGTTTTTGATGTAGTCAATATAAAAATATTTTCTCCTATGAGTAATTATATTTTGCCTGCTCTGGGGTTGTGAAATATTCTTCTGTTTTCTTATGTAAGCTTTATAATTTTGGCTTTTATATTCAGGCTTGGGATTCATCTCAGTTGAATTTTTACGTACATTTTGATGTAGTCATCTACATTCATTTTTTCATTTGGCTCTCCAGTTCCAATACATTTGTTGAAAAGTATTTTTTTCCTTCATTTGTTTGATTTAGTGCCTTCATTAAGACCCATTTGATGACTGTAAGTTTGGAACTATTTGTAGACTCTCAATGCTATTTGTCCATCTTAGTACCATAGACTTATTGTAGATTTATAATATATAATAGCATTATGTCTAAAAAACCCAGTATGCATACTTTAATTAAAAAGAACTTTATTACTAAAAATGAGAAGAATATTCTGAGCTGTGGGGAAAATGGCACTGATAGACTTGCCCAACTCAGGATTCCCACAAACCTTCAATTTGTTAAAAAAAAAAAAAAAAAAAAAAAGAAAGAAAGAAAGAAAGAAACATCTGTGAAGCACAATAAAGAAGCACAACACAATGAGGTATGCCTAAGTATAGACGTAGAATTGATTTTTTAATATATCTTGGCTTTGCCCACATGTGGTCTTCACTTAATGCTTCTCATGGGGTTGTTTTATTTTGGTAGATTTCTTAGGATTTTCTATATATGCATGTAATTTGCAAATATGGTTTTAATTCTTTTTAATTTTTATCCCTTTTTCTTGTTGCACTGGCTAGAAGTTTTAGTGCAGTATTGAATAGAAGTTGTGAATGTGAACATGAGTTTCCTGTTGCTGATTTTAGGAGGAAGTCATTCACTGTTTTAAGATTAGATATTATGTTAATTATAGGCATATCATTAATGCCTTTCATCAGATTGTTTCCTGAAAGCCCCCTACCCTAAGTTCCACTTTTCAATTCCAGAACTTAAGTTTTGTTCTTTATAATGATTTCTTTCTCTACTTGCTGATATCATGTATTTGGTTAGACATTATTCCTTTGAATTCTTTAGATATAGCTCCCGTTAGTTCTTTGCTCAGGGGCAGTTTCTATTCATTGCTTTATTTCATGTATATGGCTTACACTTTGTTATTGTTGTTTTGCATGTCTTATAATTTGGGGTCAAAATGGGATATTTATATGATAACTCTGAAAATCAGATACCTCTGTCCTCTAGGGCCTGTTGTTGTTTGTTTCTTTTTGCTGGTATTGTTGATTTGCTTAGTGACCCCATTTTGTAAAGTCTCTGCTATTTATCAAAGACTAAATAGTGTCACAGGCCACTGAAATCACTGCTTGGTTAGCTTAGCTTAATGGCCTACTACTGATTGAACAAAGATCTCCTTAAATACCTAAAACCAATAACTTTCTCAGTGTTTTCTGAGAGGCTGTGTGTTGGGGCATGCCCTCAGCACTCAGCCAGCCAATTGACAGGTCTGCTCTCTCTTTTTTTTTTTTTTTGGTACTGGGGATTGAACCCACAGGCATTTTGCCACTGAGCCACATACCCAGCCTTTTTTTATTTTTTATTTTGAGACAGGGTTTCACTGCTAAGTTGCTGAGATTGGCCTTGAACTTGCAATCCTCCTAATCCTCCTGTCTCAGCCTCCTGTGTAACTGGGATTACAGGAGTGTGCCACTGTGCCCGACTTTTCCAAAGCACATTTAAGAGGGGCAGTTGTTAATAAAAATTGTTTACATTGTGATTGCACTGTTGTAGTGCTTTATTTTTTCAATTTATTAATAGTAAATATTATCTACATTTAATTTACGGTAATGCCAGAAGACACTTCCTTTAAGCAATCTCTGCTGAAAATTTTCTTGCTTTATGAATACTGTTCTTAATTTTGAGTTTACACAGCGTACGTTTTTATGAAAAGACAATGTTTAGTCTTTTAAAATTATTTTTTAGGGCACGCCTGGCACTTACATGACTTCTCATAATCAGGCTTCCTATACTCAAGAAACGGCTAAGCCCTCTGTGGGGTCTATCTCTCTTGGACTTCCAAGGCAGCAGGAATCCACCAAATCAGGTCAGTGAGTTAATACAGTCATAATGTACTGTCTGCATTTGTAGTGTCACAGTCAGTAATTCAGCACTTGATTACTATGTGTTTCTTCTGTCCACAGCTACTTTGCCCTATATCAAGCAGGAAGAATTTTCTCCCCGGAGCCAAAATTCACAGCCTGAGGGTTTATTGGTCAGGGCCCAACATGAAGGCGTGGTCAGAGGTAAGAGCAATTTGACAGAGCCGTTTAATTGATTAAAGTAATTCATTAGGGGGCTGGAGTTGTGGCTCAGCGGTAGAGCACTCACCTAGCATGCTCGAGGCCCTGGGTTCGAACCTCAACACCATATAAAAATAAATAAACAAAATAAACATGTACAACTAAAATAAAAAATATTTTAAAAAAATAATTCATTAGTATAGTTTAATAATGAATTTTCAAAGTATTGCTTTTAAATCTAAGTTTTGATTTCTTTCCATGTAAAAATTATTTTAAAACTTTGAAGTTTGGCTGAGGGTGTTATGGCTCAGTGATAGAGCACTTGCCTGGCATGTGAAGACTGTGGGTTTAAAATCCAGTACCATAGGGGGAAAAAAAAAGGCAAAACAAAATGTTGAAGTTTCATGTCTCAAAAGTCCTTTTTAAAAAATAATTACAATATTAATTTAGAAGAATATTTCAGTAAAATAAAAGTTTTTGTTTGCTGTTTTTCTTCCCTTCTAATTTTTAGAGTAGGGGCTATTTTGTCGGGGTGTTATTTGTACGATTATTAATCTATTGGGACGGGAATGAAAGATGTAATGGTTAATGATTTGGTTTTATTCAGGTACCACAGGAGCTATCCAAGAAGGAAGTATAACTCGAGGAACTCCAACCAGCAAAATTTCAGTGGAGAGTATCCCTTCTCTACGTGGCTCTATCACTCAGGTTATTATCATCATCTCTAATATACTAAACAGTAACTTAGAAAAAAGTGCTATTCCATCAATGTAGTTCTGTAGTTCGCTTGTTCTTTGTTCTGAGTCATGGAATAGTATCTCAGTGATAATAAACCCCAGGTCTATAAACTGTCTGAAGAAAGACATTAATCTTTTTTAATTACGAACTATATTATCTGTCCTATGATTCATTTGAAAAGGTTACTTATTTGCAAATTGGCAGAAGAAACATGCAGTAACTGATGAAGTTCTCGCTGTTTTCTTGGAAAAGCTTTAACTGTGTGTTTGGCTTGAATACAAATTGAGAAGAAAATTATTATACATTATTTGCTTGATTTTGCCCCTTATGAAATGATAGGTCTACAATGTCAGTGTGTAAGCTGCTTTGTTAGAATCAAATGCTAAGCAAGGAAATGTGTATGGCTTTGAAAAAACATCAAAGGTTAAATATCTTCTCCCAATTTTGAGCTAAATAAATTGCCAATTTCAATGAATAAAAAGGTATTTATTTTCTCTGATATTAATTTTAACTTGAAATATAGAATTCTTTAATTATGTAGATATGAAAAAGGAAAAATTCTCTTTGGGGAAATTGTTACAAGCATGTACTATGCTTTTACACATTGTCATAGGTTTGGGTTTTTTTAAATATATTTTTAATTCTAAATGGACACAATACCTTTATTTTATTTGTTTATTTTTATGTGGTGCCGGGGATTGAACCCAGGGCCTCGCACTTGCTAGGCAAGCACTATACCCCTGAGCCACAATCCTGGCCCCATTGATGTAGTTTTTGCATATTATCACATATTTTCTCTTCCTTGTGTTATGCTGTTCCTTAAGATAGTGATTCTCAAAGTGTGGTTCCCAAACCAGTAATATCAGTATTGCCTGTGAAGTTGCTAAACATGAATTCTCAGGCCTCACCCCTGATTTACTGAAATCAACCTTTGGGGGTAGAACCCAGCAACTGGTGTTTTCCAGAGCCCTCTACCAGTTCTGCTTAATTAGTAAGACCTCTACCAGGTCTTACTAATTAARTATGGTCTGTGCACCAGAGCATCATAACTTGGGACTTGCTAGAATAATGCAGAAATGTAGCCTTTACCTCCAAATCTATGAATCAGAATCTTCATTTCCCAAGTGATTCCTCTCTGAGACCTGGTTTATAAAGTATGTGATATATAGTGACCTAAAAAGTTATATATTAACTTAGAGGGTTGCGTAAAAACTCTTCAAACCTTTTTCCATATTTGGCCAAAGTATATAGACAGAAGGAAAATAAATGAGCCTAAATGTATTTCTCTTCATATTTTTTACTTGTCGCTTTAATATCCAAAGTTTGGGTAGGAAGATAGTAAGAACAAGGTCAGCTGAGGCTAAGTTTTATCTGTTTATTTTTAAATCTGCCTGTTCATTCGACAGGTGCTTCTGAAGTGGGAATTAAGGATTTCCAGATGTTTACTACTGAGCTCATTTCATGATGAGATTAGTTCAATGTATTGTAGTCATCACTCTTCCTGTATGCAAATAGTTTCAGATTATTCTCAGTGGAGTTTTATGGGTCCTCTGTGTATATTGGGAACTCTGCATATGTGAATGGGCTTCTACTTTCATTTCAGCTCAAGTAGCTTGCTTTTGAAAAGAGTTCTATGTATTTAGTTCCATGAAAAATTTTCCCTCCAAGGAAGGGCTTGCTGCTTAAAAGAATGGTAAAAAGAATCACAACCACTGGCAATATAGAAGATTATTGCCAGGCACATTGGCACACACCTATAATCCCTGTAACTCAGGAAGCTAAGGATTGCAAGTTCAAGAACAACTTCAGCAACTTAGCAAGACCCTGATTCAAAACAAAAAATAAAAAGGGCTGGAGAGTACCAAGAAAACAATAACAACAACAACAAAAAAGGCTACCAATCATGGAGAAAATACATTACCACAAAACAAAGGCATTTAGGCATCTGTTTTCTTCCTCTTCTCTTATTGAAGACAAAGGCCTAACTAGAAGATAGTTTGATACCTGAAAGTTCTTTTTTCCTCTTAATATGAAAATTGTGGCACTTTAAAATTTGATTTATCAAGTCTTATTTTCAAAAATTTTATTACATTTGCATGATTTTAGGCCTTCAGACCAACTTTCAAGAATAAGTCCCTTAATGGAGGTTTGACTTCAAGGTGGGGAAGAAAGCTGATTTGCCTAATACACGTATCATTATAAGAGGTTCTGTGACAGGGTTTAAGAATGAAGGAACAGAACCTCTTTGTTGATAAAGTTTAACGTGTGTTTTCATATACATGTGCTTTCTTTGATGATATGGATTGATTTGACTTTCAATGTGGTAGTTTAAATTTTCTGAGCATCTTACTCTGTGATTGAGTGACTCTTCTGGTGCTTACGTTTGATTTGATTTGATGACAGGGGACCCCAGCTCTGTCCCAGGCTGGCATACCAACTGAGACTTTGGTGAAGGGGTCCATTTCTCGGATTCCCATTGAAGAGAGCAGTCCTGAGAAAGGCAGAGAAGAAGCTGCATCCAAAGGCCATGTTATTTATGAAGGCAAAAGTGGACACATTTTATCATATGATAGTAAGTATGGTATGTGTACATAAAAGCCAATCTTGTAAAGTATGACTAAAAACAGGCTCTGGTTTTCTCACATTCTTTCTGTGGGAAGTTGGTTTACCTTTCCCAAACCCATGTTTTCTCTTGATGAAATGGTTTAATAATAATTCCTTTCTCGTGAAAAGTTGTTGAAAAATCAATTGGGATGATCAGTAAAAAGTGGGAGCCTATAAGAAGTATCCCATAAGTGGTAGCTAACATCATCTGTGACTGGTCGTCTTATGAAAAGAACCTTTATTTAAATTAAATAGAATCACTTTTATTTCATTGGGATTCATATTTTTTGAGTTAAGAATTAGGAAGTAGGTAGCCTAATAATCATGGAAAGACTATTAAATCTAGATTCTCTTTAGCAAAACCATTTTACTTTCTATCTGTGGAAACATTTTATTCAGACTCATTTATCTATTTTTAGACAGAGTCTCACTAGGTTACCCAAGCAGGGCTCAAATTCATGATCTTCCCACTTTAGTCTCCAAAATAGCTGGTATTACAGGGTTGTGTGTGTGTGTGTGTGTGTGTGTGTGTGTGTGTTTACTGGGGATTGAACTTGGGGTGCTCTACCATTGAGCTCCAATCCTAGCCCTTTAAAAAAAATATTTTTTTTTTTTTTTTTGAGATAAGGTCTCATTAAGTTGCCCCAGCTGGATTGAACTTTGAACTTGTGATTCCCCCTGCCTCTGCCTTCCAAGTAGCTAGTATTACAGGAGTGCCATTATACCCTGCAGATGCATTCTTAAGTTATATTTTCCCCATTGTATTCTATGAGAATGACTCAGATGTGACATAAATATTAGCCAAAGCACTGAGATTAGTTTTCATTTGCAACAAGCTATCTTTGTGACCTTGTAGTAGTCATTAGTTTCACTTTATCTTTCTCTTCAAATAAATAGAAGTTTGTACATAGTACTTGATTCCACATTGTATATGATAGCTTTCTTATTCCTTTCCTCCTTATTTAAACATGTGTGATATGTATTTGTTAACATTTTGTTTCTGGGGGGAATGAATTTAATATACATTTCCAAAGCCAGAAATCTGGCCATCTTTCTTGTCTGCTTCTTTTCTTTCCACTTCCAACAATTCATTAAGTCATTACTGTTCTCTTTCCTAAAATCTCTGAAATATTACTGTATATTCCTCCCTGCCACTGTGGTCCAGTGGCTGCCTAACTTATCTCCCTGCCTTCAGTCTTACCCATATTCAAAGCTATGTATCATATTATTTCCGGCTTGACTCTGTTGTCTTAAAGATAACTGCAAGCACCTTTCCTTGGCTTTATCACCCTTCCTTGGTCAGCTTATCACTGCCAATCAAGTCCTTCCTATATTTCCCCTTAGCCCTCCCATAATTACTCCCTGATACTCATCCTCCTAATTCTGCTGTTCACATTGGCCATACACTGAGCTAAAGTTCTTGTTTTGAGGTCTTTGTGCTCATCATCCTCTCTGCCTGTACCACTTTTTCCTCCTCTGCCTTTGTTAAACAGCTCTTATTGATCCTTCAGTTTTCAGTTTTCACATTATTTTTTCTAGGCATCCTTACCTGAATCTGGGGATGTCAGGTTTCCTTCCCAGCATTCTAATAGCATTGTACTTCATTCATAGTACTTACCACTGGATGTGAGGGCCTATTAATTTATCTGTACCCACCACTTTTAAATTTCATGAGGAAAAAAAACTTTATCTGTAAACAGTAGGCATTCAATAAATGTATGAATGTTATCTACACATAAATATATTCTAGACTAGGACTAGTTTTTGTAAGATTGTGAAAATAAAATGTTATTTTCTATACATTGTGGGCCTTGAGCTGTCTGAATAATTCTTGTTTGTGCATTCTACAGATATTAAGAATGCCAGAGAAGGGACCAGGAGTCCAAGAACAGCACACGAAGTCAGTTTAAAAAGAAGCTATGACTCAGTGGAAGGGAATATAAAACAAGGGATGTCAATGAGGGAGTCTCCTGTATCAGCACCATTAGAGGGTAAAATGTTTTTAGAACATTATTTAGATACATTTAATTTTGTATATTGTATGCATGTTGAATCAAGTTCAATCTCTTATTTCTACCTGAAATTTATAATATAACTTAAATTTCATATTATTACATCAACGAACAAAATATATGGAACTTGAGAGCAGGAGGAGGTGAAACTGAATATAATTAACTATAACAGTACCTATTAGAATGTTCATGTTTGAATTGTTCATATCATTTGTAAATTACCTCGTATTTGAATTTAAGAATGTAAAATTTATTATTAGATTTTTTTTAAAAGTGAGGTAAATAAAGTGATAGATAACAGCAAAGACATGAATTTGAATACTAGTTTTACCCTTTCCTGATGGATTTCTCTGGGCATATTTCTTCCTCTTGAAATTAAGGGATTGTACCCACCATTGCTCAATGACTAGAGACAGGTGTCTGAACTCTTGCTGAAGATATGATGTTCAGTAAATTATCACTTTGGTTTTGTTATTGACTTACCTTTAAATCATAACCTGTTCCCAATGAATTTTAATGTAGGTAAAATACCAAAAGCAGGATAAATTATTTCTAAAAGAGGAATTTTCTCTATTAAAACAACTATGACAACTCAATTATCCTTACTTAAGGTAAATGTGTATGGTTTATTTCAATCTTTAATTCATACTTATTGATAGTATAATGTGAAATTTGTTAGGAGGTTATTTACAACTCTTTCATTTAGATTTGCATATTTAATGTTTTTCTTCTATTTTTATAACAATTATATTTGATGTTTTTCCTTTTTCTCAGGTGTATTTCAAAGTTAAGCAATAATTTCCAATCCCATATGTGCTCTGCTCTTGATAAAGAAGCATTAGGATTTTATATTTCACTTTGAAGTGTCTTTATTTCTTTTTTGACTTATACTGAGGTACCTGTGGCCATTTTGTAAATTTTGGTAGATGTGTGCAGAGATCTGTGTGATGTCATATTGGATATTTCTGATTTGTTTTTCCATGGTATTCTTTTGGATAGTTCACAAATTTAAAATGATGCCTCTTTCTCCATAAAACTTTTATCAAAAATACGTACTCTAAGGACAGTACTAAGTGTAAGTGAATAGACATATATTCATTATGTTTAATAAATGAATTTCTTTCTTGTTTTGAAAGGACTAATATGCCGAGCATTACCCAGGGGGAGTCCTCATTCTGACCTCAAAGAAAGAACTGTGCTGTCTGGCTCTATAATGCAGGGTAAACTTTCTGCTCATTTTGCTTTTTATTTATAACTGGCAATGTAGTTTGACATAAGTTTGCAGAGTATGAAACCTGTTTTTCAAGATATTTTCCCTCTTGAAATATTGTTTTGATTATAACTTTTCTGTCATTCTTCTCTGCACTACATAGTCTATCAGAAAATGATTGTTGCCAAATATGACTATGATGACTAATGTATTATTATATTTTGAACAACCCTTACAATAATGATTGGTAAATACTTATTTGAGAATCTACTGTAAACAGAAAACTGATTTAAATTTTGGCAAAATATGCATATTAGAATTTACCTTTTGGTGTGGGGAGTACCAGAGTTTGAACTCAGGGGCACTAAGCCACATCTCCAGCACACTCCAGACATAGGATGTCACGGAGTTGCTTTGAAACTCGTGATCCTACTGCCTCAGCCTCCCAAGCTGCTGGGATTTAGAATTTATCATTATAACCATTTTTAAGTGTATGATTCAGTGGCATTGTTTGTGCAACCATTGACATTATTTCAGTGTTTGTTTCTTAAATTCTTTTCAAGGTACACCAAGGGCAACAACTGAAAGCTTTGAAGATGGCCTTAAGTATCCCAAACAGATTAAAAGGGAAAGTCCTCCCATACGAGCATTTGAGGGTGCCATTACCAAAGGAAAACCATATGATGGCATCACCACCATCAAAGAAATGGGGCGTTCCATTCATGAGATTCCACGGCAAGATATTCTAACTCAGGAAAGCCGAAAAACTCCAGAAGTGGTCCAGAGCACAAGGCCAATAATTGAGGGTTCCATCTCCCAGGTAATTAGGTTTCTCTTTTTTTGTCAGCAGTTTTACGTCAGAACGATAATTATGAAACATTTTTAAAATTGTGACTTAATACTTATAAACAGTTCTTATGATGTCAGGTTTCTTAGAAGTAAATGTGGAAATTTTAATTATTCTTTGTTATCAGTTTTTGTTTGATCCATAGCATGGAGTGAGTAATGTGGGAAAGTGTGCAGTCAGGGTCAGTGGGTTGTGATTGAGCATCAACACAGACAATAAAGGTCATCATAGAAAATTGTAACTGCCATGGGTCAGACCTAGACTTGAGGTGGAACAATATGTAGACAACTTGGCTACCTATAATATTTGTTTCTTTGTGTTGTAGGGCACACCAATAAAGTTTGACAGCAACTCAGGTCAATCTGCCATCAAACACAATGTCAAATCCTTAATAACGGGGCCTAGCAAACTACCCCGTGGATTGCCTGCACTGGAAATCGTACCAGAGAATATAAAAGTGGTGGAAAGGGGAAAATATGAAGATGTGAAAGCAGGTGAGCCAGTGCGTTCCCGGCACACGTCGGTGGTGAGCTCCGGCCCCTCCGTTCTCAGGTCCACACTTCATGAAGCTCCAAAAGCACAACTGAGCCCGGGAATTTACGATGACTCCAGTGCTCGGAGGACCCCTGTGAGTTATCAGAACACCATGTCCAGAGGCTCGCCTATGATGAACAGAAGTTCTGAAGGTATATTATTTTTTTTGCCTTGTCTGATCATTTTTACTGTAGTTTTTCACTTCTGGCAAATAGAAACTATCAAACTATTAGCTTCAGATTATCCCAAGATCCATAGATTACGCTTGATACTAGGGCTATGGAAGGCTACTAATTTGAAAACAGGCTTTATTAGGTGAAGCACCTAATATTTAGAAGTAAATGTGGAAATTTTTGAAGCTTTGAAGGTGGCCTTCAAGTACAGGGTATAATAAAGTCCAGAAATGCCCTAGAGTAGGTAATTTTTTGAATAGATTTTCTGTCCATTGAGTAAGGTTTTCTGAAAGTCAGTTTTAGCAGTTGTTTTCCCAGTTGCAATGTGGTATGGTAGTTAAAAGTTTGGTCTCCATAGCAAGATTGCTTAGACTTTGAATCAAATTTCTTACTTACAAACTTACACAAGTTACTTAACTTGTCTATGTCTTAATTTCCTCATCTCTAAAGTGGTAGCGTACTACTAAGACCTGGGTTTTTGGGATGATAAAATAGGTAATACATTTAAAGAACTTAGATTAGTGCCCAGTATATATGAACAACTGAATAAATTTTAGCTATTCTTGTTATCATAACCCCATGCTGCTGGCGGCTACATCACTAGATTGATTTATTACTAGATGGTGTCTGAAACAGCCTGAGACTCTGAAGAATGCATCCACATATCTTAAAATTTATTGTAATTCATACTTATTGGGCTCACAGGAATGGTACTGGCATGGACAGTAGGTATAAATATGAAGAGTGAGGGGAAGGGGGAAAAATAAGGGAGGCAGGAGGGAAGTGCCTAGTTATGGATACGGGAACAAAATCAAACCCTTGGCTCTAGTTTGGAAGGAGAATTGCCCTGCAGAGAGAAAAGGCACCCCACAGTTGAGCAATTTGGGACTTAGAAGGGGGGATGATAAACCAGTGTTATTTCTTGGTTTTGACATGTAGATTTGTTTGATTTATAGTAGCATAATTTTCGTAATTAGAAGGTGGTGATGTTGTGAGACATTGTGTATTTAATGCCACTGAATTATATCATTTAAAATGGCTAACATGGCACATTTTATGTTACATACATTTTACTGCAAGGTGATGGCTGCAAAGTGCTTGCGTATCGTTAGCATTACTGAAACAATCTCACCACTCTGAATAACATCATTTAGACAAGGAAAAGCTGGAATAGGTAGGAAAATGGATGGATGTTGGTGAGGTAATGAAAAACTCACTGTGGAAGAGCAGAGCAAGGAAAAAAATGTAACTTACAATTGACAGGTAATCAGGAAGTTGGGTTACACAGGCAGAGAGAAGAAATTGAAGCCAGATGTAGGAGTCATACCTACAAGCAAGGCCAGCTGGGGCAACTTAGCAAGACCCTGTTTCAAAATAAACTTTATATAATATAAAGAGCTGGGGGTATAGCTTTCTGATAGAGTGCTTGCTTAACATGAAGCCCTGAGTTCAACCCCCAGTATGGCAAAAGAAAGAAAGAAAAAAAAGAAAGAAAGAAATTGAGATTTGCTATATGTGGGAATATGGGCTCAGGAAAAAAATCATTCAAAATAGAATTTTGATAATCTTAAGGTGTTATAGTAATGGTGCTATTGATCTCAAAGGAGCAATCTTTTCCAAATCTCAAGGCTGCTTCTAGTTCTTGACACTTGAATATTTTGCAATAATGAATATTTAAATCTTTAAGGAGAAAGAGCTCAAAAAATATATGAATATTGTCTTAAGAGATGGATGAATAACCTTACTTTGCAAGTTTTCTTAAGGCTTTGTGGCATTGGCCCCTTTTTTTCCAGTTACGATCTCTTCTAGCAAGTCTGCCAATCACGAAAGGAAGTCAACACTGACCCCTACCCAAAGGGAAAGTATACCAGCTAAGTCTCCAGTACCTGGGGTAGATCCTGTTGTGAGCCACAGCCCATTTGACCCTCATCACCGGAGCAGCGCCGCAGGGGAAGTTTATCGGAGCCACCTTTCCACACACCTGGATCCAGCCATGCCTTTTCACAGGGCTCTGGATCCTGGTAAGCATGACACATAGTGAAGTGACAGTTATAGCAAAGAAATAACTTTTTAAGCTTCCTATTATAGTACAATAGGCAGATAAACATCCCATGTTATCAACACCAAATCAAGAAATAAAATTTTGGGCATAGGTTATGTCTCTGGTGAGTGCTTGCCTATCACATGTAAGCAGTGGGTTTGATCCTCAGCACTTTTAAAAAAATAAAGTTATTCTGTCTGTCTATACTGGAAATATTTTAAAAGAAGAAAGAAAATATTGCTATCGTCCTTTAGAGAACTAAAAATAATAGGTATCTGAAAAACTTTATTTGATGGCAGTTGGTGAAGCTGATTGGAAAAGTGAGTTAGTGTGAAGAAATACTTTATAATGACAGACATACCTTAAGTATGTTAATTACAACATAAGTAGACATTCATTTACCAGTGTGTTGATCTGAAGCCTAAGGCCTTAGATTATCAATTAAACCTAGCCTTTTTAACATATCCAGGTTCGGCTTCTTTTTTTTTTTTTTTTTTTTAAGTGAAGGTAAAATTTTAAAGACAGTTTCAAGTAATTCAAATACAGAATCATTCTAGATATTTTTCCCAGTTCTTTCAGTTTGTATATCCCACACTTGATTAAGTTTCTTTATTGAGTCTTTCCATAGCAGCCAACTTACTTATCAGAGAAACAGTTCTTTTCACCGATTTTCAGATCATTTCATTACATAATTTAATAATACGTGTAGCTAGAAGAAACTTATGAGTGCATATCACTGATGTTGGTAGACATGGTTCGGGTGGGTACAAAGATGGTTCTGATAGGAGCAGAAGTGTGCATGTTACTAGTGTGTGTACTGGGCCTAAGGCAGCACATTCATGCAGCTGAAGGAGAGGAGCCTTCACACTGCAGCTGGGGACAGAGTTCTATAAGAGTCACATTTTATAGTAGCAGAGAACTTGTAGGAAATATTTTCACTGAAAGCTGTGTCAGTATCATCAAATTATCTGACACTTGAGAACATTAAGTTTCAGAGGAGTTCAAGCCTAGTACAGAGAGTCTTTAACTATAGTTTGTGTCATTTACATTTTTTGACTTTGCTGTGGTGAGAAAGTAATAGGCAGTGAGTAGAAATCATACTTCACAGTGTGAATGTGAATCTTTTCCAGGTAAGCAATATTTAGTATGAACCTCTCTCATGAGCGGCAGCTCCCAATCAGGAAGCCACCAGTACTGAATGATGTATTGTCTTGCTATGATGTTCAGGGAATTAGGTATATAACTATATTTTCAGTTTATGATATTTCCAACTTTAAAATGGGTTTATTGGGAATATAACTACATAGTAAGTTGAGGAACACCTGTACTGGGAAAAAACTATCCCAGACTGAAATGGGACAGTAAGTTGACAGACTTACCTGACTTGGATTTCTGGATGAAGGAGAAGCAAACATTGCAGAAAATATATCGGTGGCTTTTCTAGGGAGAACATCTACATTTTGTTCTAAGACAAAATTTACATAATTTCTGTTGAGTGTCTATCATAGTCCTTTATTTTGTAGCAATTTTCTCTGCTTTTCATTTTATCCTAACCTGGATTATTATAAGTATTTTGAGGATAGAGACCTTTTCTTTTCTTTTTTTTTTTTTAACCATACCAGTCAGTCCCGTCACAATCTTTTGTCATGCTCTAAGTGAAGGATTGCCAGATTGTAGTAAGACAAATCATGCTGCCACCTTTTTCTGTAAATAAACTTTTATTAGAACACAACCATAACCATTCATTTGTTTTGTCTGTAGCTGCTTCTATGCTATTGTGACAGAGTTAAGTAGTTTTGTCTTAGACCTACAAAACTCTGTGACATTTATCATCTGACCCTTTATAGAAAGTTTGATAGTCTGTGATTCAAACATGCACAAATTAAATGCTTGTAGACTAATTGTTTTTACTTCTAAAAGTAAATTTGCTATGTCACAAAGTGTTTCCATATATTTTTTCATTTGTGTATATTAATTTTATTTTCAAACTGGGGACGTGGCTCAATGGTGGAGCACTTCCCTAGCATATTTGAGGCCATTAGTTCAATTCCCAGCACTGAAAAAGAAGAAAAGAAATCAACAAAAATTTTATTTTCAAACATAGCTCTTAGATACTTCTAGTGAAAACATAATAGAGTTATGTGTCAAATATTGAAAGTGAAACTATTTGAGAAATTTTTAGCTACTGTTCTTCCCTTTCCCATTACACCTCAGACATTAGAATGCATTAAGATTTATGTTGTTGATATATCAAGGTCTAAAATGAATCCACCTTAATAATAATTGCCTGTGCTCTAACTCAGCAAATGATTTTTATTTCTTCACTCTTTCTGTGGGTGATGTTTGGCAAATGAATTTCACCCAGGACAAAACTTAATGCCTTTCTCTTGTTCTTCTCTCAGCAGCTGCTGCTTACCTGTTTCAGAGACAGCTTTCTCCAACTCCAGGCTACCCAAGTCAGTATCAGCTTTATGCAATGGAAAACACAAGGCAGACAATCCTAAATGATTATATTACCTCACAGCAGATGCAAGTGAACTTGCGCCCAGATGTAGCCAGAGGACTCTCCCCAAGAGAGCAACCACTGGGTCTCCCATACCCAGCCACAAGAGGCATGTGTCTTTTTAGTTTAGATTTCATAGAATTTATTTTAATCAGTAATTAATAAACACTTGTTGAATGAATGATGGAAAGAAATGAAGGCTATATCCTTTTATATTTTAAGGGCTATAGACTAGCCCTTAAAAGTGAACATAGTAATGTATCAAGATGAGGTGTTTTGGTGAAAACTGAAATAACCAAAATCATTGTGCTAGGTGTTTGGAATCCACGTTTTACTAGTTTGCTGTCTCTTTTTAATTTGAATATCCCTTAAGATTATTGTTGTATAGTATTTAATATCCTTCTCTAGATTTAAAGAAGATTAAAAGGTAATGATGATCCTAAAACCTTTTTATTTATGCTACATACAAATTATCATTGAATTATAGAAATAGACAAAATCCAAAAGCCATGTATAGTTATATCTATCTTCAGAATAAATGCTTACATAAATTGTGTTTGTCTTTTGGATAGGAATCATTGACCTGACCAATATGCCTCCAACGATATTAGTGCCTCATCCAGGGGGAACAAGCACTCCTCCCATGGACAGAATCACTTATATTCCTGGTACACAGATTACTTTCCCTCCCAGGCCATACAATTCTGCTTCTATGTCTCCAGGTAAGATGTGGCAGTCATATACTTCTCCAGTAGGACCAATGTGCTTGAGTTTTGTAACATCGCCTTTTATTATTTGGGCAGTTTTTCCCCCATTTGGTTTGTTCTTTTCATTTAATAATAGTTCTTATTTGCCATCTGTTACTAGATATCCTAGAAATGCTCTAAAAGTTTATGTTATGCTAGAGTCATTATCCAGGATTGTTAACAATCTTTCTACATTCCTATTTTGGAGCTTTTTGAAAAAATTTAGTTATAAATTTCAAAAATTGTTCCTGATTAGGTTGACATTTTTGTCTTTAAGTTGCAGATTCATATGTTTTGCAGGACACCCAACACATCTTGCAGCAGCAGCAAGTGCAGAGAGGGAGCGGGAGAGAGAAAGGGAACGAGAGAAGGAGAGGGAACGTGAACGGGAGCGGGAGCGGGAGCGGATTACTGCAGCTTCCTCTGACCTCTACTTGAGACCAGGTCAGTGAAAGGCTCCTCACTCCTAGGGACAAGTCTGGGTGATCTAGAGTTGTGGTGTGTTGTGCTTAGAGCTCCGAGGGGCAAGTAAGAATTTGAAGGTGAAAAGTCATTACAGGGCTCAAGTGAAATGCAGATGAAAGTCCTCTAAAGGTTGGGATGAGGGAAAGATGAATTTGACACAGAAAAAATGAACTTTCCATGGCAAAGGTATCATTTTGATTGGCTCAAGCAGCTGCTGTCAGATGGGCCTGAAAATATTAGACACAGAGCTCTTAAAGCAAAAAGAGCAGCCCAAGCAAAGGTATGGGAAGCTGTAACTATACCCCAGTTTAAATGGGGAATGAAAAATACATTTAGAAGTTGTGTCATGCTCTGAATGAGGGATTGCCAAACTACAGCTTGTGGGCCAAATTGAATTACAATGAATTACATCTTAAATTACAATGAAAAGTGCTGCCATTCTGTTCAAAAAGGAGGTGACACGATCAGAAGAACACTTACAAGAGAGTGGCATGACATGAATTAGAACCCTGAAAGTCCATAGTTGCATGGACTGGTGCCAGGAGGCCAGAGATACTGTCAGTAGTTCACATGCCTCATGCCCTGAAATATCCTAACATTAGGGAATGACCAAGAAAGAACTCCTGAGAAGAATATGAAAGTAGAATCAAAATGTCTTAACAATAACTGGATATGGGAAGTGGGGACAAGATGAGAAGCAACTTTAGTCTGCAGTTAAGACAGAGCATGTAAGCCAGCAGCACAGTGGTGCATGCCTGTGATCCTAGCAACTTGGGAGGATGAGGCAGAAGGATCACTACTTAAAGGCCAGCCTCAGCAACTTACCAAGGCTCTGACTCAAAAAGTAAAAAAAAAAAAAAAAATACAGCTCAGTGGTGGAGTACTTTCCTAGCATGCATGAGGCCCTGGGTTCAATACCTAGTACCATAGATCAAACAAACAAAAAACCCTAATAAAACAAATGGAACACAATTAGTAAAAGCAAAGAAAGAATAATTTTTATTTTAGACATACTGTATTCAACACATACTTGGAGTATCTGTTCTTATCCATGATATACTTGTCTAAATCAGATCATTGACCCTATCTGTATTGTCCAATATTATATGTGACCTAGCACTCAGAAGAAAAAAGAGAGCTTGGAGATGCCAACAGATCTGTAAGAGTTGAAACTGTGGCTTGAGTGAGACTTCCAGGTTCAAGAGTGTAAAAACAGAAATAGGTCAGTCTTTTTTAGATGTTTCTGGATGTGCTGATATAGGTGGAGAGAATAGGAAGCAGAGACATAGAGAGGTGGGTACAGAGCTGAAGGCACAGTGGCAAGAAGGTGTCACAATCATGTTTTCATGGGGGACGGAGCCTTTGAAGTCAATGTAGTTGGCAATATGTGGAAGAAATCCCAAAGCTAGTCATCATATTTGATACTGTCATATTATTCCTGAGAAATTATCTTAAACACTTCAGTGGTTGCAAAGCCTGAACACATTTAGATGTGACCCATTATCTGTATCCAATCAAAACAGTTTGAGAGATGAACCTGTCTGGTTTATATTAATGCTTCATGCATTTGGTGCTATTTCTATTTTTCTCTAGAGTTAAAGAATGAAACTAGTCACAAAAATGGAAATGACAATAAATCATAAACTTATGTTTTGTTTCAAGCAACTTGTGGGCTTTATTGAGAAAGGCCAGAAAGTAGAATATCACGTTTTTTATCTCATGTTCCTTTTCTATTTAGTAATATTAGGAAATTAACAATCCATTAATGTTACTACCTATTAACACTAGCTTCTTCCTAATATCTTATCTTCCTTTTTTTTTTTTTTTTTTTTTTGCCCCTGCAGGCTCAGAACAGCCTGGCAGACCTGGTAGTCATGGATATGTTCGCTCCCCGTCCCCTTCAGTAAGAACTCAGGAGCCCATGTTGCAGCAAAGACCCAGTGTTTTCCAGGGAACCAATGGAACCAGTGTAATCACACCTTTGGATCCAACTGCTCAGCTACGAATCATGTCAGTCTCTTGTATGCATTTTGACTAAAAGAATACTATATTCTCTTACATATTGTGACTGCAATAGTTAATAGTCAAGATTTTCTAGCCATTAAACTTCTTATTCCTTTTTTTGGTGTGTGTGGGGGGATTTGCCATTTGTCCATCTTCGCATCTCACACACACACATACACATACCCCAGTAAATGGTCTTCTCTTCATAGAGCTGTGATTTGGTTTTATTTACAGGCCACTGCCTGCTGGAGGCCCTTCAATAAGCCAAGGCCTGCCAGCCTCCCGCTACAACACTGCTGCGGATGCCCTGGCTGCTCTTGTGGATGCTGCAGCTTCTGCACCCCAGATGGATGTTTCCAAAACAAAAGAGAGTAAGCATGAAGCTGCCAGGTTAGAAGAAAATTTGAGAAGCAGGTCAGCAGCAGTTAGTGAACAGCAGCAGCTAGAGCAGAAAACCCTGGAGGTGGAGAAGAGATCTGTTCAGTGTCTGTACACTTCTTCAGCCTTTCCAAGTGGCAAGCCCCAGCCTCATGCTTCAGTAGTGTATTCTGAGGCTGGGAAAGATAAAGGGCCTCCTCCAAAATCCAGATATGAGGAAGAGCTAAGAACCCGAGGGAAGACTACCATTACTGCAGCTAACTTCATAGACGTGATCATCACCCGGCAAATTGCCTCGGACAAGGATGCAAGGGAACGTGGCTCTCAAAGTTCAGACTCTTCTAGTAGCTGTATGTATCTCAACCTGAGTTTCACAATGTGATATCTGAGTAAAGAATTACTTTATTCTTTAGGTAAAGCAGAACTATATGGCATAAAAGAATCCTAATGCTTGATGATAAATGTAAGAGAAAAGATTTTGTGGATTAGAACAGCAAAATGTGTCTTCTAGTTTTATTATGATTTAAATATCCCTGTTTCCTAAGTATAAGCCTATCAGTGTATTTTTCAAGAGAAAACTTACCTTCAAAAGAACTAAAGTTGGGAATTGGATAGAAAGAGGGCAGAGCATATTAACATGTTCTTAAACAGTTTTTTTTTTGTTTTTTTTGTTTTGTTTTGTTTTTTTTTACTGGATTTGGTGGTGCACACTTGTAATCCCAGCGACTTGGGAGGTGGAGGCAAGAGGATCACAAGTCCAAAGCTGCCTCGGCAACTTAGCAAGACCCTGTCTCAAAATAAAAATGACTGGGAATGTTGCTCAGTGGTAAAGCACACCTCCTCAGTACCAAAAAAATAGGAAATAAAATAAAACACTGATACATATTTATATATTTTTTTAAAGTTAAAGTGATTTGCATTTTGATCCAGTATGGTTTGTCACACTGATGTCTACAAGAATTTACCAATCTACACTAAAATGCTAGAAAACTTACTTTTTAAACTTTTACTTTTGACTGTTGCCTAAATTCTATATGGAATTCCAGAAAAAACAAGCAGGTATTTAAACAAGCAGCTGCTAATAATTGAAGTAACTGAATCATACAGTCTTTTCTATGTTATCTTCATTAAAGAAACTGTATTGGAGATAATGAAAAAAAATGAGTAGTATTGGAGATAATGAAAAAAAAAATTCTTGTGTAGCAGAATGCAATGTGAAGTTCTTTTTATCTCCAAATATCTCCTTGCCTACTTTAAAACTTGCTTGTGTCTAAATCTACCCCATTGCTGAGGTTTTGAGAGAGAGAGACATCTTGATAGTGTATTATATAGAAGAAAGACTTCCTTTTAACCTGGGATTAGGAAAATCTACAACATAAGTTTTCAACATGCAGAAAATTGCTAGCCCAAGGAAGAGAGGTAGTTGTATGAATGGGTATTTTGGAGGGGAATCATTAATACACATGGTAATACCTCTCACCCCCAGGCTTCTGGACCAGGGTAGTGTAATCTCTAGGGTGTGTAATCACTGGACTAAACAAACACTTCTTTTCTATTTGCATCACAAAACACACCTTGCTGTAGGAGTTTGATTTTCAACAAAATCAAAATTTTGATTTTTTTTCTATTTTTTCTGAAAATGGAAAAAATCCTGGTTCGTTCATATTTCTGGGTAGTTTATCTTAATTTTATCACTGGGCACTGACTTGCTTGAAGTTCAAGTCTAGTGACAGTCACTTGGTCTGGTTTTCAGTTTGACTCTTGAGAGCCTTCCTCACCCTGGAATGAAGCACATTTCCCTCATTTTTGCCCCTAAGTCTTCAAAAGCAACGTGAACAAGGTTCAGAAGTAGACTTTCTGTTGACAGAATACTGTTAGTATTCAATGGATGTAGGATGTTGGTTTGTAACAGTGGATATGGAGATTGCAAATTAGTATAAATTTAGAATGTAGTGGTTTATTTTAGTTCCTCAATGATAATTTTCATGCTATTTGTTAGGTTTCTCTTTTCCTGAACCTGAAAAATTTTAATTTCCATGACCTACCTGGTTGGAGGTAGTTCAACTAAGAACTGAAGGAGCAGGAAGTGGTCAAGTCACAGAATTCATTACCACCATGTCCAGCTAGGGTTATAATACCCTTTTTTCAGACTTGAGAAAGTCCTAATGTTGCCTGTAGGAAGTTATATCTGCCAGTCTCAGATTGCTGAGTTCTGAGGCCATGGCAGGACTGTGAAAAGCTGCCTGTCCATCTTCGCATAGCCCTTGTTTTCTTTGGAATTGCATCCTAGAGGACGCAGCTCTTTCATGTGGGCATCCTCAAGAGTTGGTTGGCATCCTTCCTTTCTGTGATTCAATTCCCTTCAGATATTCCCTACTATTCCTGTTTATTTTCACATAACATGGTGATGAAAAATTATTTGGAGTAATTTTTGTCAACAGTACTCCAGTCATTTGAGAAAATCATTGTATAATGTTAGGTAATCCATAGTTTTAAAAACCATTATGGTAATGAAGCAGCTTTATAGCCTCAAACCTTTTTGAGCAACAGATTGTCCCATGAAGTGGAATTGTTGGTATCAATTAACTGATGAGATCTACTCTCTCAATTATTTATTAATCTCCTCTGATGAGAGTTTCCCTGGTGATTTCTTTGTCAGCTCCCAGGAGATATCACAAGTCTGTTTTCTGTTCTGTCCCATCTCACTGTTTACTGTGGGCTTTTTAAAAAGACCTTAGAGTCCCACACATTCAGAAAACCCTATGCCTTAACAGAGATTAGAAACATCGAGGCACCTTTGGTACAGTCCATAGGGTTGGATAAGTTGTTACCATTAACCAGGAATTGCCATTGGACATCTCTGGGCACAGGGGGAAAAAATTAAAATATGCAAATAGGTATGAAGAACTTGGACTTTTGAAACTTTTCAGGCATTCGTTTTAAAATAAGATTCTTTTCTTAAAGTGTCTTCTCACAGATATGAAACACCTAGTGATGCTATAGAAGTCATAAGTCCTGCCAGCTCACCTGCACCACCCCAGGAAAAACTGCAGGCCTATCAACCAGAGATTGTTAAGGCAAATCAAACAGAAAGTAAGTGTTTTTTTAGCCACCATTGACATGTTATCATATCTGCATTTAATCATTTGCTTCAAAATTATCTGTCTCTATGCTATGCTAAGAAATAACTTGTTTTGTTTGTTTCAGGGTCATCTTATATGAGTCTGCTTTTAAAAAGTTTTAAGACTGCACTAAGGAAAAGCAACTTTAAAGCTATTACTAATTGCTCTTTTGTTTATAGTTTAATGGTATAGAAAATAGTTTATTTGTTTGCCCACTTAAACATTCACATTTTATTCTACAAGTCCTCAGACTTCTATTGGTAAATAAATATTTTTTTGCATCAAAATTAAGATACATAAATTCTGTGCTTAAAGTTCTGTCATATCCTTTTCGTGTATTCTTTGGAATTATGTTTAATCTTTGATAATGAGTAAAAAACAGGGGCATCCCTGGAGTAAGACATGTATGTGTTCTGTATTAGCCGATCCCACCAGACAGTATGAAGGACCACTGCATCACTATCGACCCCAGCAGGAATCACCATCTCCACAACAGCAGCTGCCTCCTTCTTCACAAGGAGAGGGGATGGGCCAAGTGCCTAGGACCCATCGGCTAATCACACTTGCTGATCACATCTGTGTAAGTTTTTCATTATTCTTACTATTTTTTTTGTTTCTTTTTACAGTTTTTTTTTTTTTCCCTTTTAATGGTATTGGTGATTGACCCCTAGGGTCAATCTTTTTATTTTGAGATAAGGTCTCAGTAAATTGCCCCACCTGACCTGAACTTGTGATCCTTCAGTAGCTGAGGTTACAAGCAGACAGCACCTCACCCAGCCTTAATCCATTTTTCTTTGGAGTGTTAAGAATATTAGCACACTGGGGCTGGGGCTGTGGCTCAATGGTAGWGTGCTTGCCTAGCATGCATGAGGCACTGGGTTCAGTCCTCACCACATAAATGTAAAAATAAAGATTTGTATCCACCTAAAAATAAAAAATAAAAAAAAAATATATACATGTTACAAACATTTATTTTCTCAGTGGTAGAGCAGTTGCCTAGATTGTGCAAGGAACTGGTTTGTTTCTTAGCACCTCAAAGAAAAAAGAAAATAGACTTCAATGTGAAGAGACTCTTTTCCTTAGTAAGGTCTGCCACACTCCAGGCTCTTTTTTTTTTTTTTTTTTGGTGATGTTGAAGACTGAACCTAGGGCCTTATACATGCTAGCCAAGCATTCTACCACTAAGCTACACCCCCATCCCTAATCCCCCAAATTTCTTAAATAGTAAGCTCTTTACCACCAATCTGTACCCCCAGCCCTCTTATGTATTTTATTTTAGTTTTATTTTTAATAATTCTGAGTATCAAACTCAGAGCCCTGTGTATAGAAAATTGCTCTAGTCCATAGACAAAACATGATCAGTCAAGTGCTCTACCTTTCAGCTATATCCCCAATACAAAGCAACCATTTTTTCTTTCTTTCTTTTTCTGCAATTCTGTAGATCAGACCTAGACCTTGTTTACCAATGAGTTAAACCTGTGATTAAGGCATATGTCACTATGCCAGGCTTGTTAGACTCTTATGCTGTCTTTTTTTTTTTTTTTTTCTGAGGGGGAGGGTACTTAATGAGTTTAATCACTTCCTCCTTTTCTTGTTCACAGCAAATTATCACACAAGATTTTGCTAGAAATCAAGTTTCCTCACAGCCTCCCCAGCAGCCTCCAACTTCTACATTCCAGAATTCACCATCTGCTTTGGCGGCTACAACTGTGAGGACTAAAACCTCAAGTCGCTATAGCCCAGAATCCCAGTCTCAATCTGTCCTTCATCAAAGACCAGGCTCTAGAGTCTCTCCAGAAAATCTTGTGGACAAATCCCGGGGAAGGTAAATTGCAAACCATATGAAAATTTTCCAGCAGTAAAACACTTTGAATATATCTAAAAGATAGGGTACTTATTTCTCACATCAAAAGTTCATTTGCCTTTGTTTCCTGGAAAGTATAAATTGGGATTTTTTCCTCCATATATTATTCTTGGAATCTCTACCGTCTGGGCATTTGATGTTCTATTATTTGCTGGTTATGAAAAAGTTTAGTTTTTTTTTTTAATATTTGATTTTTAGTTGTAGATGGACACAATAACATATTTATTTTTATGTGATGCCAAGGATCGAACTCAGTGCCTCATATGCACTAGGCAAGCTCTACTGCTAAACCACAACCCAGCCCCCAAAAGTAAAGTTTAGTAGTCATTTAGGGATACTTAAGTGCTCCTTCTAAATCATCTGTCAAGCCTAGCATGTTGGCAGGCCTGTAATCCCAGCTACTGAGGAGCCAGGAATGAGGACAGCCTGAGCATGGAGTGAGACCCTAATCTGAAAACCAAAAAGAAAAAAAAAAAATCTCTCAAACATCTCACTCTTTGTTTTCTGTTGGGGCAGCAGAAACAGATGCTTCAAAAGGTGACATTACAAATAGGAAAGTGGGGCCAATAGAGGCAAAGTGGGAGGAAGCATTTAAAGTGACAGGACTATCTGGTAAAGAGTGTACTTTCTTACCTGATGTTCTGGGTCTGGATTTAAGAAAAAAGGAGGCAGTTTTTTTTTTTGTTCAAAATGATAGACTACAAAGTAACATGTTTATAGCTAAATAGCACAAAGGGAATTAATAAGAATTTAGAGAACAAGAATGAGATATTGGGCTGGGACTGTAGCTCAGCTGGCCTAGCACATGTGAGGGTTTGATCCTCAGCACGAACAAACAAATAAATAAAATGTATTATGTCCATCTACACTAAAAATGGTTTTTTAAAAAATGAAATATCAACAGAGCAAAGAGTGGCAGATAACGGGGAAGACACACAAGGCTGATGTGAAGACAAATCTGTAGCAGAGATGATTCTCTAGCCTGCCTGCCACCCCACAAAATGTGTTTAAGAAGCTGAGTAGTCTTTTTTTAAAAAAAAAAAACAAAAAAAAAAAAACACTTTTATTACAGAATTTTCAAACATATACAAAAAGTAAGAACAGTACTGTACATCTCCATACTCCTATCACCCAGCTTTTATAATCCTCAGTAAATACCCAGTTTCATTTCATTTTTATCCTCCCTTTTCCCACCCTGGTACTGATTGAACCCAGTGGCACTTACCCTTTGAGCCACATCCTCAGCCCTTTTTATATTTTATTTAGAGACAAGGTCTCACTGAGTTGCTTAGTAGGGCTTTGCTAAGTTGCTGAGGCTAAATTTGAACTCAGGAACCCACTGCCTCAGCCGCGCAAGCCACTGGGATTACAGGTATGTGCAACTGCACAGGCTTTTCTGGATKTTTTTTTTTTTTTGGTCAATTTTCAGTGGATCTTTATTTTTAGTTATTTATATGTGGTGCTGAGAATCAAACCCAGTGCCTCACACGTGCTAGGCAAGCCTCTACCACTGAGCTACAACCCCCACCCTACTGAATTATTTTGAAGCAATTCAATCAAGTAAAAAAGCATGTTTAAACTGTTCTCACAGTTCATACTGTTGTTTTAACACCAATAACTGATTTTTAATCTGTAAGCAAAATAAAGAAAAAATTATATGTAGTTCTAGCATAGAATATAAATGCTGTAAATCGAATAAGTATGGCTGGTAGACATAGGAAAGAGAAGGGAAGTCACAGAAAAGAGGTAGAAGGATATACATGCTAATTTCTTCATTTTAAAAAAAGGTTGAAGTATGCTGCTTAAGGTTAAATAGACAAACATTAAAGACAAAGATTATAATAGCTAAAAACAAGAAAAAGGTAAGTCAAACTCTTTCATGGAAAATAGTTGATAAAAATCAAAAAGTAAAGGTGTATATTTTAGAGTTTGGGAGGTAAAGATCAAAGGAAGTAAATATTTCTAAAAAATGAGAACTAGATGAATTGATTGTGAAAGGAAATGTTTAATAGTAATATGCAGATATTGAAAGTCACAAGTGGTGTTTAGTATGCATAGATCTCTATGTAAAAGGCTTTTTAAAAGACTCTAAACAAGCTGGGCGTGGCAGCACACACCTGTGATCCCATCAGCTCTGGAGAATGAGGCAGCAATATCTCAAGTTCAAAGCCAGCCTCAGCAATAGCAAAGCACTAAGCAACTCAGTAAGACCCTGTCTCTAAATAAGATAGGACTGGAGATGCTCAGTGGTTGAGTGCCCCTGAGTTCAATGCCCAGTACAAAAAAAAAAAAAAATGGTATTCAGAGGAAAAATATTAAATTGCAGAGAAGGTCTCACACCATTAACTATAGTGTGGGTTCACTGGTCAAAACTCTTAGGTTTCAGTTTAGTCCTTGATGAGATAAGTTACGACCAAAATAAACAGTAATACCCTTAAGGGCACAATTGAACTAACTGGCCACAGAGCAGGTTGGAGTCTGATGTTGAAGTACATGCAGAGCCTCAGGATGGAGCTGCTGCTGCTGATGCTGCTTCCGCTGTTGCTGTCCTGTGGTACTAACTGGTATATGACTCCTGAATCCGTGGAGAAAAAGGCATTTTCAGTAATTAGATATATAGCAAATACCCATAACAACTGTTTTCTAATAGAAATCAGCAATCTTTACTTCTCCAGTATGAAGTTAACAGTTTCTGTTTAGAATGATCAGTCAATATGTAGAGGGCAATCTAACCTTTTATATGTTACAACAGCAGACCTGGGAAATCTCCAGAGAGGAGTCATGTCCCTTCAGAGCCCTACGAGCCCATCTCCCCACCCCAGGTTCCAGTTGTGCATGAGAAACAGGACAACATGTTGCTGTTATCTCAGAGGGGCTCGGAGCCTACAGAGCAGAGGTGAGTGCACTTCCCAACCACAGCTCCTCTGCAGGGGTCAGGCTTAGTGCCTTTTTGAACTTTGATCACTTAAGTCTGTTTTCCCAGGGAGCTAATGCTAGTGGATTATAGCAAAAATATCATCATTTAAATAGATTAGAAAAAAATGTTTATTACTCTTGAAATTAAATCCTCATATTCCTTTAAAAAAAATTGTGGTGGGGGAGGTGGTCCCTGACTGATTCACCAATATTACAATTTAGTCAATATTACCATTACATTACTGTGTACAAAGCATTGCAGACTATATACAACCAAACTGCTTTACATATTTTATCTTTTCTAATCCTAACTCCAACCCTCTGAATGATGAGATGTCTTTGATTTGGCCCATTCCAGCCCCTCTTCATACTTTACCAGAGTGATCTGTCTAAAACTCACATCCAGTACAATGCTATATGGCTAGCATGGCATTTGAGTTCCCTCAGGACCTAGTTTACACAGCTTTACACTGAATTCCTTTTCATCTATACTCATGCTGTTTCCTTGGTGTGTAACACCCTCCTTGATGCTGAAAGGTAAATACATGATTTACCTCTGGTCAGACTGATAAGAAGAGGAAAGTGCAGTTTTAAACCAAAGTCTAACTCCTAAATGTATTTCTATTGCATATACTCACAGGCAACAAACAAAATTGGTGCCTTCAATTGAAATGAAGAAAATTTATTTTTGGAGAGGGAACGATATTAAATTTAATTATATATTTACATGTTTAAGACAGGGACCATGTTTTAACTCCTTTGAAGATATAAGTTTTCTTGTGTTTGCATGATGAATGAATCTACAGGACCAGATGAGGTTACCAACAGCTTTCCTTCTATACACTCTGTTATCATCTCTGGCCCCTAGCTAGATCATTGATGGCCTAGAACTATTAGAGAGACTCGATTTCTAAAAGTATAGGAAGCTACCAGTGAACTATGAAACCCTTCCATTAAACTCAGCTGGGACTGAAATGACTGTTAAAAAAAAAAATGGACAGTTTTGTTTTTACTGTATAGCTAGTCTATTCAAATCCAACTGATGACTGCTTAAGTAAGAACTCGTGCTATTTTATAGGCAGGTGTGCTTTTAGTTATAATTTCAGTAGTAATTCTAGGGCTGGTAATGTAGCTCAGTTGGTGGAGTGCTTGCTTTGCATGCATGAAGCCCTGGGTTCAATCCCCAGCACCACAAAAAAAAAAAAAAAAAAAAAAGTAATTCTATGGCTTAGAGGTAGAGTGCTCGCCTAGCATGCATGCAGCACTGGGTTCAATCCTCTGCACCACATAAAAAAATAAAGATATTGTGTCCACCTATGACGAAAAAATTAATATTTTAAAAATATATAAATAGATAATAAAATGATAAAGTAATTCTGCTAGACATAGTGCTGCACACCTATAATCCGGCAATTTAATGAGACCCTATTTCAAAATTTAAAAAAAAAAACTGGGAATATAGCTCAGTGGTAGAACACTTGTCTAGTATGAAGAAGGCCCTGGATTTACTCTCCAGTACTGAAAACTGCCCCCCTCAAAAAAAAGTATCTCTATAAGCTAGTAAATAGCTCCCCAATTTATATGGTAATCATAAATAGTTTATGCCATTAAGCAGAAAGCACCATAATAAGCTGTTTCTCCCAGGCACAGTGGCACACTCAGAAGACTCAGGCAGGAAGATTCCAAGTTCAAAATCAGGGTCTGCTGTCTATAAAAAAAAATTTTAAAAGGGCTGGGGATGCAGCAGTGGTTAAGTGCCTGTGGGTCTGATCCCTGGTACCCCTTAACTACCATCAAAACGAAAGTATTCGAAATTTTCCTGCTAATATTCATTTGCTACATGTTGATTTCTTAAAGAGTGCCTACTCTGGTTTTATCTATTTTAATCCCAATTTTACAGTTTCATCTTTGAGAGCTAAAGTATTCTATTATGCCCTTAACCCATTTTATCTTATCATTCCAACTGTGGAACATCTATGAAAAGTAATATATTCTTATAAGTTATATACTCACATTACTTTAAACATTACCTAACATTATATAACTAGATTATGATTTCCAACCTATTTTAATGCAGTTGTGTCATTTTTATTGAAATATTTTCAAAATTGAAATCTTGGCACTTACTGGGTTACATGGTATACTGACTGGCTTTAATTTTTTTTTTTTTTTTTTTTTTTTTTTGGTAGATGGATACAATACCTTTTATTTATTTATTTTTAAGTAGTGCTGAGGATCGAACCCAGTGCCTCATACTTGCTAGGCAAGCACTTTACCACTGAGCCTCAGCCCCTGGTCACATAGTTTCTTAACGACAAATATAAGCTGTAGTTTTCCCAGTACTCTGTGACCATCACCATTATTAATAGGAATGTCCCCAGGTTAGGAGTATATGATTATAATAAACTGAACTGTGTTCCTAACAGAAATGATTCCCGCTCACCAGGGAGTATAAGCTACTTGCCTTCATTCTTCACAAAGCTTGAAAATACATCACCCATGGTTAAATCAAAGAAGCAGGAGATTTTTCGTAAGTTGAACTCTTCTGGTGGAGGTGACTCTGATATGGGTAAGTGGGATTTCTTTCATTAACCCTGAATAAAACATGCATTAGTATTGGTATTGCCAACATTGCCTCTTCTGTAACCCTTAAGTTTGAAGGCATCTGATCCTCAACACCTCCAACATATTTAATCCTAAATTCGTCCCCAAATATCTGCCAGTTCACAAGAGTTCCTACTTTAGCAGGAACCTGCTCCTTTCTGAAGTTGCCCATTTTCTCTGGGAACTAATGCTATGTCTGGGATACTTTTATGTGGGTTTGGACAGTTGTGGGGGTTTGTTTTTAAGTCACTGATTTTAGTTTTTTCTTTTTGGGCCATCTCCATACACCATGTCTTCAGATAGGTAAAGACTATCTGAAGTCATGTCCTTTGTGAGTCTATAAATATTCCTAGTTTCATTGATTGTTCTTCACATCCTTGTTCTGAGTAACCCTGCTATCTCAGTTGCTCTCCACAAAATAGTGTGATATGATCTAGTGTAAATTCATTGTTATTAAGGTAGCCTAAGATCTTATCACCATTTTTGTTGGCAGTCTAAACACTGAAGTTATAAATACACAAAGTATGAATATAGGTTTCAAGTTCTCTTAGTGGGCTACTTTTAAATCACACCTTTCCCCTTCTCAAGGCAATCTGTGCTTGCTCCCTTCCAGCTACTTTCTCTATCCCACCAGGGTCTCTCTGGACATTCAGCATTTATATGCAACTCTGGTAGACTTACCGTATAACATCATCAATAATAATGGTAACGAAGGGAGACTAGTAATGTGTGCTAGGCACTATTCTACATATGTATGTATATATGAATTCAGTTAATCCTCACAAACCCACATGCTACATATAATTATCTCCATTTTGTAGATGAGAAAACTGAGACTCAGAGAGGTTTAATAACGGGCGCAGGTTACATAACTAGTAAGTAATGGGGCTGTGGTTTTAAACTCAGGCATTCCAACTCCAGAGTCTATGCTTCCAGTGATGTACTAACAGGCTTCTAACAGTTCTATACTCACAGCATCCTTAGCCAGATTGTGGTTAAATATCCAATGAAACTCTATGGCAGAACTTTCCTTTGGGCTGATGTGCATGCATTCATCAGAACCCTCCTGCACTTGGTCACGCAGCACGCTCACTTGTACTATCACCCAGTCTTACTTATCCGTCATTTCCATCCTGTGGTAGAATCTGTATAGACCTCCGTTTGCTCTGTTTCTGCCATCTACCGGTCTCCTGACACTGCCAAAAGAAAGGAAACTGTTGGCTCTGAACTGTGAACTGCCAGGTGTATGTGTGTTTGGATCTGTCTCACTTTGTGATTAACCGTTGAATGTCAAAGAGAAAAAAGGATGAGCCCAATGTCACTTCCATGTGAATTTATCCTAGCTTTTAATTATTAGATTATTATTTTTTTAATGGCAACAAATCATCTCAAAGATAATGCCAACCAGAACTACTGTCGGCCCTATAGGTACCATATCCCCCTTTTAATATTACCATTACAGTTTTCTATCTCAAAGCTTCAATAGTCTCATCTATTATTTATAGCTTCTCAAATGTCACCAACTACCTTCATGTTGAAATCCTGTCAGAATTCAAAGATGAACCTGTCAAAGCATGGAGATGTAGATCTCAGAGCAGCCAGTTGGGAACTGTTCCACCTTGGTATGGTCTGCACTTGTCCCTCTAGTCTTTGTCTTGCCCCCTAAGTGGGAAAGAAATTCCTGATGGAGAAATACAACTTGGAGTGAAGAAGCCTACTTTTGTTCTCTTAGTGTTTTGCATTGTCCTTGACAGCAGCCCTCACTCACCAATTGTACAAGCGTTTATTGAGCAGAGTTCTGTGTTAACCGATGGTCTCTACTCTAAATGATGATGAAACAAGTATCCAACTTTAATAGGAAATAGAGTATTAATGTCTTAAGGCAAATATTAATAAAATTGCTCAGAGTCTAGGATATTTTTGAATGCAAACCTTGACTGTAGAAAGGGGAATTCACAGTGGGCTCCAGGCCCTAGAGCACTATTCAGTTCTCATTGGGAATTCAACTGCCATCAGCAACCAGGAGAGCTTTGCTCTGTCTCAATTCCATTTATTCCTATGAAAGACAGAAATAACTTCATTCTTTAAAAACCTTAGTGCTTTAAAACTACCTTTATCTGAGCATGGTGACACACACAGCGTAACCCCAGGAACTCCGGAGACCAAGTCAGGGGAATCCCAAGTTCAAAGCCAGCCTTGGGCAACTTAGACTCTCAAAATAATAAGGGCTGGAGATAGAATTCAGTGATAGACCACCTTGGGTTCAGTTACCAGTATAGCAAACAGTCTCTTTGCAGCTTCTGACAGTGAGCCTTTTCCTTTCTCTGCTCTTTCCTTCTGTTCTCTTGTCTCTCAGATGCTACATTCTCCTGTTGTTTTGGGTAGTGATGGTTGTTTTTCTTCTTCTCTACTTCTTTGGAAGTTTCTTCTGTCTTCTTAGAAGTTCAGTTTTGCTTTGTTAGCCCTTGAGATTGTTCAGGGCTCTTCTCATGCACTGATCTCTCTCATCCACTGTGAGGGTTTAAACTGTCAATTTCATCCCTAGGAAACTCCGGTTTTATCATCATATCTCTACTTAGAGATCTTTGCAGACCTCATTTCTTCTTCAATATCTTACTGGCTCGCACTTTCTTGGCTTCCTCTGTTTGCCTTCCACACAGCTCTTAGATATCCACCTTTCTTTCCCCTCCTGAGCAGTTGTCATATTCTCCTTTCTTTCCCCTCCTGAGCACTTGTCATATTCTATCTTAAACAAGGGGTCCTTTTTTTCATTTTTACCAAGTTACCCAGGTGATTCTGATTTGTGTGGCCTCAGAAAGTACCACATTGGGGCACATTCTAAGTAAATATATAGTATCATTGGTTGAACTTCATAAAGTTATTAGTTGACCATTTTTGATCAATAAGCAGGTAATTTTATTGTGATTCAGCCAACAATTCAATAAATATTTGGCATATGAATGAATAAGTTCTATTTCACAAACCTTGTGGTAACTATAAGGCTGTATTATTAAGATTTAGTTTATTTACTGTGATACCTGGCCCAAAAGACGACCATTATCCGTAGCCACTGTCCTAGTTCCTCTTATCAGTGTCAAGCTTTTCCTGATCAGGAAAGTTACTTTCTAGGCACACTCTTCCATCTTCACTGATGGCTTTCATCCCTAGGTAAAAATCCATCCTCCTGTTACTTGTTGAGTCACCCACTTATTTCCCGCATTCTTTTTTCCTTTTAAAGTTCTCAACATCAAGTTCAAAGAAGTGGCAGAGACAGCATTTATGTCCCCATTTTGTGCCCCTTCTCCTTCCGGCACAAAATTATTTATAGGTAGTTCCCAGTTTATCTGCTTTTTTCATTTAAACTGTGCAGTTATAAATTGTAGTTAGCAGAAATGAAAGAATCAACAAAAGAATCTTTTGTCTGATCCAGGGAATGTCCTGAGAATGTTTTCAGTTAGCCATGGTAGGCACTTAGTCAACTTCATACTCACTTAGGTGTGACCTTCCCCTTAATTTAATCTCAGACTACCTCAAACCCATTGGTACTTTCAGGAGTAGACTTAAAAGTCCAAAATTCTTTGCTAGGAAGCCTGGATTCCTGTTCGGAGAAGGACTTTTCTCTATGTTTTTCTCCAGCAGTGCAAGGTTTCTTTCCCCTTTGTAAGTTATATTACCTCTATTTTGAGTTTCCTGTTAATGTCCTGATTTCCTTGTTTTTCTTTTTTCTTTTTTTTTTTTTTAAGTATTTCATTTTGTATATGTATTAACAGATGAAAAATAAAGGTTGAGATCATGGAAAATAAAAAGGTTAATTTTATTGTAAGATTTGCTTTTTTGGTTTAGGTTTTTGTTGTTGTTGTTGTTTGTTTGTTTTTTAAATCAGCATACATGATTGTCTCATCTCAGTTAAATGTTTTTTAAATACAGCAGCTGCTCAGCCAGGAACTGAGATCTTCAATCTGCCAGCAGTTACTACATCAGGTAAATACATTATTTACCAGTGTATTTACCAAAATACATTATTTACCAATATGAATTTGGTACAGTAGCAGTCAAATCCAACAAATACACATTGAGTACTGACTGCATGCCAGGAAACTGCTCCAGTGTGTAAAAATGAAATAAGAATTTAGTTAAGGAGTCAATAGATTCAATACTTCCTGAAAAGATAAATGAGCAAAGAAATTCAAATCTGCTAAGTAACAGTGTAAACACTAGGAAGCTGACAAAAAAGAAAACCTTCAAATGAAAAATAGACCTGTGGGTGACTGATTCCCTGGAGTAATAAGATTCCTTAAAATATTTGCATATGGAGAAGGCTACTGTATGGAGCCCTCAGTGGTATTCTAAGCAATTGCTGAGTGCTGTGCAAGTTGAGTGGGCTGGAGGGCTGGTGTGATCTGTTCATTTCCCTGTGGCCCTGATCTGCCTCTCAGACAAGCAGAAATGGCTTGATTGTCTCTTCCAGGCTCAGTTAGCTCTAGAAGTCATTCTTTTGCTGATCCTGCCAGTAATCTTGGTCTAGAAGATATTATCAGGAAGGCTCTCATGGGAAGCTTTGATGACAAAGTTGAGGATCATGGAGTTGTCATGCCCCAACCTGTGGGAGTAGTGCCTGGTAGTGCCAGCACCTCAGTTGTGACCAGCAATGAGACCAGGAGAGATGAAGGAGACCCATCACCTCACTCGGGTAAAGTTTTCATTTTAGTGATCTGCTGCTGCCTTTCCCAAGGAACCAATTTATTTATTTTACCAGTTCTGGTGCATTACCAAGTAATTGTATTTGTCTTTATGGGCTCAGTCACCTCTTTCTTTAACAGAGAAAAAGTCTTAAAAACATTTCATATGCCCAAATGATATAGTAACCTAGAATGTCACCCTCCTGGCATCACAGTATTTTTGTTTTGTTTGTTTCAATTTGTTTTTAGTTGTAGATGGACACAGTACCTTTATTTTGTTTATTTTTACGTGTTGTCAAGATAGAACCCAGGGCTGGGGATGTGGCTCAAGCGGTAACGCGCTTGGCTGGCATGCGCGGGGCACTGGGTTCGATCCTCAGCACCACATAAAATAAAATAAAGATGTTGTGTCCACCAAAAACTGAAAAATAAATATTAAAAAAAAAAAACCCAGTGCCTCACGCATGCTCAGCAAGCACTCTACCACTGAACCACAACCCCAGCCCTCACAATGTTTTTTGTTGGTTTGGAGGGGGTAGGGATTGAACCCAGGGGCACTTTACCACAGAGCTAAATCTCCAGCCCTTATTTATTTACTTACTTTATAGACAGGGAGGCCTCACTAAGTTGCTGAGGCTGGCTTTGAACTTGTGAACCTCCTGCTTCAGCCTCCTGGGTTGCTGAGATTACAGGCATGTGGCACTATACATATCTGTACTTACCTGTACATTATCATGACAGAAGCATACATGTTTTTTAATAAAAGTGACTTCCAATTGTAAGAAAAAATGACAGACACAGTGTAAGCTTAAGCCATATGGATCACATCATCTAGAAAGTAGTGCTGCTGCTGCTGCTGCTACTGGAAAAGCATTATTCCAGACACATCTTAATGTACACACAGATAAAAAAGTTAGATTAGATAATTTTTTACCTCCTTTTAAAACTAAGCATACAAAAATTTTATTTACTCTAAACAACTTTTTTTCTTAATCATTTCAGAATTAATATCTTTTATACTTAAAAAATTTACCTGAAGTTCAGCAGTATTTCAGTTTTTAGTTTAGGTTTATTTTCTTCTGTTATCTTCAAGCAAAAGCTCTCACTATGTTTAAGGAAAAGATTAAAGAGATTAGACATTTTTTTTAACCTACACATAATTAAGCTAAAGATAGTGTCCGGCTACTCTAAAAAAATGAGCATTGTCTTTTCCTTCCTGCTTACCTTCTAGTTTGTATTGATTTTTAGGAGAAAGTCAGGCTAGGGTTGTGGCTCGGTGGTGGAGTGCTTGCCTAGCACGCCTAAGGCACTGGGTTGAATCCTCAGCACCATATAAAAAATAAAAGGTATTATGTCCATCTACAATTGAAAAATATATTTTTAAAAAATATACATGAAGGTTATGATTGTGAATGGAATTATGAGCCTGGTTGTATAGGATTTGGGATAGGGTGAAAATTATTCTGTTGGGACTGAGAAATTGTGCTGGTGACCTGAGCTGTGATCTCTTTTGAGGTCTGATATTTTTTTCTAGAGCTTAGTATGTGGTTTAGTGGTAAAATGTTTGCCCAGCATACACTGAGGCCCTTAGTTCAATCCCCAGTGCTTGTGTGTGCACACACATTCATTTATATATATATACATGTGTTATTGAAGAGCCCAGTCAAAGTAAGTAAGTAAATAAATAAGGGCTGGGGTTTAGCTCTGTGACTCCTATGAATTAAACAGAGCCTGAGAAAATATACCTCTGCTGAGGTCCCATAGTGGCATAAAGAGACATCTGCTAAATACTTTCCCTTTGATGTACACTTCAGTGGTGTAATTAACACCCCCCACCCACCATCACTGCCACACCATTTACTTCTTTCAAATTGAGAGCCAGAGAGAGCAGGTAGGTAGTAAGAATTTAAGATTGTGCAAACCTTCTCTATTTTTTAGCACAGCTTCCATATTCTTTTTTATTTTTAGATGTTGATAGACATTTATTTTATTCATTTATTTATATGCAGTGCTGAGAATCAAACCTAGTAACTCACACATTGCAGGCAAGCACTCTACCACTGAGCCACAACCCCAGCCCATCAGCTTCCACATTCTTAGGGCCAGCTTTGATGTTTAACAATATTTATTTCCTTAGTTGCCACATTTTAAGTTTATAACATAAAGATGTACCCCTTTGTTGTGTTTGCTGCAAGTGAAATTCTGGCTTTCTTTTAAATAGTGCTATTTCATTGTGTACTAGAATCTGGATTTTTCATGCTATCATTCTAATAAATCTGTATCACTAATTAATTATTTAATAGTTTAACTTGGATTTCACTTTTAGCAGGAGTTTGCAAACCAAAGCTGATGAGCAAGTCTAACAGCAGAAAGTCTAAATCTCCTATCCCTGGGCAAGGATATTTAGGAACTGAACGGCCCTCATCAGTATCCTCTGTACATTCAGAAGGTGATTACCATAGACAGACACCAGGCTGGGCCTGGGAAGACAGGCCCTCCTCCACAGGTGAGGAGCCCAGTTTAACTACTAGAAAGCAACTTCTATCAATGCCTTGTCATTCCTTCTTATAAAAACTTAGAAATACTTTATTCCCATTCTGTATCACTAATTCCTATTCTGTATCACTAATAAGTTCCACTTTCCAGAATAAAAATTGAATACATAGAATCTTCAAAATTTTTAATGCAGGGTCTGATACCATAAACTAAAAAGAGCTATGAAAATAATCTCATCCATTTTCCATCTGTATTTATGCTGGTTGGTTGCCAACATTTGCTACTTGCAAAGCAAATAAGTCTATGTAAAGTGCTACTCCTAAAAGTGACTTCCCCTTGTTAGTATTTCCTTAAGAACTTCTTTATGAAAAGCTAAGAAATCAAGTTCAGAAATAAGAAGAAAATTACATCTACATAAGCTGATGAAAGTGTTATTTTGTGCCTTTTCATAAACTTTTTTTTTCCTTTATTTTTATGTGGTGCTGAGGATCACACCCAGTGCCTCACACTTGTTAGGCAAGCCCTTTACCGCTGAGCTACAACTCCAGCATGACTTGTGTATTTCAGAGAATTATATACTGTTCTTCACTCAGGGATTAAATATATATTATATGTAACCAAAAAAATTTTTTCAAATGTGCTCTCCCAGTGAGAAAAAAATTTCGCATTAGACAAGTACAGTTTAGGGCTTTTCTCTTCTAAAATTCTCATGCCACATGGCACGTAGTTGTCTATTAGTTTGAAAGCTTACAGCCTAGACAATATAGCTGCTTCTCACATGTTGAGGAAGAAATTACTATTAGACCATAAAAATAGTATGTTTTATGATTTCAGTTTCTTAAGCTAGAGAAGTGTTCAGGGGACACAAGGTAGCAGGGCTCTTAGTGTGCCCTACTTCTATATCTGCCCAGTGAGATTTTTGGTAAGTAAACACATTGTGCTGCCCCTTAGCCTGCTGAAGTTTCTGGATACTTGTCCCCTCATCTTCTGAGCATTATACTGTTGCATTTCTCTTGAGCAGCAAATATACTACTTATGGTAACTTTGAAATAATTGTTTTTGGAGGTCTGTTCTTTTTCGAAAACAGAGAACGTCTGAATATATAAATCCATATTGTTTCTATTGCTTTCATTTCATTGAAATAATCACAGAATTGAAAATTTGGGACTTACTGGCTTAATATTCAGTAGTTCTGTGTGATTCTCTATGGAAACATAATAGTAGTTATAGAGGTAACTGGAAGTCCAGCAAAGTAATTCTGTGCTACTCCATCCACTCTAGGTGGTATTGGATGAAACAGCAAGTATGTGTATGACACTGAGACCTCATTTTTCTTTTGCCAGGCTCAACTCAGTTTCCTTTTAACCCTCTGACTATGCGGATGCTCAGCAGTACACCACCAACATCCATTGCATGTGCTCCCTCTGCTGTGAACCAAGCAGCTCCTCACCAACAGAACCGGATCTGGGAGCGGGAGCCAGCCCCTCTGCTCTCTGCACAGTATGAGACTCTATCCGATAGTGATGACTGAACTGCACAGGGAAGGAATGGGAAGCAGGGAATGGGCACAGAGGAGGGAGCTTTAGTTTTTTGGTAATTTTATTTTCAGTTGCAGGTCAAAAACCTGCCCTCCCATAACTTGTGCCCAGAGACTTCAGGAGAGCCATGCCACAGATGAAGAAAAAATGATGGAAATTCATTTGGAAAATCAAATGGGGGTGGGGGGAACTGCCTCTGATACAGGCTATTCAGTGGATTCTAATAATAGTGGAGGGTTGAAATGTAGTTTCAAAAGTGGACAATTTCTGTTCTTACATCTGTTTATAAAGAAAATCATAATGTCTTTAAATCACTCTTATGTAAATAGATGACCTTTTTGCAGTGTATCCCCTTGCTGTAGTATCTGGTGTACTTATGTTCAAATCAGCGCATCAACGTTGGGGATAATTTTTTAAAATCTTTTTTGTCTATCTTTTTAACCCTAGCCTTCTAAACAAACCTCATACAGCCCAGTTATAATGTTGGCTGTCACGGGCATTGTACTTTTATCTGATTTTGTTCTCTCCAAATTCAGCTTCCCAGTGATGTTTAAAATTTTGTGAAAATGTTTAGATTTTTAACATAGACCCTGTCGTAAAATCTATACATTAGGGTCAAAAGGTAGGAGCAACAGAATTCTGCCATACTGTAATTTCCAATGCAGGCTTTAAATTTTTTTTCCACTAGTAGCACTGAAAAAAATATTACTGCATGGATATGTTATAGTTCAGTTTTTAAAGTTTTAAAGGCTTATTTGAGGCATACCTCACTGTTATGCACACTGGTAATTTAACCATGCCCCTAAGTATTCCTTTTCTTCTGCATTTGATGCAGCCCAACAAAGCTTTTGTTTTGAAATAAATTTGACTACCCTGTCCATAGCTACAGATTATTTGTTATTTAAGGCTCTGTTGTCTCAGGTTTCAAAGGAAAAACTTATACATTTTTCTTAGTTTGATATACGATTGATTGAGATAAAATTAGATAATGATCTGTGTATGATCATCTGTGTATTATCTCATTCTCTTTTGTGCTGCATCCTGAACAAGTGTCATGGTAAACACACAGTCCTTTTCCATCTCTACATGTCACCACCTACATTGTTTCCTTGGGAAATCATTTACTATCATTTTTCATTTCAGATTCAAGGTACAAATAATTTAAAAGATTAAGTCCTAATTATACTGAAGGGTCAGTTTTATCCATCATTAAGAATTGCTTTTAAAATTTTTTCCATACAATTTAATCACAGCATTTAAGCATTTTTCCACAGCATATAAATACTAATGGTTTGGGGGAAATGCTACTGATAACTGGAAGGAAGTCTCACAATGAGTAAATTAGCATTTTATAGACTTTCAAGTAAATCTAAGATAAATCTTTTCAAGCCTCTTAGGTAAACGGGTCTATGATTAACTGCTGACTGAGACCCTCCTATCACCTGTTTTACAGACACAGGCCCATATCATTCAATAAGTGACAAACAGGCTCTAACCCTTGTATGTCTGCAATCAAAACCGTTACACCTGTCAGTCCACACTTTTCTTGGTCCTCAAAATAAACTTTAGCTCAGGCTTAGTGGAGTTCCTATTACTTACAAAGTTGAGGCCTTTATAATAATAATCAAACATAATTTTAACGTGAATAGAAAATAACAACTAAATGTTCTAATGAATGTTTTCTGCTTAAAGGGTTTTTTTTTTTTTTCAGGTACTGATAATATTTTTGAACTTTGTTGCCAACTGACCCAAACAGATCATGATATTTTTCTATGATCCTGAGGGTCTTAAGCTATCTATCCCAAGTTAGGTTAGTTTCTGAGAACCTACTGGATCAGAGCCTAACTTGTCACTTTTGCAGTTCCATTCAAGCACCCCAAGGTGAGCTGCCACTAACACCATCCTCATCCCAACACATCTATGTAATGCTCCATCTACCATCACCTGGAGAAGAGATTTTAGAATGGGAGATAAAAATCCATCATTTTTTAGGTCAAAAACAATAAAAAGACAGAATTCTCATACAGCTTACCTACAAAGCAAATTATTTAATAAGAGGGGCAGAGGTACGTCTTACCATGATGTAAATCTCAAGCATAGCATTTGAGAATGACTGATAACTTGCTGAAGTTAGGTGCAAACCAAGGCATATAACATCCTGGCAGGCTGAGATTTAAAATCATCCTTACAACATGATTTTTAGCACTCAGAACATAATCAAGGTCTTCCAATACTGTTGATAGAAGCATTTTCACAATTTTCCATTTTATGTTTATAGTTGGATATTTCACAATACTTTAATTTTGGTATGTTGATTATACTTTGAATATATTTATGCCCTGAAAATTCCAGTGACATAAGACACAGTACAGTTCAAAATTTCAAACTACACTATTTTAAACATTTACATTTAAATTCAAACCAATCAGTAAAGGAGGTCGGTCCTTTTCTTGCTTCACTACCTTGTTTTATAACAACTTTCATGAGAATACCCGCATGCAGAGACTTTTTGAAAATTCAGTTTCTCCAGGAGAGGAACCACAAACCGAATCATTGTGGAAGATTAAAAATTCTTAAATAAAACTTGGAGTGAAAAACCTAACTTCTGGTAACGCTTGCAATTGTGAAAAGGTAAAAACATTTTCAATATAAAAGGTGAGTGGTTCTTCAGCAAGTTATTTTTCTGAGAAACTAAAAGATTACTGGAATACATACAATATTGTTGTATAGTTTATTATGAAAAGATACTTCCAGTGTATACATATGAACCAAAAATATCTGTTTACCAATTCCACTCACACCCCACTCACAAAGGCATATCAACAATATCAGTGTTCCTTAATGGCACCTAGAAAAACTATCCTTCCCCCTAAACAAATGGCTTTTTGCAAGTCTGCTGAGGTAAGGAAATCCATCTATGTATCTTGTGTTTACATACTTTGAGGCAGGGCAATAAAAGCTCTTTCAACACAGCAGTATACTCATTTAAAGTCATCTGACCAGATACTTTTTCCCGTGGCTAAGAATCTCAGTCTTTCCTCATGTTACAGAAGAGGATACTAAGTAGAATCAAGGTTGGGAATTTTAAAATCTACATTGGTAGGGCCATATTCTAGTCAGGTCTAGGGTACAGCCCAGGCATTGCTTAAAGAGGATCTCAGATGACTCCGTTTTGTGACCTCACAGTTGCAAAAAATGTCAGATGCTCCAGGATACCACTGGCAAGAAAGAGGTTCCATCATTCTTCCCCCCAACCATTAACAGTTACATATAACCAGATAAATAGTTCACTTTTATTTATGACCAAAAGGCTACTACACTTTCAACTGCCTAATTCCCACTTTAAAACTTCATGCTGGGTACAGACAAACTAATATAACACTTTTCCTCCTCTGTATGTTAAATCCCACTGTGCTTCATGAAAGGTAATAGAAACAACTCACCATAATTTCCCTTTGCCATGAGTAGCTCTGGTCTGCCAGATATTGACAAAGTAAAAGAAGAAAGGGCAGCAAATCAGTGAACCAAAAATCTTTCGGTAGCGATGTTAGGCATAATTACCAGACCTCACACCCACAACCCAGAGGAAAAGTGGCCCATCTTCATCTATAATTACACTTAGACCAGCATGGACAGCACCTAACCATATAATACAATGGAAAGCATCATTTGACATCAATCCTTAGAGGTCATAATTAGTGAAGGGTGAAAGTTGTTTTTCCTTTAAAAACAAATGTGGCAGTATGTACAACTTGTCCTTCACCAAGGCTAAGTTGAGGAAACCTGAATATCAAGAACAGAAAATTTACACCATTGATTTGGGTGCCACAGACACTAGAATAATAGTTATTCCTTTAGGCCACTAGAAACTACCCTCCCTACAAAAAAAATGGGTTTAACGCTTGATAATGTTAAGTCAAAGATCTACTTTTTCTTGACAGCTCAGCCAATTCTTCCCTGATGTGCTGTACAGAAACCTCATCTCTTTTCATCTCTGCTTGCTTCAGTGCTTCCTGGTAGATCTCTTCTGCTTGTGTATATCGTTCTAAAATAACCCAGAGAAAAGGAAGAATAAGAAGAAAATGTGTTTTCAAAGTGAATCTGAAGAGAAAGCATTAATGAGGATACAGGTGTAATTTACTGTGTATTTATTAGTAAGTGACAAGGCTGGTACTGCCTCATTTTCTCCCAAAATGACAAGCTGATTTAGCCTGGAATGTGTAAAACGCCAAGCCACTGAGTGTTTTGGGATTCCTTACTATGTCCTTTCCGGTATACCCTAGGGTCCTCACTGGACTGGCCAAGGACTACACTATGATGATCTGTGTATGGTGATATGTTATCTTAGATTTCTGAAAATTGCAGGTGAAGCCCTAAGCAGTATGTATCATAGTGTGCTAACACACACATTCCTAATCACACTAGTTTTGCCAACACAGAAATGCAGTATAGTTGTGAGAACAGCAATCTTTAAAGCGCTACAAAGTTTTCCCTAGCTTGATAATGGTTCATCGGGCTAATGCAAAAATATAGAAGTTACCTAAATTAAACAAAATAGTTCTTCAACCTAACAGACATGTTGTTTTTTGCCTTATTCAACCAGCCTTTTAATTTTAGGAGTTTCCGCATTTCCCCTTACCTTCCTTTAAATACCATTTCACAAATTCATAAGTAAGAAATATCCCTTCATAAGCAAGTCTGTCAAGTTTCCAAGGCTACCTACCTCTGTGTATCAAAATTGCAGCTAGATTACTGAGTACCATGTGCAGCTCAGGATGATTTATCTGTCTTGCTAGATCTGATGCCCTTTGCATATAAATATAGGCCTCATCAAAGTGGCCCTGTGCATCCAGAGTAGTAGCCAGGTCACTCATGAGCACAATGGTCTGTTAGATAAAAGAAAAACAGATTTTTCTTTAAAAATACACCATAATATTAATTTGGAGTTTGTTAAATTGTGAGTACAGTCAAGATTTCATCTTTCCAGGCATTCCACAAAAGATGAGGAATGTAATCAGCCTTTAACAAATTGTGGGCATTTGTTACTCAAATTGTACAGTAGATATTAGTTCAACAAATGATACAAATTTTAAAAATTAGGAAATAATCAGATTAATAAGTATTATTCATTTTATCAAATTAGAAGTACCAAGTGAAAAGCAACAGCAAGAAGCTATAATATGATCCCACTAAAGGTTCAGCAGGGATCTGGGAGCCTCATTGTTTCATATGTAGTTCCTGCTGGTAATGCTGAGACTCCACAAAGAAGTGATATATCATCTATATAGGAAGACTCACATTAAAAGTATTTAAACTTTTGGTACTAAGAGACTTTTTCATCCTCCCTTACCACTAATCCCATGCTTTAAGCCCTCTGATTGTATTACTCAGTGATCTGAATCCCATGCCGCTTATATTATTCCTCAATGATACTCTCATAAGGCACTCTCTTTTAATAAGTCCAAAATCCCTTTCCTGGAGATAATTTGTACCTCAAATTCCCTTCCCAAACATTCCATGTTCAATCCAATGGGTCTTAGGTTGGGAACTGCAAGCTTTCAAATAAAGCAATCTACTCCTCAGCACTTGAGAATTTATTCTGATAGAAGAGAAAGGGATGATTTCAATTTAACATGTTCAGTATTATAACACGAGTCCCAGCCAGGGGCGGTGGCTCACGCCTGTAATCCCAGCGGCTCAGGAGGATAAGACAGGAGGATCCCAAGTTCAAAGCCAGCCTCAGCAAAGGTGAGGCACTAAGCAATTCAGTGAGACTCTCTAAATAAAATATAAAATAGGGCTGGGGATGTGGCTCAGTCCATGAGTGTCCCTGAGATCAATCCTGGTACCAAAAAAAAAAAAAAAAAAAATTTCTTTAACTGTGGGGCAAGGGAGGCAAGGACACTCATGTATAACTTTCTTACAAGATTCTAGTCGGGGGTCTGCAGACTCCACTTTGAAATACCACACGATATGTTCTGAAGCCACAGAAGCACACAGTGCCTGCTTACACCTCCCTGGTAGTGACGGATCAGTAATCTCAAATCTTTTCTGAAACAAGCAGTCAGGGATAGGGACACTGGTGGTAAGAAACTGAATGAACTGGGGCTGACTCCGTTCCCAATGTGTGGCATTAAGGCACTGCATGTTTTCCTCCTTTACCTGTGGGTGTCTTTCTCCTTGTATTTCTTCAGAAATCTGCAGAGCTTTTTCATACATCCTTTGTGCCTGTGATGGCTGCTTGGAGAACAGAAGGTAGCGTGCACAGGAGTCTAAGCACATGCCCAGAAGGAGGTGGGTATTGGCTTTTTCTTCCGCTAAGAAAGAAATAAGAGCATTGCTATGGAAGGCAAGGCTGAGTTAACCAACCTGCCTCAGCATTTTGAGTTATACCATGATTTATAATCCACCAAGTCCCAAGTGTGTAATTCTGCTAACATAATAAACATTAAAACTATTTCATAATTACAATAAATGATATATTTGTATCTGGGATGATGGTACAAAAACAGGTTAATACAGAACCCACTGAATAGTTTACGTCACTTAGAAACACTCTTGACCTTATGTTAAAAGGAGACAATTTAGGTGAATTAACATCCAGTTAAATGACCTTCTGGACTAGCTGAAATTGTGGGACTTTTCCCCTCATTTAAAGTAGATTAAGGGCTGGTTTTGTTAGCTCAGTGGTAGAGTGCTTGTCTAGCATGGGTGAAGCCCTGGGTTCGATCCTCAGCACCACATAAAAAACAAGCCAGGCACAGTGGTGCACACCTGTAATCCCAGCAGCTCAGGAGGATGAATCAGAAGGATCATGAGTTCTAAGCCAGCCTCAGCAACAAGGTGCTAAGCAACTCAGAGAAACCCTGTCTCTAAATAAAAACAAATACAAAATAGGACTGGAGTTGTGGCTCAGTGGTCAAGTTCAATCCTCCGTACCAAAAAAAAAAAAAAAAAGCTCTCTGAATAAAAATAATAAATAAAAGCCCCTATGTCAGTTGGAATGTGGAATACTTTTAATTTGAAGCTAGTAACATTTAGAAGAAACAGATGAAGATAAATCCAAAGGAGAATGAGTCAATGCAAAGTCTAGAGCCAGTGAATAAAAAATCTTAAGAGGGCTGGGGTTGTGGCTCAGTGGCAGAGTGCTTGCCTTGCACATGTGAGGCACTGGATTCAATCCTCAGCACCACATAAAATTAAAGATATTGTGTCCATGTATAACTAAAAATACATTTTTAAAAAAAGAAAAATCTTTAAGATGGGGGGTGGGGGGAAATCCACAATGCATTAATAATTCAGAGAACACTAAGATTTTTGAACTGAATGGAAAGTTTCAAGTCAAATTTTAAAAATAGTTGATCCAATTTTGGGGTGCACCTCTCAACATAATGCATTTTCTGAAGAAGAAACTTAAAACATCTCATATCACATGAAAGGAACTGGAGAAAGCAGACCTACAGAACAGTAACTTGTATAAGTAAAAACTTTGGAGAGATGATCCAAATAATATACAAAAGTAAATAAGCAAGAGTAAATGGAAATTCTGCAAATTTTTTAAAAAGTAAATGTTCCCATAAAGGACTAAAAGGAAGTTACCTCAAGTAATCTCATATAACAAAATTAGCAGACACTTAACTGAAGCTGTCCAGTTGGGTTTACTTTTTTAACCAACAAAGCTATGGTTCATAGCAGACATTTCTCCTTCCATGTCTTCAAAGTTTTTAGAAAATTTACAACTGGCATACAGAATTTAAAGACTCATCAAATAAACTATGGTCAATATGAACAGATGGTTGAAATTACTGTGAAAAAATAATTATACAATGAAGAAAAGCAGCTAAAAATGAAAAGAATAAGATCTCTTTGTGCCCCTTAAAGCAAGTTCATAAAGAGGAGCAAATTTTAAAAATATGAGAAGATTGAGAATACTGTACAACTCATAAAATTCATATCCTCTGAGAACATTCAAAAATAAGGAAGAATTTTCAAAATATACCAAGAAAATCACAAAACAAAATGTATGATTATTCTGATTATGGACACACTATGCTCTAAAAATGATTACTAAATCTTATTCCAGGAATTTGTATTAATATATCTTCAGTTTCTGTATTTAAAAAAAATGGTCTTTTTACATTTTATACTTAGAATAACTTCAAAAGTACAAGAATAAAGGGCTAGAGGTACAGCTCAGTAGTAAGAATGCTCGAGGGACTGAGGATGTGGCTCAAGCGGTAGCGTGCTCGCCTGGCATGCGCGCGGCCCGGGTTTGATCCTCAGCACCACATACAAACAAAGATGTTGTGTCCGCCGAAAACTAAAATAAATAAATAAATATTTTAAAAATTCTCTCTCCATCTTTAAAAAAAAAAAAGTGCTTGAGTAGCACACACAAGGCCCTGGGTTCCATCCCAGTCCCTCAGAAAAACCAAAGAGATGAAAACAAAAAATACAAAAGCACAAAAATAAAGTGACAAGCAATTCTAATGGATAAAGTTATTGCTTTATCAGTAAGAGCAATTAACTAGAGGAAAAGGCAGAAAGCATTATTACTGCAGTTCAACTCTAGTTATAATTTCAAAGAAGTATTTTAAAAATACATCTTAAATTCATATCCCATTCTGACCACAATAAAAATGAAAAGATCTTTTGAAAAACCTGTTTTAAAAAAATATGATCAAGAGAAATAAAAGCATACTATAACACAATTTCAAAAAATTAGGCTTCATAAGAGAACTTTTAGCATTTGCCAAGTTAAGGGAAAATAGATTTGATATGGTAAAAAAAAAAAAAAAGAGTTCTGGGTGGTGCATACCTATAATCCCAGCTACTTAGGAGGCAAGGAAGGAGGATTGGAAGTTCTAGGCCTGTCTCTGCAATTTAGGAGACCATGTCTCAGAATAGAAAATAAAAAGTGTTGAGGATGTAGCTGAGTAGTAAAGCATCTTGAATTCAATCCCTAGTACGTATTTCTGACTGTCTCTGTCTGCCTCCCTCCCTCTCCTCTCCCTCTCTCTATCTCTCATACACATACCCCATTAAAAAGTTTCGATTCTAAGAAATAATTATTGAAACATGGTTCTTTGAAAATTAATACAGAAACAGGTTATATAAGGAAAAAAATCAGCTTAATAATAAATAATAAATTGAGGTAGTTTATATAAATCCCCCCCAAAGGATCATTTAAACCTGGGGGAAAGGTCATATTTATTTCTTCAAACTTTATATTTTCATTATTTCTAATCATAGAAAAAAAATGCATCTTAAAACTTGAAGAAATCAGGATTTATTATAGAAACTTCTACTCAAAATATAAGCAAATATACTAAAGGGCATTTACTTCAAGAATAAAAGAATGGCTTAATGCATTAGCATATCAAGTTAGGCCTACACAAAACACAGACCAAAAACAAATTTGATGGAAGTACTGGAACAATTATATGCATTAATAAAACTACATTAATTTAAAAAAAAAGTATCTCCTTTAGGAAAGAAAGCACAGACCTCTCTAATCACCCTCTCATATCCTTCCCTAAACACCAATAACAATAAAGAAAAGTCTAAAAAGGTCTTCAGAACTAAAAATATCAGCTACCCAAATTCCAGGAACATCTTTGATTTTTTGCTAAACCAAACCTCTTGTTAATCAACCACTAGCACTTCCTGAAGACACAATGGTTTTAATTAAGGAGGAAAATAGAAACTAACCTAAGGTTTCTGGTCCCAGTAATATGACTGATAGTCAGAAACCCTTCTGCTTCAGATACCTAGAAATTTTATCTAGATAAAATAGAAGAGTAAGTTAAAACCCTGAGAAGAAAGCACGTGAACTGACACAGCAAAAAACAGTTTTTTGCTGGCTTTGTAGGGTGACCTGGGTGTTTCTGTATTCCAGGAATTAATACAGCCTTTGACTTGTGTAAAATGGAGAAACACATCTGAAGTCCTTGAATAAAATACATTCCCTATATGCATATCCCCTCATAAGCAAAAAGCCACTCTCTCATTGGACAAATTATCAATTACTGGAAGAGCTTTATTACATGTCTTTTTCCTTTATTAGAAATTTAGCTCCCTGAGGGCAGTGACTTCATTTATAGCTGGAGCTCATGCCTGAGTATCTGGCACATAATAGGCTTTCTGCTTTCTCTTCACTGAAAGGTTCAAAAACTGAACAAATTAATAAACAACACAAGTACTTAACTAAATATGAAAAAAAGATATTATGAAACTGAAAATTATAATTACAGAATTAACAATTAGTATCTCATGAATCTATGAAAACTCAAAAAAATCATTAAAATCATTAAGAAAAGGATGGACTAATAACAGGCCTGGGCAACTAGCCATCCTGGTGATGGTGGTGGTGGAGGAGGAAATTTTATCCCTATCTCATGGCATATTTTAAAACAATCAACTCTAGACTCCTGCATGTAGGGAGCAGAGACACCAGTCCAGAGGCCAACTTGGGAACCTGACAAGACGGCCTTTAGCAAGTCTGCCCTGCAGGATCATCAGGAAACCTAGCCTTTGCTGGCAGAACCAGTTGCTGACATTACAGCAGAACCAGAGGAGAGCAGAAGCTATTATTTTCATGGGGTCATGGCTATCCCCAAAGATTTTTCTTTTGAAGGACGGACTTTAAAGCTTGAACTATTCATTCCAGAAAATACCCCATACCAGCACCTAAAGTATATCTCATAACCAAAATTTATAATCCTAATGTAGATAACTTGGGATGATGATGTTTGGATATTCTGAAAGATAAATGGTCCCCAGCTCTGCAGATCCACATAGTTCTGCTAGGCATTCAGGCTTCATTAAGTGTCCCTCATCCTGAGAGTCCATTAGCAATGTAGTGGAGCAGTGGAAGACCAATGAAGCCCAAGTCCTATGAACAGCCAGACCATGAACTAGGCTGTATGCCATGAATAATATTTAAACTGGTCCAATCAGTAAGTATGCATCACTTCCATTCTACCAAGAACTTCTTATCTTTTGGTTTGCATTTAATGTGTATGGTCTCAGAAACATTACAGAATAAAACCTCAAATGCTATGGTGATTAAATACACATTAGCAAATCTGTATTGTCCTGATTCCCTATTATAAAGCACAAGCAATGGCTCTCTGCTTTTTATTCATTTCCCCAACCATGGTTTAAATATAAAGCACTGGGGCTGGGGTTGTGGCTCAGAGGTAAAGCACTCGCCTAACATGCGTGAGGCACTGGGTTCGATCCTCAGCATCACATAAATATAAAATAAAGATATTTTGTCCACCTATAACTAAAAAATAAATTAAAAATAAAAATA